TGCTTCTGCACGTGTGTTTATCCAAATCTATTCTCTCTTTTTTCTTGTGCTCACTGTCACGGTGGCTTTTGTGCTCAGCTGCGGTGAGTTTTGTATATTTTTGTGTAATTTACTCCTACAATTGGAGGAATGATGTGACCCCCCCCCACACACACACACCACCCCTCCTCTCCCTCCTCCCCTTTCCCTCCCAGCGAGGCTCTTTTCCATTGATGCACTTACTGTAAAGCGCTCCCTCTGCCTCCATCGCTGACCACATCAACTTGGCCAATCACTGATGACTCATTATGCACGCATAAACAGAACAAAGCACAAACAGTCATCACAGAGTTGCAGCGTACGTTTACACATGCAGTGCAGCTCAGCGTCTCTCCTCCAACCCCGTTTATCCCATTTTTCTTTCACCGTCTCTCTCTCTCTCTGTGTCAGCGTGCCTCTGTAACATGCACGCCGTGTGCATGCACGCAGAGCGAACAGGACGCCACTGCAATTTTTGGAAATGAAATGGAAACTGGCACCAATTAGGGAAACCAATAAAGTAACCTCAGTTGTGTACGCCTGCCAAGTGGTAGAGGGGTTTCAACTGGAGAATATACAGTTACTTCCACGAGGCCCATGAAGGTTATCGTCCTGATTGCATCATCCCATTCGTTGGCCTCCTCTGTCTGCTTGAGCAGCATATAAAACATTTCATAATAAGATGGGATTAACTTGTTGTTAACTGATTTAAATCATATTTAGCTGACCTTTCACACTTTTTTCTTCCACAAAGATCAGATTCAGCTGTTTCCATAATCTTTGATTAGATGTAATAAACATTTACATTCACAAGCAATGCACCCGCCAGCAGAGTTACTGCAACCTATGGGGCTGCTGAGATTAATTGGGTTTTGCAGAATGCTGCACCGAAAACAAGAAGAAGGAAAGGGAGCAGATGGGGCAGTAGGTTTAATCCTGCCTCTGGTGAAGAGACACAGTAATGGGGTAATGATGCAGCGGCCCTCTGGCGCTGATGTGGTGTTGAAAGACAGAAAAAGAGAAAGGAAAGAGAGACGGAGACCTGAGATTCGGGTGAACCACTAAATGCTGCCACATTCATCCACAGCAGTGACGCCATGCCACACGCCAGTCACTCACAGGCACGTACAGTACACACTCACTTCATCCAGCCTTCTTCCTGTTTTTTTTCAAGAGGGCATGAAAATAGTTGCCTACAAAAACACCCATATGGCTGGTGGCTGGGATGCTTGTTGAAGCTCAGTTTTAGCACCTTGAAAACGAATAAAATGGTGGCCAAACAAGAAAATTCACAGCATCCAGAAGTGTTCCAAAGGGGAAATGTGTTGTATAACATAGAATAAACTAAATATGCAAACTAAAGGAAATCCATTAGACATCATTGTTCTCTGAACTGGTGATGTTTTTACACCTCAGATCTAAAGTTAAAAATTGAAATGTTTGCTAAAAGCGTTTGCTAACCAGGATAGATTCATTCTTATAATGTAAACTGACGCTGAACTCAAGCTAAGTCAGGAAGAACTGGCATTTTTAAAGTAGCGTCAGCATTGCTTATTTTTTTCCCTTCCATTCCGCTTCACCAGCAACTCTTTCAGTTTTATGAATGCCAGTTGTTTGGTGACATCTGCTGATGTCACTTCCTACTGAATTAGAACCAATCAGCACAAGTTAATCACAGGTCCCTCCCAGCATCTCTGCCAGGGCTTTCTGGTACATTCCCCAGTTCATGCACTCATTTGGTGTCTGAAACGGCCTGGAAAGTGCTTGTTTTGGGTCAAGCCAGTGAAATGGAGAGTTGCACATGCCGCGAAGATCCAGTAAAATTACCTGAAAGGTTCGATAGTGGATATATATCTCCAGGCTGGTCTGGGCACCGCTTTAGGTTCTATCAAATGAGCTGGTGAAAGTGGTTGAGGAGGGAAAGGACTCTAGGTTTCCCTAGTTGGACTTCTTTACCCGCACTCAAAACCCAGCTAGGATTAGACAAGCCTTACAGAGCTATGTCACACTGTCTCTAAACATTCATCCTGACTCAGGACGGGGAAGGCTGTTGTTGGTTTAGGTTTAGCATCCAAGGAAACAGCAGAGAACGTCTGCTGGTAGTAGCTAGTAGAAGGTTACCGTTAGCATTAGCAACACAACCACAAACTTGGGTTATTTGTGGAGAAAAACATCCCGGTTGCAAGTCAGTGGTAGTTGTGCTGCAGTTATCCAATCCGAGGCGAGGTGTCCAAATATGATGAAATAAAACTTCAAATCCTGCCATCTGAAGCTGTGACGTGGCTCACTGCTAGTTCTTAAAAATGGTGCACCAGTGTTTTTCTTCCCCAGAGTACAACTTACAAGGCATTCATTCCTACTAGAGATCACTGCAAATGTATTGGTGTGTTCAACAATTTTAAAACCTAATTTTGACTGGGTTTTAGTAACCTGTAGTTACATTTTAAAAAAGTATTAATATTTTCACAGTGACGTAAAACTTTTTTCCCCCCTAAACAGGTTTAGAGCTGGAGTCTTTTGTTTAAACACAACATTTTGTTTTATTTGTTCTCTAATTTTATCATAATTTTTAAGTCAAAATATGTTTTGGGACTTCGCAAGAAAACAGTTCAATATTTCTGACTTTGTTGAGATCCGTCCCTCAACAAACACATTTACGTACAAAGTAAATCCACTTGAAACCAAACATTGTATTTGAACAAGCAATAGTTCAATTTTTGTAGCTTATTCTAAATAAAAATATTTTGAAAGATACATTAAAACTAGGTGTCCCTGATTAATAATTACAGATCTAAAATGGACAAAATAAAATAAATATTATAGCACAAAATAGATCAAGACCTTGGGAGGATCTAGACCTGTGCAACGTTTTACACCATATCTAAAAGCTAAACTTTTGGATGACATTTTAAAGCAATCTTGATTCGTATTAAAATAACTTTTAAAGTTTTTATCATTTTTGGGGTTTTTGCTGCTTTTTGACTCTTGACAGTGTTGCAGAAATAACAAACATATTTTACTGTAACATTAAATAGAAACCAATGTGTAAACCCTTTACCACCTTTTACCACAAGTCATTCCTGTATCTGCATCATTGCAGGTCTATGCACACACACACACACACACACACACACACACACACACGCACGCACGCACACACACACACACACACACACACACACACACACACACACACACACACACACACACACCCACACACACACACACACACACACACACACACACACACAGGAAACAACACAAAATGTGCAAACACCCAGCTGACAGTGGTTCTGTTCATTGAGTTGTAAATATATGCACCGTCACAAACATCTGAATGAGCATTCTTTTTATGATTACTACCTCCTCACACCGGCTCATGCATCCACACAAGTACAGTATTTTTGTATTATAGGAGGAGGAGTGTACTGGGTTGTTGTTGTTGGGTTTTGTGTGTGTGTGTGGGGGGGGGGGGGGGGGGGGCTCTGTGTCCTCATGTTTGTTTCTCCAGCTCTTTTCACTCCCCTGTCCTGTCAAACCTCCTCCGTTCATCCTGTTCTAGAAAATCTAATGCTTCCTCTCTCTCTCTCTCTCTTTCTTCCCCTCCTTCCTCTTTCTCAGTTCTCTCTCCTTGTCCCTGCCACCCCCTCTGTCTCCCTCCGACAGTCTTTCTGGCCTCTCTGTCTCCTTCTCCTCACAGTTGGACTCATGTGGGACTGATTGAGCTTAAGGATCGAGCCCTCATCAAAGGCAGAGTGTGGTTGAATGCGAGCAAGCCACAGAGGCTCCGATCTCTCGATGGTTAATCAGCCTCCCTTTTCTCCCTTTCTTCCTCCTCCTCCCCTTCTTCACTCTGCAGCCCGGCATCACTCCAGCAGCATGCTCATGCAACACAGCCACCCTCTTCCTTTTCTGTTTTACTCTTCTTCCTTCCTCCAGCCTCTACACACATCAGTATTATGCTTCTTTTACTGCTGCCCTTTTCTTCCCATTCATCTCATTTAGTGCTAGCGCACTTCTTCATGTCCTCCATCATTCATTTCAGTCATTCACAAATGCTCTTTCCTCTTCCTCAGTCCCTCTTCAGGCTCAGCTCCAAGCCAAGAGGCTGTGGTTCGACTCCCCTCTTCATCTTCTTGCTTTTCTACCAATCACCATCCTCAAATAACTAATGACACAATAACTCACTCACTCCCTTTGAACAGGTGTTCAAACACTTTTCAAACTTGTTCAGGTGTAAAAACAGCACACTGATGTGAAAGAATTTACTAATTTGTGCACAAAATGTTGATTTTGAGTTTTAAGGTTTTTGACCATTTCCATGAAAACCTAAACCATCATAAAACAATGAACTACTTTTTTGGTATTTTTTAACTTATAAAACGTAGATTAAATAAATAAAAAATGATTAACATTTTCCACATTCAGTCTGTAAAGAGTTAAAGATATCGGCCAGAGGCAAAATTCCTTTGAATGGCAGATGAAAAAGGTTTTTGGATTTTCGCGGCTGGAATTTTAAGAAAATCTGATGTTTGTTACTGGCGCGGGAAAAACAGAAACTAACTTCCGGTCTAAGCCTTGGGCAGCTGGTGACGTTTCAGAAGGAGATCTGCTAAAACAGCGATAGTAAACGACCCCCGACTCTGGCGTTTCTGCGTTGTCACACTTGTTCTTTACCGGAGTTAACACGGTTGGTGCTGCGACAGTCATGCTAACGGGACTCGTCTGGATCCCAGAAGTGTGGTTCTAAATGTATTTATGGATGTAGGTTATTATTTTTTGATCAAGCCTATTTTAGTTAAAAATACGTGTAGGACACGGACATATGGCTCAGACCTTTAGCTGCAGCTGTAAACGCAATTTTCTGTTTTAATTAGGAACACGATAGTAAACAAAATACAGTGATTTACCATGCTAGCAACTGCAGCTACCTAGTATGACGTGTGTGAGTGACGTATGCAAAACACTTCTTCACTGCCTGGAGGTGAGGATTTTGATTTTCTGTAATGATTTATGATTAAATTCCTTAACAAAATGAAAAACTGAATCCAGTTCATATGTATATAGACGGTAAAGTTGTCATGTCTCGTGGAATGTGTTTAACCCAAGACATGCAGTAATCTGACTCGACGAGCAGGTAGGATGAAATTAAAGTCTTTATTTACTAACTGGAACAAAAGGTGCACAGGGAAGTCCTGTGGAGAGGGTGAGCAGTAGCTTGAGTCCATAAATGTTCGGGGAGAACGAGGTGAGGAAGCCGAGGTGAGCTCAAGTCAGTCCAGGGGTGATCAGGAAACAGGTTAGACAGCGGAAGGGATCCAACCAAGCACAGCGGAGGAGGATGGGACGTGGTGTGAATGTCCAGTCAGCAAAACAGCAGGTTGAGGCAGGTTGAATAGAATTCTGGAGAGAACAAATAACATCCAGATTTCAGGGTAATCCAAAGAGTAATCAGAGCGGTCCAAGTTCAATAATCCTTAATATCCATTATTCGAGTGACGAGTTCACAAAAACAAGAACGAGTGGCTGGAACTACCTATACAGGAGCAATCATCCGGCGTAATGAGATGTCACCATCCTCCTTTTATACCCGCGTCCCTGATTGGAGATGTTCTGCAGCTGCGGCCCCCTCCGCTGTCACCTGTGGAAGATCAGTCAGATAGAGTGAGATGGGGTGATGTCACTCACCTCGGCTCAGGAACATCACAAAAGTGTAGTTATACTATATTTCTACAATTTTAATGCGGAGTCTGGCCACTACCTTTAAAAGAACTGAGATTTTTTTCAATATTTGAATTGATAAAGTTATTTTAATTCTACTTCTAAGCTTGTCTACTAATAAATTATTTTCTTGAGCTTCACAGATTGGTGGCTGGAGGTGCAGCAGTTGGTGTAAAGGGAGAAGAGCAGAGGGGAGAGGACGCAGCCTTGGGGGACGCCCATGTTAATGGTCAGAGTGTCTGAGACATACCGTCCCAGCTTCACGTGCTGTCTCCTATCTGTCAGGAAGTGGGTGACAGCTTGTCCCTGAGGAGAGCTGGGTAAGCTGTGAAGGAAATCCATGAACAGGATCCTAGCATGGGCTCCTGGTAAGTCCAGGTGTGCAGGATCAAATGAAGGGTTAGGTTGGTTGCTTCATCTACAGATCTATTGGTTCTGTTGGCAAACTGCAGGGGGTACAGTAGGTCATTATAATATATCCAATGACATTCACAGAATAGAGAGGATGTTTAATTCTTCAACAAGTTCTAAGTTTGTTTCTAAAGGAATGGGACTAAAATACCTTAAAAGGAATCCATCCAGAAAGCATCCAATCTGATCTCCAAACCATTCCAGCTGATTTATTTCAATGAGGACGAGCAGTGACTGCACTCTGACCTTCTTTAAGATGATGCAACGGAAAGCAGAGCTCTGGGTTTTTCATTTGTCCAAATAACCAGGAGAAAAATCTTTGGGTTGTTAGTTGAATCTGTGGTTTGTAGGTGTTGCCTGACAGTCTGGACCGACATCACTGCTGGATGGTTTTACAGCGTGTGTCTGCTGCAGCAAGAATATTAAACTTTACATTCAATAGTGTGACACATGCTACTATAAAGATTCACAAATAGTGTAGTATGTAATATTTAATATTATGAACATTTTCTTTTCAGAGATTTGTTTCTTTTCTCTGATCTTTTGTTTATGAAAGAGGAATAAAAAATGAAAAGTTTCTGAAAATCAACAAACTTTTTTACGTTAAAGCAGGGGTCTGTAGCATATGTACAATCTTTCAGTTAATAATAATAATATGTTTCATTTAAAAAGCACCTTTCTGATCACTCAAGGACTCTGTACAGAATAAAAACACAAATCACTCACAAAAGTAGACATAAGTATAACATAAGCAAAACAAATAAACAAAGATAACTAACAAGGCACTCTAAAATTCAAGGTTGTTATATGGTTATGAAGAGGTGAGTTTTGAGTTGTTTTTTGAATTCTGTGAATGAGTTAATGTTCTTGATGTGAGGGGGAAGGGAGTTCCAGAGTTTGGGAGCGGTGCAGCTGAAGGCTCTACTCCCCATGGTGCTGAGACTGAAGGAGGGCACAGAGAGATGAATGGAGGAGGAGGACCTGAGGGAACGGGATGAGGTGACGATGTGAACGAGATCTGTGAGGTAGTGAGGGGCGAGGTTATAGATGGCCTTGAAGGTGAGAAGGAGAATCTTGAAGTCAATCCTGGTGTGCACTGGAAGCCAATGGAGCTAAATCCCTTTTCAATTTTTCTGAATGAACTTTGACTCCTGCACACAGCATATTCGTAGAAAAGTAGACGCCGCACCAACTGCTACTGCCTATGTTTGGCCGCATTTCGGGTTCTACTTTCTATAAACTCTATGGTTAACAGGATGTTTAAGCTAGGCTTTAACTCCGGAAACGCTCCATGGAAATCTGGAGCTAGAACGGCGAAAGAACGCGTTCATAAATCCGTTCACGCACGCCAGGACGAATACACTCACTTTTACATTCGTCAGGCAAAATACGAACGAGTTCAGTTCACGTTCACGAAAAAACGAACAAATTCACGAACGACAGTTCAATGAATGCGTTCGGGCACAACACTGCCCAGACTCCTCTGGACACGTCCAAACCGTCTCATGATTACTTAGGTAAAAGGCTGCTGAGGTTGGGACCACCAAGTAAGAAACTGAGGAGGACCAAAAGGGAGGTGAAAGAGGACTTTAGTTAGTTGATGTGAGGGTAGAGGATGCAGAAGGCAGGACAAAATGGAGACAGAAGATTGGCCGTGGCGACTCCTGAAGGGACAAGCCCAAAGAGAAAAGACATCACACATTCACTGATTTAGATCTGGAAATTAAGTTGTTAAAAAAAGTCTTAAATATATTTATTATACATTAAGTTTAGTTAAACGCAAATACATTCTAGGTCAAAGTTGGTGCACATGACATAACCTAGTGTATCAAATTGGTAGCCCTTCTTGTGGCTCAATAATTGGGAAGTAACTCTCAGCTTCGCAAAGGTTGAAGAGCCCTGGGCTAAAACATGTCTGATGTAGCGTAAGGTTGAACGCTACACTAATCACTTAGCTCCAAAACATAAAAGATAATTCCTTTTCGTTCCCTCTCCCCTCTTCCACAGTTAAAGCTTGAAGTTTACACTGACATTAATTCAATGCAGGTCGAGTTAGCATTCAAGCTAGGTTAGTGTGCTAAGCTGACTGTAGGTGAGTGCATCACCCCAGAGTGCATGCTGGGAAGCGGGAACATTCTTGTTGATCGACAGCTCCCTCTTGTGGCTACTCACTAGTCAACGCTCTAGGGTCACGTAATCATTCGTTTTGCTATAGAGGTCAGGTGATGGACTTCAAAGAACAGAGTCAGATAGTAAATTTAAGCATTTTTTTTAGTTACTGCAAGTATTTTAGAACTACACACGCCAGCTTTAAATTTTATTTGCATTATAAAAGAAACATAAAAAAAAACAATCCTCCCTTTATTCCTACGGTTGTATGAAATATCAAACATAAATAGTTTTAGTGGTTATGGTTTAAAATGCAGTTCACCATCCTGGATGCTACCCGTCTGTCTCGGCCTGTTTACCATATTGTGTGCCTAAAAGGATGTGTCATGATGAAGCCTAACCAAAGATTGATGTGTCATCCTTATGTTTGGCTGTGGTTCTTTTATTGTTGAAGAGAAATATCTTTGACTCATGACCTTGCTGGCTGGCTGGTTTTGGGCAGCAAAGCCACGGACTCCAGTCTGGTTTGACTTTCATTTGGGGACTATATTTGGCAGAGCAGGACGATGAGCTACGACTGCTAAGAGGGATTTCTTTAGAGTATCAAACTTAAGATCCTACTGACGAAATGAGAGGTGTCGATTTCTGATGTCATCTGGAAAGTTGTGCAGGTTGTCTTAAATATCCCAGATGCTCACATTTTTTTTTCTCAAAAACAAAACAAATATTACATTTTACAGGGAAAACATTATGGTATGTAATACAATGTCTCTTGTTCAGGCTTGTTAAATTATACAGATGTGTCTTTCTGCTGCCAGATGTAGAATTTTAAAACAAACATGATTCCTGTTTGGTTTTGTGCTAGCGTTGGCATTTATAAACATAAATCACTCAGAGCATAAACTCAATCCGTAATGCAGCAAACCCCATGTAGGAATCTGCACATGTTTATCCTCCCGGTTGTCATTTCTCCTCTGCTCATGTATCATTACCTTCACACTCAGCCACGCACCATATCTGGCCCGTGTCCTGTCTTTGTTGTGTGAGGTTGTCTGAATCCACCAGATGGGGGGGGGGGGGGGGGGGGGGGGGGGACCAGGACTCAGACCACCGCACATGTTTCTAATTCCCCCTCTCAGACCTCGCCTCTCCTCTTTTGGCCTCCTCTTGCCCTTCCATCTGTCTTCCACTTCTTTTCCATCTTTGTTTCTCTTCATGTCCACCAAATTACCCATTGGACCTACTGTTTGTCTATCTGCAGCCATGCCTGTCTGTGTTGGCTGAAACCACCCCCTAGTCTGAGCCAACACCATGGGAGACCACTTCTAACATTTTACCCTGCAGAGTCGCCAGCAGAGTCTCCTTTTTGCTCATGTACACGGACGATTTGTTGTCATAATGGAACATGCATGCATGAATGCTTCACTTCTTTAATGCTCCATCAAATAATAACAATAATAAAAGTGAAGTGAAAAGGTGCAGTGTTTTTTTAAGGATGTGCTTTCAACTTATTTATACTTAAACATTTTGTTTTTATAATTTTTTTTCAGGGACAATGAGTCATCTGTTCTCAGCTAAACTGACTGATCAGCTTCACATGTTTCCAGACAATGCGGTCAAAAGCTAAACATTGTTGTTGCATTCTGTAATAAAGAGAGGAAACCTAGAAAACCAAAAGCCCTCTGAGGAAAAGTTGTTAATATCCCATCGGCAGTAAATTAACTGAACATACTCGCTCTTTTATTTATTTATTTATTTCTTGTCTAGTAATGATCTTTTCACCACCACTGAAGCGGTGAGACATCGTGGTCGTAAAACTGCTGACAGGAACGTTAAAGAAAACACACCCTACACATTGTACATGTGCTTGGCTTGTGCTCGGCTTTGGGGTGATCTATGACCTGTAGGTGGATGTATTTATACATGTATGTATCTATAGGTGAGAGAAATAAACCCAGGAAGCGTTCGAGTCGTGCTCAGAAACTGTGGTTTCGCAGGAGACATGTTGAAATGATGGAAATGTGGAGAGAGAAACAAACACCAGGAGACAGAAGCCATGACTCACTTCACCAGTGAAAATAATCTCAGAGCAGAATTAACAAACCAAATGGACAAAAGGTGAGAATCTTTGTATATATGTCCGGTCTGAGCCAGCGCCACACACAGACTCATGATGAGGTCCCGGCGATGACAGGGGAGCAGTGACTGCACTAAAGTAATTAGAGACGGTCTGCACAGAGTCACAGTTTAGTCTATAGTGGCCTTAAGAGAGACAGAGTGGGAGTGAGTGCTCAAAGATGAAGGTCAGACGGAGAAGAACGTAATAAAGATTCTCTCAACAATGCTCTGTGATTGGGTCTGTTTACAACTTTTAAAGGAGACATCTTATAACTTCTTTCCTTAAGTTATAATAGATCTATGGTCTATACAAAACATGTTTATGCGTTCTGTAAAGATGAAATGTAATGTTTCTTTGCACAAAATCCCTCTCACACAAAGTGATCTCAGAGATTTTTGGTCTTCACATTTTCAGTACCTTCCAGAATGAGCCGTTTCAGGGCTCTGTCACTTTAAAGGGGTGGAACACTGAAAAATCATTTTTTAATGATTATTTCTGATTATAATCGGTCATTGAGTTTTTCATGCAGGCTGAACATGAAAATAGTCTCCGACATCTATCTCCTGCTTTAGCTTCTGATAGAAAACAGACCTAGGATTAGAAAATCCTGACAGCTCTATGTCATACTGTCACTTAACACTCATGGACTCACCCATCTTGGCTCACGACAGGAAAGGCTGTTGTTTTAGCGTCCAGAAAATAGCAGAGAACATCTCGGCTAGTAAGAGCTAACTGTTAGCGTTAGCAACTCCACCTCACAGCAGAGCTTCTTCAGGTTTGTCTTCTTTGTGGAGATAAAACTTCAGTGTTGAAAAGCAAACTGACTTAGAAGAAGAGTCACATTGCTGTTATCCAATCTGAGGAGAGATGTCCAAATATCAGGATATAAATCTCCAAATCTTGTCGTGTACCACGCTCAGGGGTGGACTGGCCTATCTGGCATTCTGGCACTATTCCTGTGGGCTGCTTAGCCAAGTGGGCTGCTTGCCCAGCTTACGCCGACACTACTCCACAGTTGGTGATCTGCAGAACATTAGCTACATGGAATCCTGAAGCCAACAGAGTTTTTCCAGGCATTTTTAGCAAGAAATGTGCAGTAGAGCGATGACGTAGGAGTTGTTTTACCGTGTTAGCGTGTAGCTAATGTCCCGCTGATCTGGAAGGCCAGGGCTCCCAGTCGCAGCGGTCTGGCCCTGCTTGTAATTTAACAGTCCCAGTCCATATTAGATCTCACATTCGGCCTAGAGACGAGTCCGCGGGCGGCAACACACCCCACCCCCACCACTCTCCCAATGGGGAGGGCCGACTGAGGGCCAGCGATTCGTAAAAATGCCAGGGCCGAATTTTGGTCCCAGTCCACCCCTGACCACTCTCTCCTCCGGCTGACTCCTCCATGCTGATTCAGGTTCAGATTTTCATTATCAAAATCAACTAAACATTTGAAATATATGTTTATTGAGGCAATAGAGGCCCACATGGCAGCACAAGAAATGGATTGTATTTTGATGCCCATTAAGAAGAAAGGTTTAGATAACAGTTGACCAAGTCTGTAAAACCAAACCAAAAACACAAACACAAAAATACATTTATTTTCTGAACTTCCTGCTTTGCTCCCATTTGAGTTTATTTTCAGCAGCTTTTCTGCAAAGGTGTAAAATGAACCACATTTATGTTTTCTGTTCACAACCAAAACAACATCAGATCATTTCATGAGATAATGGAGGAAAGCTCAGAACTAATCATTTGGACTTAAATAGATTGGATGGCCGTGTTTAAATTGCCAATGTTTGTTTTAAAATAATAAAATTTGAGCAGACACATTAAGTTAAACAAAAATAAGTTGTGGTAAATCCTGAGATATTAGCAATTTAGCATTTGTTTTTGAGGCACCAGTAAAAAATTATTGTATTTTTTTAAGCTCCTCATTCCAATTCCTCTCCAAACCAACATGTGTCCTTTTGCTTAAAACAATCTAAAGATTCAGGTTAGTATGTCAGATTTGGTAGTTTTACTTGGTTCTGCTGCACTCTAGAGGTCAGAAATTCACTGCACCAATAGACTGTGATAGAATTATGTATGAAAAGTCTTCTAGAATCTAGAAATACCAACAAATAAACCAAAACATGAATGAATTTATGTGTTGTACAAATAATTAGTTTTTCACAAGCTGACAGCAAAAGCAAAATGAAACATTAAAGTTTTCTACCTTTTTCTTAAACTTAAACTGTCATAATTTGTTGATCAAAGACAAAATGGTTTGTCGCTGATGCTTAAATAAACATTCATTTAAAGATCATTGAAAAAACCTTATAAAAAAGCTTTCATTAGGTAATGAAGTAAATAAAAGTAGCCAACCAGCCACAAAATGTTCCATACTACAATGTAATATAACTCTTGAGTTGTAGAGTTTTAGAAAAACAAGAAATAATAAATAATTCATGTTGTGGGTTTGACATAATGGAGTAGAAAACTGCTTTTTTAAACAGAAATCTAAAATAATAGCAATCATGTTTGATGAGATATAATCTAAAACTGTAAAAAGTGGAGAAAACAGCCTCATCAGACATCTGGCTCGCCTTTGTGTTTTTCCTACAGCACAGAAAGCAGATCAGAGTAGATTTGGGGGTTTAGGTTCTCTGGATGTGGATCACACTACATCATGTTGAGTTGCATGTTCTAGCTGTCCAACTTGGTTAAAGTTGTAATATATTAGAAACCATTAAACTGAGGAAGTTTACTCTGCATGAGTGCCATCCCACCATGCTCTCGCTGAAGTCTGCACATCCTGCTTGTTAATCCAGAATACCCTAATGACTTCCTCTGTGTAGCTGCTGAGCCACGCTGTGAGGTCATCCACGTTTTCACATGCAGCCTGACAAGGGGTGAAAAGTAAGGAGGAAATATAAACTAGATGGGTTGGAAGAGCCTGCATAGAGTAATGAATCATGGATCTTCCTTTAACCCTCCCACTGTCCTAATGCGTGTGACCCCGTGAGGAAAGTTGACCATTGAGCAGGGTTGATGGTTTATCCCTTGGGTCCATGTGACAGGGGTGAGGAGTGAGCACCACATCACCCCATTAGAGTTACCCTCCACAGCGAGGGCAGCTTTGCTATGCAAAAAACACCTCAGACAGAAATGCAACACACTTCAGACGTTACACGACACAAGTGTCCAATAGGTGGGGTGGTAGGGTTTCGGGACTCTCCACACGTCAGTGCATGCAGCCACAATAAGCAGCGCTCTTCACCTCAGTCTGGAAAGGGGTGGGAGGTTGTTGTGTTTACAGAGCACAGTGACTCCTGGAACGACTCAGTAGCATTCACAGCTCGCAGTCCGCCCAGGCCGGGATAGGGAGACAGAGTTGCCATGGCGACGGCAGCATTCCACATTTCGGGGGGGGGGGGGGGGGGGGGTATTCGTTTCAGCCTTACAGGCTCAAGGACACCAGATTCAGATAAGAAATTGTTTTGGGGCCAGACAGAGATCATTTCTTCTCTGTCTTAAAGTTCCGCTGGCCCTCAACCTCTCAAAATCCAATAATGGCGTAGATTAATCTATCCCAATCCGTGCTGATTCATCCACTCGCTCCTTGATCGCATCCATCTTTTGTGCCAGAGCCTGAATCTCAGCCAAAGTTCCAAGCTTACGACTCATCTCGACAATTATATGAGTATGTGAATTCACAGCGCGGTGCAATCCATCTCTGAGCTCCGGGAGTGAGCCAATATTCCTCGACAGCTCGTTAATTTTCCGGTAAGTCAGGTAACCTCCAAGGCCAAAGAGCTGGAAACCTGACACCAACACCACAAATGTCCAGACGTCTTCAGAATCCTCTACAGACAGCTGAAATAGGCAAATCAGGGGTCACTGTTTCCAGGAGTCCATGATATGCCCAACTGGATCTGTCCCAGAGGGACACCCGGGATCCCCTTCTCCCATTCTCATCGTTGAGAAAATTTTGCCAATCGCGTTGAGTGACCAGCTGACCAGGTCCATTTTTAATAATTTCCAGTTTCCAGAAAAAATGTAGACGCTCCGTACACCCAAAGACAGACAAAGAGCCGTGGGATAAGAAGGGAGGAGGAAAAAAGTGTCTGTACTCTCCAAGAGCCAGAAGAAGAAACATAAGGAAACTGAACTTTAAGTGTCTAATAAACACATTTGTTTTGATAAACCTTGAAAGTTGTCTTTGCAAGTTTGTCTTTTTTACATATCTGCTAATTCTAGGGGAAATGCCAAGTAAAGTAACGGTAATAATAAATATGAATGCTGTTTTGGGGTCTTGGATTAAATACAAAAAAGAAACACATGAGATAAGTTTGGTTCAGACCCAAGGGCGTCAGTTTGTTTTCAGAACTGCTGGGGACACTAACCATACACTTGAGTGGGGTTTAAAAATTGCTGGGGACAATATAGGCTAGCACAGGGGTCGGCGGCTCTGTAGCCGCATGCGGCTCTTCCATCCATCTGATGCTCTGTGCTTGTAAAATAATGAATGGATATTTAAATAAAAAGCTTTATATTTTACTGCATTAATTTTACATCTGTAAGCTAATTCTAAATGTAAAGATTGTCTGCGTAAACCTGAACAGTTCCGACCCGGTCTTACTGTGAGACCGGGTTGACGCGTCACGCTTGTGCGTAATCATAGGCGCTTCCTGAGCTGGAGGATGTCAGATTCTGGGATTCTCCTCAGACGGCTCCTGGATGTGTCGCCACATTGGAGACAGGAACAAGCACTATTCAGCCAAAGTTTCATAATCAGGGAACATTTTCTAAGTGACAAGTCTCTCTGAGAGACCGGGTTTGGAAAACACTCGCTTCAGTGGGAGGAACCTTCTCACATGCGCTCTGGTTCTGAGAGCCTGGATTTGTATTCTGAACAGTCTAAACATGTTTTTAAAAGAAACGTAAGACAAAAGTGGCACCTGCTCAGTAAAACCACCAACAGGGTAAAAAATATCAAAATATTGTAGGCAGAGACGGGCTACAACTTCTGGATCATCTTTATATAAATCGTTTTATTGATTATCTTCTTATGAAAGATAACTTTGACGTACACGAGCGACCAGGCGCGTTGCAAGATTTTCAAAAGTGTGTGAGATGTTGTCTGTGCTTAAAATAATTTGATGTTATTCACCTTGTTAGTTTAATTTCCATAACAGCGGAGCAGGTGCGAATTTTAGACGCGTCACGCATGTCTCCGTTTTAAACATGTTTAAACTGTTCAGAATACAAATCCAGGCTCTGTCTCGTTAGATCGGTGTAACTAAAGTTTGTACTGAATGAAACTTTACATTAAACCATGTTGAAAAGAACAGGATCCCATTAAATAATTTCCCCTCATTTACAGTCATGATGTACAGTGCAGTGCTCATGGCTCTGGGGTTAATCAGGTTTAGTTGTTTCTCTTTGCAACAATCTTCACAAGAAGGCAAAACAGTTAAATGGCAGGTTATAGATATTTATATTAGACTTTTATTTTGACGGATAAACTCAAGGATGCTGGCTGTTTTGAAAGAATTACCCCGACGCACACTGATGCGCATGGATGAGCTTGGAAAAATGTTCTTTTTATGAAATTATGAAACTTTGGCTGAACAGCGCTTGTTCCCGTCTCTAATATGGAGACGCATGACGCATCCAGTCTGAGGCAGAATAGCAGCGCAGAAAGCACCTGTAGAGACATTTGATCACGCACAAAGTTCATGTGGAGCAGAAGCGGTCGGGCTACGGCAGGTGGAACGTTCCTAGCCTACATGAAGTGTAACATTAATATGTTACTGGACACGCTGGTCTGGTTGGTTAGACCAGTGTTTGAAGTGGAAACACACACACACACACACACACACACACACACACACACACACACACACACACACACCAATTAAAATAATGCTGATAGCATGGACTAGAAGACAGGTGATGGTTTTATTTAAATGATGATCAGGCTGCTGTAAAATCTAATCTCAATCCACATCCAGACGGAATGATCCTCTATTCTAGTTGCTCTGCTCTTGTCTGGACTGATGTAGCTGATGGTGCGCGTGGGGCGCCTAGAGGCTGTGATGCACATTTTACGCATTTGGAGAGATGGACTGGATGCTTTGCTTTTACTGGAAGATGGTCCACTTAACGCACGGGTGTAGACTACATATTAATGACAAATGAATGAAAATTAAATTGTGAGTTTTTACTTAATATTTTAGAAATTAAAATGACGGGGGAACACGTTTATGACGTCTTTTTAAACTAAATTTTCTAGCGCGACCTGCCTGCTTCACTAAGTCACTGCTTATTAAGGTCTGTCCAAAAACCGTGGCCCACCCAAAAATGAAAACCTGGCGCCGCGCCAGTTATAAACCTCTGCAAATTGTTGTTCTTCACTTTATCAAACTAGACTTTGTACAGCTAATGTCAAGATGTAAAATTATGAATTCAGTCGAGCTCTTCCGTCCCTCCCTCTCCTGCTCTCCTGGAAACCCGACATCGGCTGTCAGAAGCGGAGGTGAAGAAGGAGATGAGGCAAACAGAGTGAGTGCGACATAAAGAAACCAGACTGGTGTGGAGGTGAGCAAAACAGCTGGAAAAGTGTGGGCGTTGAATCCCCCACGGGTGCGATGTCCATGCGAGCGACCTGTACCTGCTGTCACCTGGTTGTGAGCAGCCCTCTACTGTCTGAGGGTAGGCCCCGCCCACAACACTGCGGCTACTGCGGTGTTTTCTTTACTGTGGGAAACGGGTAATAATGGCTCTTTGATGGGAATAGGTTGCCGACCCCTGGTAAAAGATCTGAGATGGTAAAACAAAAATCCTCATCAGCAGGCTTTTTTGAAAGTGGGGGGGACACAGCTGCCAATCACAAATTTTGCCGGGGACATGTCCCCGGCGTCCCCGGTTAAACTGACGCCTATGTTCAGACCACAGAAGCAATATCTGGGCTTCATCAACAGGCAGCTTTGAAAATAAATGCTGCACAGCCACCACACATGGATTATTTATGTTTTAAGTGCAATGATTCAAAACCTCACAAGGTGGGAGTCTGTACATGTGTGCATGTGTTTTATCTATAAATGCTCACTAATAATAATATTTCTGTCGTCATTTCATTTATTTATACACAGCCCCTGCTGTCTTATTTTTGTTGGGAGTATGGGGTACCAGGCCCTCTGATACGGGCTGATAGGTACCTGTATGTCCGGTGTCAGAGCTTGGTCTGCATTGCTGGCTGTAAGTCGAACTCATTCCCATTGAGAGTTGGACTCTGCCAAGGCTGCCCTTTGACACCGATTCTGTTCATAAATTTTATGGACAGAATTGGCAGAGCCAAGGTGTTAAGGGGATCCGTTTTGGTGGCGTGAGGATCAAGTCTTTGCATTTTGCAGATGATGTGGTTGGCGTCATCAGAATGGGATCTCCAGCTCCCACTGGAGCAGTTCACAGCAGAGTGTGAAGCAGCTGGGATGAGAATCAACTCCTCTAAATCTAAGACCATGGTCTTGAAACGGAAAAGGGTAGAATGCCTTCTCCAGGTCAGGGATGAGGTCCGGCCTCAAGCGGAGGAGTCTTAAGTATCTTGGGGTCTTGTTCATGAGTGAAGGAAAGATGGAGCTCAAGATCAACAGGTGGATTGGTGCCACGTCTGCAGTGATGCGAGCATTGTGCCGATCTGTTGTGGTGAAGAGAGAGCTGAGCCAGAGGGCGAAGCTCTCGATTTACCAGTCGATTTACGTTCCTACCCTCACCATGGTCATTAGCCTTGTGTAGTGACCAAAAACAGAGATTGTGGATATAAGCAGCCGAAATTAGTTTTCTCCACGGGGTGTCTGGGCTCTCCGTTAGACATAACGCAAGAAGCCTGGGGAGAGACCCGCTGCTCTTCCATATTGAGAGGAGCCAGTTGAGGTGGCTCGGGATGCCTCCTGGACTCCTCCCTGGTAAGGCTTTCCAGGCACATCCATTCGTGAGAAGACCTAAAGGAAGACCAAGGACATGCTGGAGAGACTGCCTCTCAGGTGGCCAGGGAACGCCTCAGGATTCCACCAAAGGAACTGGCCCAAGTGGCTGGGGGGAGGGAAGTCTGGGCCTCCCTGCTTAGGCTGCTGCTCCCGTGACCAGACCCGGCTGTACATAAATGGATAGATGGATGGATTAATTACAAATAGTGATATCATATTAACACCTTTATCCCACACGTAAGAAATTTTATTTATTTTCTTCAATTTTGACAAAGTGGAAATTTGTCAAACCTAATCCGTTTAGTTATCTGTCAAAGTGTTAAAATCCTATTTATGCATTTCCACCCCTTCCCTTTGAAAACCACAATGTGTCAGCACGTTACCTGTTTAAAAAGCACACATGAATGATAATGTGATAAATAATTAGAAAATCATTTCTAAATAAAACAATAAAATGTCTACATTTGGCAGCAATGATAAAGAAAAAATCGCTTCAACAGAAACATGTTAGGCTTATGTTTACAAAAACAATGAGAAAATATTAAATCACCCAAATACGACACTAAATGTTTAATTCACAAGGTCAAGAATATTTTCTTTCTGTGGCCAAAAGAGAAACGTGAAACATCTGAAGATGCTTTTATCACGTTTGATTCATTCAGTTTATCTAGTTGTGCTTGTCGCACCCGTGTGGCTATATTTGGTAACGCGCGTGTTTTCAAATCCGGTTCCTAAACTCGATTGTGATTGGTTCAAAATGTCATCGTCTCTCTTCTGACTAGTGACGCCGGCTGGACTCTATTTTCTGAGCCTGATTTTACATGCAGACCCCTCCCCCTTTTTGCTACCAACCCTCCCCCTGTCCTCCTCCTCCACTAACCGCCCGAGATGTCTGCAGCTCTCCCACGGTTGGAATGGACGACAGCGTGTTTCTGCTCTAAAAACCCATCTGTTTATGGAGATGCGATGGTGCGTGAAAACGGTGCATGAAACCCGCAGTTTTGCGCGTTTCCTATTCGTTCATTTGCACTCAGCGCTGCCTCCCTCTCTCTCTTTCTCCACATCATTGCAGCTGATCTATTATTCTGCCCGTCCCCAGAAATAATCAGGCGGTGTGAGCTATGATCAGAGCCGAGGAGCAGGGCGAGAGAAATCTGGATCAGAACTATCCATCTGGGGGAGGAAGATGAGGATCATAATGAAGGCTCTGATGAAAACAGCGTTAGTGTTTGTTCACTGGGGTGAGTTCACGTTCATCTATCCCATCATGGACATGATGGTTTACTCAGTAACACCATTTGTTTACATCTTCTTACCACAGCTTTATTATACCGCTGCATTCTGCTGTCTTTTATGAATTATTAACTCACCTGAGGGAAACGGTATCACTCCCCAGAGCCATAAATCATTTTTATTACTTACCGTAACAAGCCCAGAACTGGGAGGATATTCCACAGCCTAGAAGTGTTTGTTTTATTATTATTCAGGAAAACTCAGCAAATGAATGTTACTTCCACATAAGATGTGGTTTATTGAATCACTCTGCTGTAAAGTTCAGTATTTTACTATTTAATAAGTTTATTTTTACCATTTTAAAATAGAAGTTTCTGTTTTTACTTCTTGTTTCGTTTTTTGAAATGCATTTGTTCTATAATCAGCATGTCTCTTGTTTGTCATGTGGTCCTTCCTGAAGCTGTTTTAACCTGGATCAGAGTTTATAAACACTTAAAGCTTCAGAACCTACACAAATAATGACAGCAAAGACTTGCAACCCTAATATTACTGGTTGAACTTTCCAAGTGTTGCTAAAAGGTCAAATAAATAGGAATTAAAGGAACAATCGGCTTTAACTTAAATAAAAATTATACAACTGATATTGTATTTTTTTATTGCCGATACTGATGCCGATATGAAGGAGACATGGTCGGCCAATGGCCCATACGTATGGTCTTCCCCTAAATACATCACTAACGTTTTAACTTTTAAAATTTTTTAGTGACGTTTGGATCTTAGAAATGACCCACAGCGGAGACCTGACCCCAACTTTACCAACCATTGCTCTAGATCAGGGGTGTCAAACATGCCGCCCGCGGGCCGGTTCCGGCCCGCAAGCGGGTTAAGTCCGGCCCGCGAGATGGTTGTGTAAACTTTATTTTCATACTTTACAATGTAGAGTGAAAATAAACTTAGCTTTGTGAGCAAGTTTTCTCTGTAATGAGTATAAATAAAACAAAGCTGCGCTCAAGGCTCACACAAGAACTTGAATCACATCCTGAAGTTGGCTGCCACTCAGGATGTGACTTCTGATATTGATGTGCTGGTGAAAGCTAAAAGATGTAAAGTAAAATGAGTCAAATATACTTTAAGTGCTGCATGTAACTGATCTAGCCATGTGATCTGTAAGTTCTTTGAATCACTAAGGAATATTTTTTATTTATTGATTTTTTTAGTTTTTTCAAATTTTCAAGTACACTTCAGGTGTTGTACTTGTACTGTTTTGGATACACTGTCCTCAGGCTCCAGCTTTGTTTTATATTGATTGTATTAAAACAAAGAAAACAATTTGAAGTTGTTTTTAATTTACCGGTCCGGCCCACTTGGGACTAGATTTCCCTCAATGTGGCCCCTGAGCTAAAATGAGTTTGACACCCCTGCGCTAGATTGAACAGAATTTGGCTAATTTAATACCAACCTGAGCGGGTGATTGGATCCTCATATGGGCCATTCCCATCTGTACCTGGTCGGCCCTGCCCGGATAGCTCCAGTCGGCTCCAGCCTGGCCCAGTTGATTCCACACATCCTTGCTTAGGTATGCAAGGAATGCAGTCAGAGACATTTTCAGCTTCTAGGTAATCAGCATGATAATGAATTGAGCATGCCTTAAGCCCATGTGGGCTGATTCGACCCACCAATCAGAGGCTTGCTGTAATGGAAGGTGTGAATTTGCTGTCAGCAGTGGGTGTGTTGGCCCTGGTCAGCCTGAAGCAGACCACCTCAGAAAGAGGGCTGAAAAACAGTCTTGTTGCACCCTGAAAAAAGGCAGGCCACCAAGATATGTAAGCAAGCTATGCTATCCGGGCCGGGCCGACCAGGTACAGATGGGAATGGCCCATTAGTCTGAAACTCAAAAATCGTATTTCTTTATCCAGTCTGTGAATGCATCATTGCTAATGGGCTGCATGGTGGCGCAGTGGTTAGCACTGTTGCCTCGCAGCACGAAGGTCGCAGGTTAGAAACTCGGCTGCAGCCTTTCTGCGTGGAGTTGCGTGTTCTCCCCATGCATGCGTGAGTTTCCTCCGGGTACTCCGGTTTCCCCCACAGATCACAACATGCCCTACAGGTTATAAATTGTAAGTCGCTTTGGATAAAAGCGTCTGCTAAATAAATAAACATAAACATAATGGTCCATTCACACTAACAGGTCTTTCATGTAGAGACCTTTACTTCCGGAATAACAATTTTCAAATTAATCAGAGATTAAAACTGGATTCTCTGAGATAAATAAAAACTGAAACAAAATGGGTATCGGCAGCTCAGAGCTGCAGAATAATCGGTGCACATCTTTCATCCAAAAGGAGGGTATCAGTGCAGGAAAGGACCAGTCATAATCAGCAGCTACCTCTCTGTGTTTTTAATTCAAGAAATACCCCCCCCCCCCCCCCCCCACACACACACACACACACACCCCATGCTGCGCCGTGTCTAATCCATACAGTATTGAGCATTGTGACTGCAGCGGCGGGTTTCTGCCCTATCAGTTCAGACTGAACCCAGCATTAATTAGGACTTGATCCGCTTAAGCCTGCCTCTAGTCTCCCATGTCATTATCTATGAGGGCGTTGTCATGGGGCTGCGTCTCTGCTTGTGCGAAAGCTCCAGTTGTTTCAGCGTATCGCGCCTCGTGCACAACACCCGCATGCACTTCTCTCTGGGTGTCTGAACAGTCTCGCCTCGTTTTTCTAGTTGTTCCGGTAGGAATCGGCTTTAGAGAGTTAAAGGTTTGGTCACCTATAGGACAGAATGTTATGGGTTAGCAGCGGAGTAACAAGCAGGTCATCAGCAGGTTTTACCTTGCTTTGCAAGTGTCAGTGGCTCCATCTCCATATTCAACAGATCAAATGATCTGAAACCAGAATTATTTTAGGCAGGATTTAGAGGAAGTGAAGCTAAAAAAAAGGATGCCCAGCAGTGGACAGTGAGTCTGGTGGCTCATTACAGCCCTCAGGCGCTCACTCACTATGTCTGCTTGTATCCAGAGAGGCGAAAACCTGCCATTTTGCTAGAATTCACTAAACATTAAGGCTGCACGAAAAGGGTTCATTTCATTTTCTCCCTTTCAGCATATGTAAACTCATCTCACTCAGCGGTGTTAAACTTTTCAGCAGAAAAAACCCACCACTCGCAGCTCATTGAGTTGTGTCTCAGTCACTTGCTGCTCCGCAGATGTTGTGGTGAACTTTTCACGAGGAAGCCATACACGTCCAGGCAAATGATCATTATTGTGCAACATTTAGTAGCTTGTCTGCTTGTTGTTCAGAACACCTTTATGTATTTTATAGTTAGTTGCTCAGATTTGTGACCTGTTGTAAATCTAACTTGTGAATTTTACATGCTCATGTCAAAAAAATAAACTAGTGATATTTGATATTGGCTTTTTAAAATGATAACCAATATCCCGATGTAGTCTAATCCCCAATCCACAATGGGTGTGTCTGCGGTGCATCACAGCAGCAGCTCGTTTTTTTTTTACAGGAAGCAGCATCCTGATCATTCACAAGCTTGCAGTCTCTGTCACTTTTGACTCATTTAGTTGTTATTGTTGCATGTCAGCACCCACGCAGACAGAGAAGTATAAATCAGGCTTTATTTGTTTTCTATAGCCATAAGAAAACCATTAATCATTGAGGTAAACCGGGAAAAGAGAGGTCTTCAATTTGCTATGGAAATTGATATAAAGATATATCAATTAAAGATTGGCCTCTGGAGCAATGGAAGAAGGTTACATGGCCTGATGAGTCCAGATGGACCCTGTTCCGGAGTGATGGTGCATCAGGGTAAGAAGAGTGGCAGAGGAAGTGATGCACACATCATGCCTAGGGCCTACTGTACAAGCCTGTGGGGGCAGTGCTATGATCTGGGGTGGCTGCAGTTGGTCAGATCTAGGTTCAGCAACAGGATGTGCTCCAAGAATGAGGTCAGCTGACTACATGATTATCCTGAATGACCAGGTTTTTCCATTTTCCCTGATGGCATGGTCATCTTCCAAGATGACAATGCCAGGAATTGGGCTCTAATAGTGAAAGAGTGGTTCAGGGAGCATGAGACATAATTTTCACACATAGATTGGCCACCACAGAGTCCAGACCTTAACCCCAGAGAAGGCTTTGTGCAGAGGTCAGACTCTACCATCATCAATAGAAGATGTTGGTGAAAAACGAATGCAACACTGGATGGAAATAAATCTTGTGACATTGCAGAAGCTTATAGAAACAATGCCAAAGCAAATACGGACCATAATCAAAGCTAAAGGCGTGTGACTTTTTTTTATTTAATTTTTTGGGTGGCAACTGTTTTTTTTGGCCAGGCAGTGTATATATATTAATAAACAGCGTAATATGAGAATAATCTTTGTAAAACTTTGCATTTTAGCTTTGTTGGTCAGCTAGAAGAGCATGTTCATGAACGAGGGGAGCTGCTGTCGGCTGTAATTACAGAAGTGTCAAGAATAGCTTTAAAATGTGATTCCTGTTTAAGCCTCTAGAGGGTGTCGTCGGATAAAGAAATTCCTGATTTAAACTTTAATTACTATTTTGTCCGATAATTTCGTACATTGCAAAAAAGAATTAAACTACAGCTATTACAGGACTATGTTTTTTTGTTGTTGTGTATAATATTTACCAGGAAGTGCCCTCTTCAACTAAAGTGCAGTTCCTTTAAACGTCCCTCCTGACCCTGAACAAGAACAGTTTATGAGTTCCCTGCTGACTACTTACTAGCTAAAGCTTATTGATTAGTGAGTCCATGCACCATGTAATCCTTCTGATTTCATTTGCCCCTATGCATTTATCACACAGCGCTCCAGTATGCTGTTTGCCGTGATGTGACTCTTCCCACTGGACCTCTCTTCCGTGTGGCCGGGTTCCCCCTATCACTCCCTTGTCAGGTGTTTGCATACGAAGGTTCACGGACGCAGGACTTCGAATGGTTCCTGTACAGAGACAACGCCGGCGGAATGCAGATGGGCGTAGTGTCCACCAGGGACCCAGGGCTTTCGTACGCACCGTTTAGTTCCAGAGTGAGGAACGGGGAGGTGAGGGTGGAGAGGGATTCAGGGGACAAGGTGCGACTGGTGATCCAGAGGCTTCGGGCTGAGGACCAGGGGAAATATGAATGTTACACCCCAAGCACAGACAGCAAATATCTGGGGAATTACAGCGCTTCAGTCACTGTCAAAGGTGAGAAATGTTAACGTAAACTGCTATGAGTGTAAAAATGCTGCCTAATATGTTTTGTTTATTAATGTCTGATTATAGCCCCAATAGAAGCTGCCACTATTTAACATAAAGTCATAAAAATAGGTTTAATGTCATTCACTAAACCTGCAGACCATAGCAAATTTTTGAGATGTTACTAAACATTAAAAATTACTAAAATATCTTAATGACATACTTGTGCTGATGTGACCAACCTGTGTTGTTCCGGAAGTGCAGTTGAGGGCCCTAAAATACCACTTTGAGGACTGCAACTGGCCCACGAACCGAACGTTGATCACACTTGCTTTCAAATACCAGAAAATGTAATTTAAAGTGGAAGAGTAAGTTTTCAGCAGGATCAGCATCCCTCCTTAAGGTTTTGGTTTTAAACAACAGGGGTCTTATTCATCAAGCTTGCTTACGCACAAAACGGGTCGGAAAAATGCGTAAGCAACTTTCCACGCAAGCTTTGGGATTCATGAAAGAAAACTTAGCGGAAAAATGTGCGCAACTTTCAGTTGACTAACGACCTGGCTTACGCACATGTTGGACATGGAGAGCACCTGCACTGCTGCTGAGGACGATAAAATTATGAAATCCTGCAGCATTATCACTTGTACTGCTTCGTTTTCGCACAGAACAAGACCCCCCCCCCCCCCCCCCCCACACACACACACACACACACACGCACGCGTGTACACACACACACAGCCTGAAGCGCAGAATACGGAATGCAGAATATCAGCAGGGGGACAGATTGAGACAGAATGTCATGCGTCTGTGACAGTGTGTGTCCCGTCACTGTGACCTGATTGATCATGCGCCCTGCCTACTTGGACAAGGGAGATCTCTGTTTGGCTGACTGGTTAGCGCGTGTGATTTTTATCCGGGAGTCTGGAGATCGAATCCTGATTGGACCATTTATTTTTATATCCGCCACTGATCTCTCTGAAGAATTCACAACATTGACGGCTTCAGCAACGCTGTGCCACTCCGTGGATTTTCTCTTATTTGTTTTGCAAAAGCACTTCTATTCATTTCTCCACACCTACAAATACCTTAATTTCTGCTTGTGAAATAGGCTTCCTTGTTCTGCCTTGATCTACGGTTGCCATGTCATTGGCGGAGCGCTGCAACAGCCGGCTTATGTATATGCATGAGATCCACAAGGCACTTTGCATTGACTATTTATGGCAGTAAGTGGGCTTGGTGAGGCTGAGATGTGACTAAAATACAGCTGAGAAACATTCTCATTAGTCTCTGATTAATGAAGCGGAGATTGCGTGCAGCTGTGCCTACTCCATGTTTGATAGATCACAAACCTACTTGGCGTAAGTAAATTTTTTTTGCTGAGCTTAAGTACGGTTTTAGTTAGGATTCTACGCAATGTTTGATAAATGAGACCCCTGCTCTTTTTTTCCCCTCATTTACAACTCGGCTCATAAGATTCTGAATATGTGGTTATTTTGGTAGAAAACCTCCTTTAAAGCAAACTGAAACAGCAGAGTGCTTTAACTTCCACAGAATTTCAAATGATGCCCAGCTTCTGTTGCAAAGAGATAATAAGGTTTCATTATAGTGTAAAAAGTAATGGAAACACATCATGGTGCTGTCTTATCAGCAACTCTACATGACGTCAACCAGACGAATGTTTTAGTGAGTAATCAGACCGTGTTTGACTTGGTACAAGTATCTCATTCCTGGTGCATGAGGAAGTTCATAGGATAAATGTCTGTTTTATATACAATTACTACAAATATATATATATATACACACACACACACACACACATATATATATATATATATATATATATATATATATATATATATATATATATATATATATAATCACTCTACCACTGACCCACGACCTCTGGGTGTTAGTTTTGATGTTGAGCATCATGACAAACCTTTTAATATTCTTTCCTTTTGACCAAACCAGTGCTCAAATCCTGGTGAAAATGCCTGAAGTCACTAAAAGCGCTCTGTAAACACTGAAACAACTATAACAGTAAGAGAGGCAGGGGTTAAGTTAGTCATCTTTCCCCTCCTGTCTGGCTTTTGTAATTGTGTGTCTCTGTTTCCCTGTGAGCTTCCAGTAATTCCAGACACACTCCAGATCAGCTACAAGCGCTCGCTGACGGGCCAACCCGTACCAGAGGGGGCTGAATTAACCCTGACCTGCTTGGCCAGCATCCAGTCAGAGCAGCTCACCCACCTGTCCATCACATTTGGGAAGCGAGACGGCGAAGATGCTTCGGGGGATGGAACCAAAGGTGAGGTTAGAGAGATCATCTCTATCGACAAGCTTCTGGGGGTCATTCCCGGGCAGCTCTACAAGACTCGCTATGATGATGGAGAGATCACGCTGGAGAAGAGAAACGGAGAGGGTGGGCAGGGGGTGTACGTGATGAAGATGATGGCGGTGCAGCCTGAAGACTCAGGCTCGTACTTCTGCGAGGCTTCGCAGTGGATTCGGGACCCAGATCGGTCGTGGCAGAAGATCGCTCAGAGGACGCTGGATATCGGCAACCTGACTGTTCAGCAGCTAGGTGAGCGTGAGAAACTATTCCTGTATTTGCTCTGAAATCTGGGTTTGATGATAACGTAAATCCACGAGGAAGCACGAATTAAAAAAAATAAATAAATAAAACAGTACTCATGGAAGCCCCAATCTGTGGAAGTGCATTACCGTCAATGTAAGGAAAAAATATAGACGTAGTATCTCGTAAAAAGAATGTTTCTCATTATAAAGTGATACAAATCTTGTTTTTACGAGAAAGTTTCTCGAATTAACATTTTTAATATCTTGTAATAAAGAAATAGCTCATAACGGTAAAACGCTGACATCTCGTGGATGTGTGAGTTTTGTCCAGAAGAAACAATATGGAGTCAGAGGGAGCCCCTTTATGCCTCTTTAAAGGCACATTTGGTCATTTTTGCTGGCTTTTTAGCACGCCCTAGAGTCCGTTATTAATTCACTGTCATAAAACCGAAACTGAAACTCCTCCTCGCTGTATGTTTGTTTTTTTAAAACTTTAATCTAACTGCTGAAATGATAATGATAAATGACCCGCACTTGTATAAGTGCCTCTCAGAGTAAGAACTCCAAAGCGCTTTACACTACAGTTTAGGGCTGGACAGTAAATCGAAAATGTATCGTTATCGAAATTTCTGACTCTTATTGTGATAATTTTTCCCATGTCAATAAATCTGATAATAAAAAAAATGAAAAGATGTGTGTAGGTTGGTAGCGTTCATGTCCCTTTAAGAAGCTGTACCAAATGTGACTCAACGCGATACACGTGACAGCCCCATCTAGTGGACAACTTTTGTTTCTGTGCATGCCTGTAGTTATCGTCCATTTATCGTTATCGCGGTGAAATCCTCAATTTATTGTGATAATAATTTTAGGCCATATCGCCCAGCCCTACTACAGTGTGTCATTCATCCATTCACACACACTGATGGTGATGAGCTACGATGTAGCCACAGCTGCCCTGGGGTGCACTGACAGAGACGAGGCTGCCAAGCACAGGCGCCACCGGTCCCTCCGACCACCACCAGCAGGCAAGGCGGGTTAAGTATCTTGCCCAAGGACACAACAGCAGAATTCTCTGTCCAGAGCCGGGATCGAACCTGCAACCTTCTGATTACTGGGCAACCCGCTCAACCTGTTGCTGCTCCAAATGTCTCCTCAGCCTTTATTAGTTTGTACAGGAGTGGTTCTTCACCAAATAGTTTTTATATGTTGTTATTTCAAAAAGGTCTCTTAGATTTCTTCCACATTATAATAAAAAGAGTTCTTGTGAATATGAGAAACTGCTATTATATTTTTTCCTCACACTGGCAGTAATATACCTCTGTACCTCGGGGCTCATAGTAAACCGTGCCAAAACTTACATGATCAGTGGATTTCAAGAAAGTATTTAAAACAAGTAAACTTACATGACATCTAGCAAACAATACACTAAGACTATGTTTTTGAAACACTGAAAAACTTAAATCTGGATATAATGGAAAAAAAAGAGCAACTAATTTACTATTAATCCACCCAAGGGATGAGAGATGAAACAGACATTAGAAATAAAGTAAGCTTGTCTTTTTTTTTACAAAAACAGAAACCTGGGAATAATCAGCGAGGCTCAGAAGGAATAAATGTCAATAACAGAGGGCTGGTTTTAGCTTCAGCTCTTCTGTTGTTGCCAGAGGAGTTCAGTCTGGACTGGTGGTGCTGCAGAGTTCACTGGACTCCATCCAGAGTTTCAGCTTCTGGATGTTTGTGTTGTTAACACGTGAACTCCAGCTGGCTGCCTGACCTTTCAGGATGAGTTGCTGTTTAAATAATTGAAGTATTTAAAATCAACTCAACTGAATCACAACAACCTAAGTTTATGAAGTTAAACGAGTGACTTGTGAGTAGTTTTAGACAAAAATAATATGAAAAATCTTACAAAAGACATACTTTTTTGTTATTTTACTGTCTTCTGTTTCCCCTGATCTATTATTTTCCTCCGGGCGTTTGTTCTAAACGTGTCTCTCTGTGATACTAAAGAAAGGCACCCACTGACAAGAGAAAGACGCCATCCTCTTGTTGCTTATCCAGCTGGATTTAATAAGTCGATAGCCAACCGGCTGCATGGCTGGATAACAGTCTGTGGCTTTGCAGCAAACCTGAATGATTATTTAATCTTTTTATTTTCTCACCTTGACTTCTTGTAGCCTACAAAGAAGATTGCTTTTTTCATGTCAGATTGACAGATTCGTTACAGCCATGCTGCTGTGTAATAATCCTACTTTAAACCAACCGTTAACCTGCAGATATGAGAAGCTAAATCATTGCACATTTATTATATATTTTTCTTTTAAAATATTTCAGCCGTTAGTGGGAAAACACACATTTTTTTGTCTATGCATTCTGCATTTTGGGTGATATTCTTCCTGTTTTTGTATAAAAATCAGGTCGATATTTAAGCATGCCTTGTTTTGGTTTCTTATAGACACTCAGTGAAGGTGCACTTTGACCCCCGTTGTCTGACTCAAACAATAGTCTAGTTTGTTTTGACAAATAACCGGTCTTTTACTACGAGGCATCTGTCCACACACAATGGATTAGTGTTGGTGTGTTATTAGTTTACCAGGCTATTATCAGGTTACATGTATGTTTGTGCACACGCAAGCTTAGAGGGAGAAGATGGATTTATGTGTGCTGGATGATTTAGTTTAAGTTCATGAACCATGTTTATTTGTCTGCTCTTGAGTAATTGTGATTATGTGGATGGGATAACTGTATTTACAGCAGATTGATCTGTGTTCTGGGTGTATACCATCCTAGTTCTACTGGCTTAAGATTAGATATTATCTACACAATAATAGTTATGTAGGAAATCTGATATTCCTAGAAATTAACTAAGATAAAAAGATTAAATAGTTAAGAAGAATTCATAATTCTGCATTGAAATTGTTTCTTTTCATCACAATCTTCCACTGATTTGCTCAGTTAATGATATTTTATATATCGATGTTTGATATTATTATTCCTTCTGAGATGATTACTGGGGATGTAGGAAAATATTGATATATTTCTTATGATACTGTATTGTATCATAAGTTCTAGTATGCCCCCTGGACCCTGTGGAGGTGGTGAGTGACAGGAGAATGACAGTTAAACTGTCATCCCTGTTGGATAATATCTCCCATCCCATGCAGGTGACTTTGACAGCTATGAGCAGCTCCTTTAGTGGGAGACTGCGGCACCCAAGGTGTGTGACAGAGAGATTCCGGAGGTCTTTCCTCCCCACTGCTGTCAGACTTTACAACAAATCTGTTGGATGAAGTTTTATTCTATTTCTAAGCTGTATATAGTATGGTTTTTATTATTATTATTATTTTTAACCCATTCTTAAGGTATAAATTGTCTATTGTATTGAGTTTATTTTATCTCATTACGATTGAACTTATTGTATTTTAGTGTTTTCTCCCTCTGCTGCATAACTTTTACCTTACTTTTACGTGGCTGTAAACGAAACAAATTTCCCACTTGTAGGACTAATAAAGGTTATCTTGTCTTATCTTATCTTATTGATATTTAAAATCAGTGTATCCACCTTTTTCCTGGGCCAACTCATGTAGAAACGATGATGCGAGCAACATCCGGTGAGGTACCGAAAGTAGAGCATATTGATGTTCATGGTGCGGTTTTGTTTCTCGTTGCAGTTTATTTGAACATTTCAACAATTTTCTAAAAACTATTTCCTTCCAGTAAATGTACTTGTGCAGCTCAGGAACATGTTGCGCTGTGAAAGTAAAATTTGTGGCTACAAGAGAGATGTTTGGAACGTGCGCCTCAGACTAAGAGAGAGTGTGGCTGTGCAGTGCATGAGGACCCGGTCTTTCCCTCTCTCACTGCATTCTCAAACTGAATTAAAATTAATAAAAATTTAAAAATATATATACACAGACTGTAGACCCTAAAAATAGTGCTACTGTGTTAGCTTTGGCGAGACATATCATCCTCCCACTCTTCTATTGTAGTAGGCTGAGGGATTGTAACGGTGAGCTTTGACAGCTGGCGTTTCCACATATTTTACATTTCTAAAAAGGCCATAAAATGTGGATTAGTGCAAACGAATGACATCATCAATCCATGTAAACAAATGCTGGACTGGAAGTTGGTCACATATTTCATGCAAGGGCTCCTGGGGATGGGAATAAGGTGTTTACATAGATTTTATTGAGAATGCAAACATTTACTGTATTTCTTTTGTGTGGTGCAATTCAAACTCCACCTGCTAGATGACCGAACAACAAGATCTTGCGATAACACTGGATGTGTCTTGGAAGCATTTGACCAGTTTTCTTATAAAATTAAGTCTTAACGTAACACTGATTAGTTTCCAGCTCATCTGCCCTGTCATGAACAACCCAGCTGCAGCACGCTGTAGCTTGTTCTAACATGAGCCAACTAATACAAAAATAAACCACAACGTAAAAAGATCCACACGAAAATGTTATTACTTACAAGTCCAGTAGCAACAAAGCCAGGTCATTATCAGCCCATGATTTTGTAGCCTCCTTTAGCTCCCTCAAACTAGTGTAGGCCGCACCAATGTTCACTCTGGTTTTGGCTCTTTACTTTGCCTCCAAAGACATTGCTCTTACTTTTGCTTCCAGGCTCCGCCATGATGCCAACAGAAAAAGCAAACTCCCTCTTTTTCTTGTACTTTTTATTGATGATTGGTGAACCAAAAAACCTAACTGTTAGCATAACAGCTGACAGTCGTAAGGCAGTTAAATAGCTCCCCCTATAGGTCACCTACACACTTCACAAAACTGTTGAGTGTAGTATCTGTCTGGTCATGGACGTAATTTGTTTTGGGGGGGGGGTGACACCCCCCCCCCCCCCCCACTTTTTCCAAAGTCAAGTTTTGACCCCTGCACTTTTTACCATCCAAAAACAGTCTTACGCTATATTAAATTGACACTGGTTGAGCTCTAGGACCAGGCGGAAAACAACTGCTTGTGTTGAAGCCTGTTTCCCCATTAGAGCATACTGTAAAGATACCCCCGTCCTCCCCACTTCTAAAGTGAAAATTACGTCCATGTGTCTAGTCAAATATGAAACTGGTCAACAATCACTGAGATCAATGTTAAAGCTCTAGCTTAAAGTTTGAAAAAACTTTAAAAATTGCAAATATCCTCTTCCCTGTATTGTGATGTATTGCCATACCACTAATGACCAAGCAACAACTGCATGGCCAACCCCCTTCCCTCCCGAATATAAACAAATGGCAACTAGATGGAAATTAACATTGTTTGTTAATATCTGCCCGGTATTACTTTTTGAACCGATATAGATATGTTAAAAATGATTAGCATCAGCCAATACCAATTTTGATGCTGACCATGTATCCCTACTGTTTATTATAGTCAGTTTTCACTGAAAATTATCATTTTGGTTGTTTCAGTCATTTTTCTTGCTCTATGCTGTATGTCACTGTGAATGATGCACAGGAGAAGCCGCTTTGCCTTTCCCATTACTGCTGCATTATCTAACTTCCTGTAATGATTTTTACCATCATAGTCTGAGTGCCGTTTAGTGGTTTTTACACCCAGAAGACTCAGATCTTTCCATGTATCTATTTCTCTCTACAGCAAAGTCTCTGAGTGTGACATCTTCACCCCAAGGGAACGTGACCCTCCAGATCGGTTCTCCTCTCATCCTGACCTGTGAGGTGTTGGGTCTGCCATCTGAAGTCAGCTCGGGTCTGCAGGTCCAGTGGATGAAAAGGGGATCTATAAGCAGCGATACACTTGGCAATGGAGTTGAGGTATCAAGAGCTGTATTCTGCTAAATTAAGAGATTTTATTTTGAGAATTGCAGCTCACACTGTGTGTGCTGTAAAGGTTGAGGTGGCCCGGATGAGACCAGATGGGATTGTTAGCTGGGGGGATGATCTCAGCAGAGCCAGTGGTGGCTCCATGGAGAAAGTGGCAGAGAGAAAATACTCTCTCAAGCTGTTCTCGGCCCGGCCCCTTGACTCAGGGGTGTATCGGTGTGTGGTGAGTGTGTACGCTAGCAGGAACTACCTTAATCCCTCAATGCCGGCAATGCTCACCCAGAGGTCAGAGGACGTCACCGTCAACCTGAAGACAAAAGGTGAGCCTGTGTTTTTCTACTTTCTCTTGGAAACTTCTGAACATCTGACCTCCTTCATATCTGGTCTTGTTATTTCTAATTTTTAACAACATGGAGTGTTCTGCTTGCCTGGCCTGCCAGACTAGTCCTCTGTTTAACTCTGCACAGAGAACCAGTCTGGTTACTCACAGGCAGCGAGGCACATGAGGGGCGGGACTAGCCAGCCCAAAAATAACCAATCAGAAAAAGGGTGGAAATGCCAGCTGTACCGTGCGACCCTGTCGTTTTTTAGCTGTAGTCAAAAATGGCATCTTGCGACGGCGCAAACATCTTTCTTTAGAAGAAAGGCTTTTAGCACTTCTACTTGTTGTGGTTTTAACGACATGTTCAAGCCAATTAGAACAGAGGAAAGAGCCACAGCGAACTCCGCCTCAGACGCCATGTCTATGAGAAACTTAGCATTGTGCTGATTGGCTCGGTTAGAATTCTCAGGGGGTGGGGTTATTTGAATAGAAGACTTCCCAGCCCCATGCTTCTGGCTGGTCAGGCTAGAGTTCAGCTGCTGCTGTGTTTTGATATGAGTTGGATATTTTGGATTGTTTGGTTACCGGTGTGTATTACCAGTAAGAATCCATGGTAGTTAAAAATCATGTTGAATTTCTGATACGGTATTGGAATCAGTTTTCTCCAACAGTTTGACCGGAAACATTTGAAGCTTGATTTTCTGAACATGTATCTAAATGAACTTCATCCATAGTCAGTCCACTGGTTTCATATTAAAACCTTCATAAACCATCCTCTTTTTACTGCAGATGTCTTTGTTTCGGCTGTAGCTGAGCTTCCCCGCGGCCCTCTGTTGAAACCTGGCAGCACCATCTCCTTAATCTGCAACACCACCATCAAGACCACAGGTCCCACTCAGGCTCAGGTCCAATGGTTTCGTTGGCCACTCCCTAAGCTGGTTACCAAAGCGCATGTAGACCCACTAGACCCTCCAGGTGAAAAGGATCCCACGCTCATTGCCGCTCTAATGTACAGCGGCATTGTGAACATCTACGTCAACAACAGCGAGATCAGCGTGGACCGGCTGTCAGCTGACAGCTACAGACTGAGGGTGCACATGGCATCGATAGAGGACCAGGGCCTGTACGTATGTCACAGTGAGGCCTGGGGGCAAGACCCACATGGAGGCTGGTACAACACCGGGTCCAAAGCACAGTCAAATGCAGTGACTGTTTACCTGTATTCCAGAGGTAAGAGCCTTTCTTTGCATGTGTTGGGTTATTTACTCTGAACCATGACCATAAACATGAGGGATTGTGTTTAAACAGAGCATTTGTCAAACTTTTTGTTTTTTACAAACTGTATTTATTTGTTGTCCCACCAACCTATAACTGGGCGCTGTTTGATAAATCTAGTGCCTGTTAAGCAGTGCCGCTGTAGCTTTTAGGTTACCAGGCCAAGTGTTTTTCACATGATTCATCTTAGGTTTTCAAGACCAAACTAATGGATCAAAGACAAGGTCAAACTGAAAGTGTTTGGTTCAGCGTTGGCCCTCAGCCAGTTTAAATTCCAAGTACTGACCTTGAGCAACAACTACACATTCTGCCTCCATTGATTCCACTCTTGCCCCCCACCCCCACCCTACCCCCCAACACACACACACACAGAGCAAATGGCAAACCTGTATACTTACACTATCTGTATAAATATAGTTTATAGTCTTTAGTCAGTCGGGGGCTTATTATTCATAAAATGTTTCTTTTTCTTCTACAATTGTTTAACTAAGTAGGTTATTACTTCTTTGGTGCTACAGTTTGAAAAGCGTGGATGCACAGTGGACCTGATCTCTTTGGTTTGGAGCAAAATGTGTTGATTTTTTTCTTAATATTTGGCCGAACACGATGCAGATCAGTAGCCTAGAAATCTAGACAAACCATAGAAGTAGAACTTTATTTGCTCTGCTGGTTGGTCTAGGCTTGCTCCATTGTAGCCCCAGCAGGTTTATCATAGGCCAGGCCAATCATTGCACTATATGTTTGTAAAGAGATTTTGTTGGGCAGCCTTAGCACCATTATGACAGAGCTTTTTTTGTTTTGTTTTGTTTTCACGATGATGGTAAAGCTGCATCAAAGCAAAGCAATAAAGATGGTGCCGGTTCAAAAACAACACTAGTTTGAAATGACTTTGGACATCCTCAGGTACCAGACATCAGACCATGGAGAAAAGAATAAAAATACACCAGGTTTCATTAAAAAAAGCCATCAGACGTCTGACTAAATAGTGTCACGTTCTGCCCCTGCCCTCCTGACTGTGTCTCTCTCCTGCCCTGATTAGTCCGTATTGTTCTCACCTGTCCCTTGTTAACCTGCCCATGTTTCCCTAATTAGCCTTCTGTATTTATACCACCTGTTTTGCTCCTGTCCTTTGTCAGATCATTGTTGCTTGTAGTCCTTGTGTTTTGTTCCTGTCGTTCCCAGTCCTCCATTAAAACCATTTTACTTTTACTGAAGCCTGCATTTTTTACCTCCTGGTCAGCTCTGCCACACATGGTCCGCCGTCATCCACATCCACATCGTGACAAATAGTATCAAACAAAAAGTTCTCCAAAAAAGTATCTTTCTGGCTAAAAGGTTTCAGGAAAAAGTGTCAGTGTTGCTGATGTGTTTTCTCCTGAAATACTTTTTCCTGAGATGTTTGCGTCTGATGCCATTTAGTGATGAGTCTTATGGTTTTTTAATGAAACCTGATTATTTTTCCCCTGACACCTTAGACCTGAGGATGTCCTAAAATGTACACCATAGGCATGAGAAGATAGGTACTTAAGTCCTTCATTTGGAAAAAGCATTGACTAATTTCCGTCACTATGAATGTGTCATGATGTTCATTGCTCTGATTGGTCCCAGCATTATCCAATAGCACGCAGAGACAGTTTTGAAAGACAACCGTAGATTCCTCCCCACGACTGGGCGCTGTCTATGAGTCGTGGCCAGACTGCATATTCACATAAATAGGATGACTTTCCTGACTAGCTGATCAGTAATTTTGTAAAAGATGAAATTACCTCAACATTTGTTTAATCATAATTGTTAAGTTCCACTTGCAACAAAACAACCTAAAATCATGACAGTACCTCTGCCGTGCCAAGCAGTTGTGGGCTGGACTCCCTCACATTTACTTTTCAGTAGCCACAGCAAACTCTTGTGATTGGTGTGCTCATCTGTTAAATTGATGGTGAAGGATTTCTCTCAGACAGTCTGAGTTCTCGTTTTTATTAGTGAATTTTCCACAGGTCAGAAAAACGAATCCCTTTTAGATCACAGGCTTAATGTACGTTTGGGTCTCTGAAGCTAAATCCAAAGAGAAATGTATTAAAGATAGATTCCACAGGCCTCTTTTTGGCTTTGACTCCAGAACATCTCTGACTTTATTGGATTTCCATTTACAAATCATCTAATTGTTCATGAAGTGCTGGGACTGGCATAGCCAGATGCCACCCTCATCAGCGGGCATCTTTAGAGAAACCCTTGTAGCTGGCAAACTAGAAGACCTAAAAAATCCAATCCAGATATTTTGATTAGATTTATTCTCTATGCCATGACGAAGCCTGACTTTAGTGCTCATTGCCTTAATACAAATGTCTCCTCTCTTGTCTTCTGTTTAGCTACCGATCTCCTCCTCATCCCCCTGGTGGTCGGAGTCTCATCAGCTTTGTTTGTGGGCATCGTCATCATCGCAGCTGTGACCTGCTGCTTCATGAAGCGGCTGGCGAGACAGCGCACTCAGAAATAAAAAAAAGTGTCTAAACTGCCACCGGCCATCTGGAAACTGATGGGGGGTTTTTTCAACTGAAAAAGGAATTGCAGAAGACATAATGAAAGAGGAAAAAGTACCAGGAGAAAGGACTTGAGGACAAAATGAAGCGAGAAGCGACTTTGTGTTTAGGTTTAGACGTTTCACGGTAAATGCCAAAAAAGGTCTTTTTTAATTGTTTCAACAATGTTAGATGGTTTGCGATTCACCGATGGCACAGGTTTTGTCTCAGCTTGAGGTTTCAGGTGGAAAAGAAATATTTTTGTTACTTGTTTTTCATCCTAACCACACGTCCCGTAATCCCTCCCTCCATTTTGTTAATGTGACTTTTCTATACAGCCGACTATTTTCTTAAATGTTACATGTTGATGCTTTATTTCCATACAAAGCTGGAGGTGTAGGCCACTAAAAAGGTACCACTGGCGCAGGTTCCCTTCTGCAGTCACACTTCTGTTTCACAGTTGCTCCTTCCTCGAATCGAGTTATTTAGGTGAAAACAGTGAAGTGCATGGTGTTTGTCACCCAGACTCAGACTCAAACACCCCCCCTCCTGCAGGCTGGTGCAGCTCTGCATGTTAACTCTGTCTGAGTTAATGAGGAAGAGGTTGGGATCCCTTTAGAACAAATGTTCATTTTATGCATTTCTCACCATTGTTGCTTCATTTTACTTACAGATGATGTTTTTTTAGAGGAAAAATTGCACTGAGCAATAAAATTTTCAGACCTGATTTATTTTCTTTTGCATTGTAAGTGCTCTAGCACCATTTAGTTTGTCTAACTTGTGTTTAACATTCTGCTGCAGTCTCTGCTCCTTTTTTAACACTTGGACCAAAAAGGCAAACTGGGATCCAGAGAAAGCCCTTTGGTGTCCTTTTACGTGGTTATCCATCTGAAAATTCATTCTGTGGTTGTTTTTTTTTTTTTTTTTTTTGTTCTTGTTTGTTGGATTAAAACTTCCTCTGGTGCTGTCTAGTGGCGACGATAAAAAGGCAGCTCTGTGACAAACATCTTGTTAATGCAGTAAACATAAACATGCACTGACAAACAGGACTGTGTTGTTTCATGTTTGTGTTGTTTAATGGAAATGTGTCCCAGAAGTCAGGCTTTGTTTTCCTGCTGCACCCATATGCATGGACGTGTTAGTGAGGTCTCTTTATGGTCATCATCATCATCATCCTGTGGTTCAGGCTTCTTACTGATGCTGCCAGGACTTGTTATGACTAGAGCTCCCTCTGGAAGCCCACAGAACTCGGTTGGAGAGATCTGTGCACTTAAGCTGGATGAAATATATCCTCCTCTTCCTGTTGAAAGAAAATTTCAGGGTTCATCCACGGACTTTCTGTCTCTCTTTCTCTCATTTGGAGTCCTCCTAAATCTCCTCATCGTCCTTAGTTGTGCTCTCAAACCCTGATTATCCCAGACTTTTGTTCTTTTCTTGCTTTTTGAGCATCATTTGCCACACACACACACATGCACTCTGCAGCTGCAGAAGCAGCCGCTACAGGCTGGAATTTCAGATAACGGTGAGCGAGTATCTGCATGTTCATCTCTAATCCGTGTTTATGGCTGCACAGAATCCCGCAGCCCTTCCCCCACCTTGTATGTGGCTCACATACAATTCATTTCCATCTTAGAGAATTACATCAGTGAACGGTTTAGGCAAACTGCATGCAGAATATTAAAAATAATCATGTTTGTACCACAAGGGGATACCCTTTCACCAAAGTGTTTTTTTTTAATTATTGTTTACTCAAGCTAAAGTACCGTTGTTCCTGAATGCATCATACTGCCACTGAAAAATCTTCATTAGAGCAGGTTGTTGCTCAATTTTGTTACTTATGGTGCTTCAACAAACCTGCCGGCTGATAAAACCAATAAACCACTCTGGAGTTTTATTGTCACGTTGCATTTTTTTTCCTCCCTGGAGTGTGTTTTCAGAAAAGCTTTAGGGGCAACCATCCGAGTTATTGCAGAGCATTCTGTAGGGAAAATAATCCAGCTTTTTCCCATTTTCCCTTGTTAAGAAAAAATCCAAAACATTTCTTGTGGTTTCTGGAAGTTTCCATGTTGGGATCAGCGATGCAGAGGCTTGTGTTTCAGATCAAGATGCTTTAGTTTTTTGTGATGCAGACAAACCAGTATTTTTGCTGAAAATATTACTAAAGATGCTTTTTATTTAAATGTTTTTTTTACTACAAATACTCATTTTTAGAAAATATCTTACAGCAATAATTTCATTTTAGCTAGACATTCTGCATTCTGCTGTGATTTTAAAGATTGTTTCTGTACAAATCTAGGTCCCTTTGGCTTCTTTACTGATAAATATGTTCTTGGACGTCAGAAAGTCTCTCTGAGTCAGAATTGCAACTTAAAATGTTTTTACCGGCTCCAACGTTCAACATGGCTACATAAATAGTTGTGGTAATCAGCACTTTACAGGGTTTGTGCATCAGTAATAACACACATTGAGTTTAAGTGTTTGAATGCAGTGTGATCTGTTGTTCTTGCCTGTCTTTCTGGTCTGATCACTAAGCAAACTTAACTAATTGGTTTCTGAGCTTCTACTGGAATATGACCAACTTCAAAATGGCCAAAATATCTCATTACGACACACACATTTTGCAAATTTGAAAGCAAACTTCTGTCTCAATAACAAAGGTTTTGGCACATAAAATTAGAGCTAAGATACAGGCTTCCAGATCAGCTACAACACTGTTAGGATTTCTTGAGGTATAAAAAAAGTGAACAAATCATCTAAATGACTTCGTAGAAATGATCTGGGCTCATTTGCTTTGCCCTTGTGGATAAACAAATGTTTCAAAAGATTTGTTTGAATGCATAGTTTTTGTTTTAGTCTGCATTTACAACAAATGTGCAGACATTGAGTCTCACAATAGGAACTACATAAATATAAAAATTTTACACTAAATACCATAAACTGATCTAAAACTACCCTGGTTCTGTGTCTCTGTACTGTATCCATTCACAGAGCATTACATCACTAATGCAAATTCAGTACCAGTGTTAATCCTCCCGGACTTCCTGTATGATGTTGCAGACAAACAGAGACTTTAGTCACGAGCTGATACGACTCTGCAGGCTGGTTGGTTCACTCTGCCGGCCAATCCCTGATGATTACACATTAACCAAGTCTGAAATAAACATGTACTTTCTGCTAGCTGGGCTCTGTCTTCACACACACACAAACACACACACACACACACACACACACACACACACACACACACACACACACACACACATATTGTTAAATATATATATATATATACACACACACACATATATTGTTAAATATATATATATATATATATATATATATATATATACATAACATGTGGGCAAATAAAATGATTTGTGCAGATTTTGAAAACACTTTTAATATAAAAACAGTAGAAATAAAACTGCAATGAGACATTTTGTCACAAGGACAATTGCTCTCGGGTGCTCACAACAATTACCGTATTTAACAAAATTTCAAGGATTACATTCAATATGAATGTAATTTATGCATTAAACAACGTTTAGCATGAAACAAATAGTTCTTTGAGTCTATGATAAATTATTCTGTAGATTATAAGTCAACGAGGAGCTGGTCTGGCTCTATGCATGTCTATTACAAAAACTACCAGCACTTTAAAAGTAGTTTTAGCCTGTACAGAAGCAGTACACCAACTTTTCACCCTTAGTCTCTGACAATGTTCTGTTTCTTTCTGACCACTAAAACAATTTTCAAAACAAGGTTTTACTGTTTACAAGTAACAAAAAATGCATCTAAGTCTATTCGTGCAAATAAAAACAGAGTTATCCTGGAAAAATACAATAAAACAGAAAACTACTTGATGGTGCAAAAATACTTGCTGGCAGCACCTGTTTGCATGTATTATTGTCATCCTACTCAGTACTCCCGTATAATCAGTCCAACGTGACATCATGTCTGGTAGCTGCAGGACCAAGATCGAGGCATCACCAACTCCCAGAATCCATCCTGCTAATGAAAAGGAGAAGAATTATTAAAGATGCAAAGCTCCTTCTCATCTTTCTATAATCAGAGTAATTCAGAAAGTCCCTGACTTTTGAGGATTTCTGCAGGGAGACACTAAGCTGCAGAGGTTCATGGTAGAGCTAAGAGTGTTAAGTTCATGTGAGCCCATCTGTGATGCTAATCCTCTTTATCAAACATCTGGTACAAGAACGGGACATTCTAAGGGTTGAATTCACACCAGTCGTTTCTATTCACTATTAGTTTGTGAGCTTATTTGTGATCATTAAAGGTTGATGTCTTTTATTTATGGGGGAACATTTATGGGAATATAATTAGTGTGGAAGTTAAGATAACAAATAAGGGTCATTTCCCCTTCTGATGATTGTGAATCATTAAAACATTCGTTATTCCTTTAGCTAACATTCATAGTCACTAATCTGCTGGTCTAGTTTTAGTACTTAAGTAATAAGTGTCCCCCTAGGCTGTGCTGATGTTAACTGGTTTAGCTCTTTGCTTCACCTCTAAAGACATTACTCTCGGCTCAGCCATGCTACATGCAACGATGACGGGGCGAGCACCTAACTCCTGTGCCACCGTCGCCCCATTATGTTACGGTGCTTTAACAGACGTGGGACCCCATAACACTATCACAGCTTCGAAAATAAGCATAATAGATGATAATATGCTGCTAGAACTTAAAAAATTCACCAATATTTTAAGGTGTAAAAGTTGCAGAATGTGTCTTTAACACTAGCACAGTAAAAAGAATTATTGCATATCTCTTGAAAAGATGATGTTTCTTTTTGTGCATCCACCTTAGATAATCTGAGGCCACCTTGTGGGGCACAAAAATGTGAATCTGTCTTACATTCAGATGGAGTACCTACCCCGGTGCGGGGGCAGTGGATCTGGGCGTACCACTCCTGGCAGTACAGACACACCTGGACGCCCTGACCGAGGAAAAGACACGCCCACATGATGACGTTGAACACGGGGCTCTGGCGTTTGTCATTCATGGTGAAGTTGAATGCCACTATGGAGAAGAACATGAAGGTGATAGGTTTATCAGTAATGTTTTGTTTGTGTTGTGGCTGGGAAGAAGAGAGGTCAACTAAGGCGTGGAAATAACTAAATAAGCAGAAACACAAAGGACAGAATATCCAAATCTGTATCAGACTGGGCTGTCTGGAAGAAGCTGAATAAGGATCTGAGATATTTTCATTCTGAAGGGTAAAACGGATTTATGGATTTAATTGACCAGCAATGAACAAAAGAGCTTTAAAATGTATCAGTTGTAATGATGCAGCCATAAAATATCCCAATATTTTCTCTTCTTGATTAACAAAAAAAGCCTTATTATATTCTCCCAAGAGCACAAAATAATTTAAATTGCTTCGGCGATGAAGATCATTCCATGAATAATAAGCACATCCCTCACCTCCAAAGACCGCAAAGAGGAGAAACATGACAGGGTAGAAGAAGCCGAAGCCCATGGCCAAGGCGTACTCATGCACAACGGCAGAAACGATGAATACGGAGAGCATGGCTGCTGCTCTGAATCTCCTGTTGGACAGCTGCAAGGATCAGAGGTCAAAAGTTTTTCATCATCACAGGACATGTGATTTTATGGTGCTCACCCAGAGGAAGTCTCTGTAGCCGTAGTAATACAGCCAGTCATGAACCACCACGTTCCAGGTCCGGTAGTAGTTAGCAAAAGATGTGGAGTTCCACCAGTCCTGGGAAACAAAAGCCAAGGAGGCATTAATTCAGTATGACTGGATCAGAAGGAAAATTCATTCATTAATGCCTCAATAACTCACACATCTGCAATTAATCATTCACACTCACACACAAATGATTTCGATTCTGGTCGGTTTCAGGTGGAGAGGCAAAGCTCTTTGATTTTGCAGAAGCTACACGATCATTACAAATCAATTACAGCCAGGTTTGAAGGTCAGGCTTTGGGCCAAAGACCTGGCTGTTGTGTCTAGGTGGATGAGGAGATGAAACAAATAAAAACAAGTCCAAAGTAGGAGTCTTCTGTAAAATGTGTTGATTATGTGTGTTTCATAACATCTGAAGACAGAAATTAAACATTTTAGGAGATGGAAAATTGATTTTCATTTCAAAACCTGCAACTTAAAGGACAAAAACCAAGAAACACACAGATCATCAAGCTAGATGTTTTGGATTACTGGTCCTCTGTAGTGGAAATGATCAACTCCCATCACACCCTAACAGAGTTCCTGAACATACTCCTCTCTAACAAGGAATACATTTAAAAAATCCAAGGAAGTTCATGAAAAGTTTTGCAAGACCTGTGTAACGGAATGAAAGGACTGTTTTCTATCTAAAAGTCATTTCCCCCTCTCCTCAGCAATAACTAATCTGCATGAGATATTGCTCAAGGTCTCATGCATCTGCTCATAAACTGTTTTCCTTTCAAGCCCAAGAGAAGAATGAAGACAAAGGACTCTCTCTTTTTAATAAATCAAACAACTCTTTTTTAATGAGATAATCAAACAAAGTGTTAGTCAATAATAAAATGTGAAACAATTTGTGAAATGAAAATATTAATTACTTTATTATAATCCTACAGAATATAATAAGTACCGTAAATCCTCTAATACAGGCCCGGGCCTGTATTTGACTCAAGCTCATCAGGCTCCAGGCCTTTATTGGAAGGAGGGCCAGTATTAGAGGCAGGCCTCTATTTCTATTTGAGCAAAATGAACTAATGGTTCGCTGGAGTTTTTGACAATTAAAAGTGCGCCCACATTTTCAAAGTTAAACACATTTCTTATAACAACGGTAGTTCCTGCTTCAGCCATCTCCCCCCTCTCCCTGTGCAGCAGCCGCAAACTCACTGATGCGCCTGCAGCCTCTCGGAGTTCCTGCTGCTCTAAACATTAAAATAATTATTTCATTTTCTGTTCCTCACTTCTGATGACCTTCAATGGTGTCTGTTTGTTGCAACAGCAGGTACAAAAACTAACTTGTTTTTATTTGACTATTTTTCTGTCCTGCCTGTTTATTATCTTCCTGCATCTCCTCTCAATCCTAAAGAAAAACTGCTACCTGGGTTCATATATATTCACCTCATGAGTTACCTTTGAACTGCAGTTCTAAAAGATCTACCGACCGCAAAAACAGCGGAGCGCTCGCTGTTTGGCGGCCGTATCAGTGATCAGTGCGTCGGAGGACAAGGTGATGCGCGCAGCGCCCCGCTCCACAGCAGCGAAACGCATCAAGCGCAAATAAAAGACAGAAAACATTAAAGGAAATGAACTGACATGAACGATCGCGTGTTAAATTAGTTTTTGAGGTGGTGACACCTGATTGTTACTGTGGCCGTGCTCAGGAGGCAGATCTACCGACCGCGAAAACAGCGGAGCGCTCCCTGCTTGGTGGCCGCATCAGTGATCTGTGTGTCGGAGGACAAGGTGAAGCGCCCCGCTCCACAGCAGCGATACACATCAGGCGCAAACAAAAGACAGAAAACATTAAAGGAAATGATCCGACATGAACGATCACGTGTCAGTACCTACGGTCTGGCACAGCGTGTAGCCCCCACCCCCACCCACCCCCCCACCCCGAGCGCAGGAGCTTGTCACCTGCTGATAGCAGGCTGCTGTCTTTTCCGAGGGCTGCATCTTGCCGGTCATTATCACGTGACAGCGACTAGTCGACAACAGGCATAAAAAGTCACTATAGTGAAGTTGACTAGTTCATACACCCCCTACTGCTGCTCTCCAGAGTGTTCTGCAGCATAATCAGCATGTTTTCTTTGAACTTGATAGTGTAATGACCTGGCTGGGGTTGTAAGCCAGGTGCATTCTGGGTATTGTGTTATATGTGTTTCCTATCGTTCTGCTAGTTCCTATGTGCTGATTTGCGTGTTGTGTGAGTGTTATGTAAGCCACAGGGAAGGTGATGTGTGTTCTGTGGAGTGGGTTGAATTAGCATGGTTAACTGACACCGTGACTCTGTGTGGTAGGAGCGTGATAGAGGATCGTGTCTGTAGCGTTACAAAGCGTTGAAGAAAAAGCCTAATAAAGGTCTGCGTGAACCTCTACTGCCTCCTGCTGGTTGTTTTGGGTACTATAACCCAGCCGCTGTGACGCTCATACTTGCTTGTTACCACATTCCATCCGGCCACAATAAGAGACCGGCTATTATTTATTTACCTCTGCTGACTCCAACACCGGCCAAGATTGGAGATCCGGCCTTTAATTGAGTACCGGCCTGTATTAGAGGATTTACGGTAATATAACTTTAAATGTTTCCACTAGAGACTGATCACACCTACGATTAAGACATCATACATTGCTTTTATTGATCCAATCAGAATCTGCCAGATCTGACGGAGGCGTGGTTTTGGTGGTGCTTGGTAAATCTGTCATCTTTTCATTCGACCATAGACCAAAACATCCAAAGTATAAAACTATGCCCACGCCATCTTTAACTCCAGTTCAAAGCGTTCTAGAGAAGTTGACAAAGTGGCCAATCCGTAACTTTCCTCTTCAGCCAAAAGACATGTAAATTAAACCTTTACACCTGCAAACAAATATAAAAAGATTAACCGCAGCAAAAATCTGCCTCTTCAATATGAAAATAAACCAAATATTGAAAATTTACATATTTATCCAGTTCACTGAGTCACTTTTTGTTGTTTTTATCAGCTTCTAAATAAAAATGATGTTTATTCTAATGCTTTATTTACCTGGAGTCAGTAGATGTGATTAGCATAAGGACGTATTGTGCAGTTTCTGCATTAAAATGTGCTAATCAGGGTTTGCATCCAAGGTTTGTTAGCTAAACAAACAATAGTGGAGTTACTAACTCAACATGTCAGCTTCACAGTTTACAGGCCAACATCTAAGTATTGTTTCTGTAAGAAGTCATAAAAATACATTTATCAGCATGCAAGTTGGAAGATGCAACACTACAGCTATTGTTTTGGTCAGCTATGCAATCCCCCCCATCCCAAAAACAAAATAAATGCTGCCAATGATGTGTTCACAGGTGAGTTACCGTGACAGAAAATCAACATGTATCACCTTGTAGAACATCCTGTCAGCGAAACGAAGCAGCTCCCCGAAGAGGTTCAGCCAGCAGTGCAGGAAAGCGAAGAAACACAGCAGGAGGAGCATTATTCCTGATGCACAAAGATGAAGAACGTAAGTAAGTAAGTACTGTAAGTACATTTTATTTATATAGCACTTATCACAGACATAGAATCACAAAGTGCTTCACATAGATCAAAACAAAATAAAACAAAGTCATAAAATCATAAATAGATTTACATCATAAAATCAAAATGCTCTCCAAACAGAATTAGATTAAAATCAGAAAAAATAGTCATAAAATTATTAATTTTCATAAACAGATGAAAGATTAAAAATTTGAGTTAAAAATAAGAAAATAAAAGATTTAGTTAAAAGAAGCTTCAAATAAAAGGGTCTTTAGCTGTTTTTTAAGTGTCCAAACTGTCAAAGCTGCGTAAGGATAATCCCAGAGTCACATGGAACATTTTCACTTCCTTCCCAGGTTTCTATTAAGAGCTGCAACCCAACACCACCGGCATTTACTCTAAAAGCTCTTCACTTTACTATAGTAACAAACCTGCCAGACCTTTATCTGATTTCATAACAGCATCTTCAATCTTATCAGATACTGTCAGAAACTGCAGTTAATAGGATGTAACATGTTTGTCAATGGTAACCCGCTGGAGAAAAGAAAAGTAGTACAAATAGGAATGATGTCAGAGATTCACTTTAACAATCTAGTGACTAGATTTTTTATTTTTATTTTTTGTTAGTATACCTGGTAATATGGAGTGGAACACGGCTAGAACCATCGTTCGTTTACTGAAAGGCTGATTGGTCTCAGGTCTGAAGACAGGAATGCAGAGACGGACCAGGATGAAGTAACCATAAAACAGGCATGCCAGAATCTACAAATAAAGCATTCAAATTAAAATTGTTAGTTCACATTTTATTTCCTTGGAAAATCTTATGAAACAGTTAAAACTCTCGTTCAATCATTATGTCAATAAATATGCAGAGGTCTCTAGTATGAATAGTTGTCTGTGAAAAAAAGTTCTGGCGCTCCTGTTTCAGCACATAGAAGGAGAGGAGTCAGAAAGCAGCGGACTTTGGAGTCTAAAGCCACATTCACACCAAATGCTGAACGGTACAGTCCAGTTTCTGAATGGACAGCCATTTACACCGACTGTGATTAGTGTGCTGAACATCATCCTAAATCTGCTAAACAACATTAACCTCACGTCGCTGTCATTAATAATTAAAAAAGCTGGCAAAATAATGTACCGAATGTTCCTAGCTGTTCCACATCTCACTTCCTGTCTGGCTCATGTTATTTATGTGACTGACAATGCTCTTGCGGTGTCTGGAAAACATAGCCTTCATGCTGAAACTTTCCAGAGCTATGCATCTGGAACTGAACTGCAGTTGGAGTGAATGCTCTGACTGGAATCAATGCGGAAGTCGTATGGAAAACGGACTGCATCCGTTCCGGATTTGGTATGAAGCTTTACTCATTAGCATTCATGATATTTGTGTATCTCGTCTCTGATTGGGTAACAGCAATGCAACTCTTCCACTGCCTCTGTTTGTCCTGGAATGTTGGTGTTTTATCTCCACAAATAATACGAGCCTGAAGGAGGGTTACTGTGTTGTGGAGTTGCTAATTCTAACAGTTAGCTTCTACTAGCCAAGACGTGCTCTGCTCTCTCCTGGACACAAAATAAACAACAGCCTTCTTCATCATGAGCCAAGATGGATGAGTCCATCCATCCACTTTTGTAACCCACTTTTCCATGCAGGGTCACGGGGGGGACTGGTGCCTATCTCCAGCTGTCATTGGGCAAACAGGTGGGGTACACCCTGGACAGGTTGCCAGTCCATCACAGGGCAACACAGAAACACACAGGACAAACAACCATCCACACACACACTCACACCTAAGGACAACTGAGAGAGACCAATCAACCTGACAGTCGTGTTTTTGGGTTTTGGGAGGAAGCCGGACCGGAGTATGGATGAATCTATTGATCCTAATTTACAGTGTGACATTGATCTGTGTGGCTTTGTCCAACCTGAGAGTTTCCTCGTCTATTTTCTATCGCCAGCTAATGCTGGAAATGGGGTACTAGATGTTAGCCTGCATGTGAAACTCAGAGTGGCCTACCATACTTCAAAAACAAGTAAAAAAAGATTTCTAAAAAAACTTGCTTTTTGACTACTTTGATTACAGTGGGAGACAACTTACCTTGCCAAGGGTAATGGCAACATATTTCCATCGGATCTGGTTGTTTCTGAGAGGAAAAGGCAGAATGGTAGACACAAAAACATCTATGTGCTGATTGCTCCAGTAAAAACCTCAGACAGCTTGTCTTGGGCTCTTTGAGCCATTACTAATCCCTTTTTTGCTGTTTTCCTTCTGATGGTGCAGCTACAATTATGTGGAAGGATTGATTGGGCTGTTAACGTTTTTAAGGTGGAACAATGTCAAAATTATTTTTAAATGAACACCAGAATAAATCTCTTTTGTGCAACAAATGACAACTTTTCATTTATGTTATGTCAATTCTAAGGTTCTGTCATTCTATAAATTCAATCTAATAACTATATGTGAATTAAAACTTGCAATATGAGTAAAAATACCATTTCTCAGTCAGCATGACTTACCGAGGGTACGATTCCCGGTAGATAAGTGTTGGACAGAAAAGGAAGTACAGATAGCTGGAAAATGTAGGAAACCTGAGATTTCCCCCTGAAATATAGAAAAAGTTCAGTTTTTATCTCTAAAACACATAAAATTCAACCTGGGCTGCAAAATCTTTAATCAAGAATTACACCCCTACTGAATTACAAAAGTTAAAAATAATATTATAGAGAAGTGCTCCATTAATGCTTCTGATTTATGGGTTTTGCTTCATTGCCCACCATCAGGTGTCTGCTTTAAATAACAGTGCTGCTTAATTTATATTTACTGCATTATTAATCAGGATGTTTCCCTTAATCAAACTTCTGTGGTTTAAACTTCTTGTAAAAGCCTCATTTTGGATTAAAAACATTTGTGAGGCAAATAATCCAACAGCAAATATTTTTGCGTGACAAAAACATGTACACTGTCCATCCTTTCAGTCCCATTTAATCTGAAAGGATTATGGAATTATGGCCAGCGGATTGTTGAGGGTTTGATGGCAACTTGCTTTTTATTACCTACAGTAACTTTAAAAGCCCATTAGGACAAGTTCATGAAACATTTATCTATTGTGTGTTTTCTTGTTATTGTTGGGATTAATATCAGCATAAATCATTTTCTATTTAAACCGCCTGAGTTTGGTTTTAATTGTTTTTTAGCCCGTGACTCTAGCAGTGTGAGTACTGATAGTGCCGGCGGAGTAAATATGCCTGACATCAAAGCTGCATGGTTTGTTACCTTTCTTTGGTGTGTTCTTTATAATGACTGGAGCCGTTTCTCTAATGAATGAGTAGGTTTTCATCATGAATCGAATCTGGGGAAGTTACAGCGTCAGCAAACAGATCTCTCTATGTATTATTAAACAATTTTCAACAAAAAAAAAACACATTTTACAAAAACCATGGCTTGTTTCTGCTATTAAATGACAAATAAGCAGCCATGAGGCCACGTAAGAGTCTTAATTAGACCAACATCCACACAAACCTGCTCCAGAATCACGATGAAGCGAGAGGCCGGTGGAAGCTGGTGATGCACGATGGTGTGGATTGGGTACAGTCCCAGAACGCAGGTCTGAATGACACACAGGATGAACCCCGTACCCAGGGACAGAGCCAGTTTCCAGGGAATTTGGTGATATAAAGAACTCCAAAGCTCCAGGGCGTAGTAGGGAACAAACAGGGTGTACACAAACATAATAACCCAGGCAATAGTGACAGTCCCCAGATTCCCAAAGGAGTAGGACAGCAGGTCAAACTCCAAGACCAACCTGGAAGAGCAAAAAAATTACAGAAAAAAAAATAAATAAATTTTTGTTTTATTCTGAACAAAAGTTGTCTAGCTTTTCAGATAAATGCATGAGCATGAAACAAAAAGACACTTTAAAAATTATTTTGAACAACCTTCTTGAGTCTAAAGCTGCTAAATGGACTGAATACATTTATTTAAAAGACCCTTTCAGGTTATAATAACAAAAGCTTTATCATAACGTTCACTCACTTCTGCAGAAACCAGTGCTATTCTTACTTCTGCTGCACACTTGTTAAAATGCATGTAAACTGAGAGTAAAAATGTCAGATAGCTTGCACACAGAGGAGCTGATCCTTCTTTGTTTGTTCTCAGATGAAACGAAACTATTTGAAACTGAAAACAGCAAACTAAATCGTTACTGAGCAGCCCGGAGTAAGAGGAGCAATTCCCAGAAGGATTGATTACGTTATCTTCTGCTGCCAGATGAGGAGCAGCGAGGAAGAAGCACAGTGTGGAGAAACAGGAAAAAAGAGTTGAGGAGAAAAGAAAAGTTTATTTTTTACAGGCTTTGGGCCATAACTGAGTTTCTTTAGATCCTAGAGTTGAAGAGGGGACTTCATCATGGCCATGAACATCTTAAGATGTGACAAACTCTAGGGAAAGCCTGAATGTTTTACAGCTGCGGTGAAGAGACAAGGTGTCTCTGTTGGACTGTATGGGACAACGACTGTCCTCACAGAGCAAGACGATTGCAAATCAATACAAATAAGTTGAGATTTATCACCTTTATCCTGTTATAAGAAGCTTTTATTGTGATGGATTGAATCCTTTTTCAGTTTGCTCCCTAAGACATATAACTTCTTCATATTTTGCTTCCTCAGATTTAAAGATTTTTTTTATCTTAGTGTTTTTTTTTAATTATTTTTATTTATCACCTCCCCATTCATTCTTTGGTGAGACTGACCTGCCCTGGTCGATGTAATCCACAGCCAGCGTGCTCAAACAGAAGATGAGGAGAACAGCGATGAACATGTGGTAGATGGTCCTGATGTGGCTGATCTCAAACAGCTCACTGAAGAAGAGAAGAAAAAAGAAAAATATAAATAAATTAAATCTTGTACACAACAAAACAATGAAACAAACAAACACAAAAAAAACATGAATTCAGTCGTTTTAACCTTGACATTTTCAGTACCTTCCAGAATGAGCCATCACTATGCCGTCACTTTCAGAAAACAAGCTGTTGCCGGCCACGCCCACCCATCTCCTGCTCAGGCTATTATAAGCTGAGAAGCTCTGATATTCAGGAGGGGCTTAGAGTAGAGCCACTGCTCCTTTAGCAGCAGCTCTCTCTTGTGTGTGAACGGTAGTTCTGTATTCATTTCCCCAATTGTGATGCCACAAATGGAGACTTTTTGAAACTGTGTGAAGCCAGTTGAGGTGGCTCAGGCATCTGGTTAGGATGCCTCCTGGATGCTTTCTTGGTGAGGTTTTCCAGACACGTCCAACTGGGAGGAGACCTAAAGGAAGACCCAGAGCACCCTGGAGGGACTATGTCTCTCGGCTGGCCGGGGACACATTGGGATTCCCCTGGAGGAGCTGGCCCAAGTGGCTGGGGAGAGGGAAGATTAGGCCTTTCTGCTGCCCCTGTGACCCGACCCTGGAAATGTGGACAATAATGGATGGATGGATGGATGATTTTTTTTTTTTTGCGTTTCAATTGTATATGGAGCAGTAGAGACCCACATGGCAGCAATAAAGTATGCAAATAATGAATTTTGCATATGTCCCTTTTAAATGTAATGAGAAGTAAAATTCGGTGTAGTTATAGACTGTAATTCGGATAAAGTGCAGAGGAGAGTATTTTTATTTGCAGATTTGGACATGGATTTGGTTTTGCTCCATCTTTAATACTCACTCCAACAGAGAAGGCCGTTCCATGAACACTTTCCCACCATCCATCCTCTGAGATCTGAGAGAAATCACACAGAAAATCAATCAAACATCAGATAATCCAGACTAACAAATTAAAAGATGAGATAAACTGTGCATCTCTCTCACCTGGATGATTGATTTTTGCTTGTTTTTCCATTTAACATTGACTTAAGGTGGGAGGGGGGCTCCATGGACTCACACAGAGCTTTTTCGAGAATTTCCTCCAGCTGATCCTGGACCTGCTTCAAGACTTTCATCTTTAGCTTCTAATCCAGAGAGGGAAAAGTTAAAAGTTCAGCTTTTCCGTTTTCTGAACGTCTCTGTCTTGTTTTGGATTTTTCCGCTCTTTGCTTGTTTCTCTGCAGAGACACTAATTAAATCTTGCAAAATGTAATTTACCTGTATAGATTTGTGCCATTGCCTCAGATCTTCCTCCTGCTTGTGTTCTTGGTTCCCAACTGCCAAAAAAAAACAAGGAACAAGGAACAAGATCAAATTAACCACCAAGTCTCATAATTTGTATCATCCCCAGAAATGGTATGATGTTGAAGAACATGATCAAGATGAATCCTGCGTTTAGCATATTTTTACACTAAATTGACATGCTGCAATTTAAGGAAACGTGCAACGTTTAGGTTTGTCTGTGAAGGTTCTCAGTTTAGGTTTAAAAAACATTTGAAAACCCCAAAACAGACAAAGCTTCCCACCAGTCCCTTCTGATCCTCTCATGACTTGTTGTTTTCTTTTCATTAGACAGAAATCAGAACACAGAGCTGGTCTGTACCGTGACTGGAGGCTTCATCTGATTGACAAGCTTTGGAGTTCCGATGCCGCGGCTCGTTTGTTGGCTCATCTGTCGTCATGGTTACGGCTGACGAAGTTCACAATGGGGCTCAGGTGGATTCTGCATAACAAAGATGCGTTTTAGTCTCACAGATGTGTTGTTTTCCACGGAGGCAAAAACTGAACCAGACTTTCATGTCACACTGAAGCCCTAATGGCTTCATGATTGTTTACAATATGGCAAGCCGAATGAGCATTTATTCTGATATCCGGATATCAGGCAGAATTTTCATGAACATGTAAGCCATTTCTGTCCACTAGTTAACTAGTGAGCCATTATTGTGTCAACTAGTTAACTAGTGACAGTCTAAATGTTACCTAGTTAACTAGTAAGGCCCAACTAGTAAGGCTCTAGTTAACTAGTTTAAATGTTTCATATCATATTAATTAACTAGTGTTGCTCAGCATGTTCACTAGTTAACTAGTGGAAAATTCAATGACCACTAGTTAACTAGTTCAACACGTTTATTTTTTACTAATCAACTAGTAACGTACAAAAATTGGTACTAGCTGACTACTGTCTGAATGTCAAAATCCCACTTGTTAACTTTGCCCAATGTGGCCAGTCGCTTGAGCATTTATTCTGACCCCGGCTTTCCACAGCAGCCGTCAGCAGCACGTTACTGCAGCAGCACGTCATAGCTGCTGATAGGAACGGCTGTGGTCAACAGAACCTTTTCCACTGGAGCCGTCGGCAGCCGTCAGCAGCGCGAGTCGGACGCGTCTCAGGAGCAGCATGTCGCGGCCTTTACGCGCCGGTTCTATTTCCTACGCGCGACGCCTCTGAAACGGGTCAAGTTCGACATTTTTGGGGAAGGAAAGACAGGAAATCGGACGCGGAAATGGCGAGAAGCTCCCGAGATTTTCAGAATAAAGAACGTACTGCCTTCCGGTCGCTTTACTTTAAAAAAGGTTACTAACTGTGCGGCCCCGTGAGAAGTTATCACCTAGCTAGCGGTCTCCTTTGTTTTTCAGGTCCGTATTGGCGATTATAAAACGGACAGAACATAAAAACACAAACATTTTGGAGCCATGTTGTAGTTTTCTCCTGCTTGTTGTTGTGTTTACTGACGAAGTCACTTGTGAGACTTCGTGCTCTGTCGGTGACAGCTGCTCCCCTGCTGATTCGCGTCTCGTGGGAAGGGCCAAGCAGCAGCTTACGCGAGCAAGACGTGCTGCTGCAGTAACGTGCTGCTGACGGCTCCCGTGGAAACCCAGGGTGATATCTTATCAACAGGCCACTAGTTAACTAGTGAGGGTAAAAATGTGCACACTAGTTAACTAGTGACAGCAAAAATACCCACTAGTTAACTAGTGAACACGTTATGACCCTTACTAGTTAACTAGTTGACACAAAAAATGGCTCACTAGTTAACTAGTGACAGCAAAAATACCCACTAGTTAACTAGTGAACACGTTATGACCCTCACTAGTTAACTAGTTGACACAAAAAATGGCTCACTAGTTAACTAGTAAAGGCCAAAATGCATACCAGCCAGCTAGTTGAAGGTATTTGTGTCTCACTACTTAACTAGTGACGGTCAAAATGTACACACTAGTTAACTATTGGGAGACAGAAATGCTCACTAGCTAACTAATGGACACATTTTGGCTTTACTGGTTAACTAGGTGACACAAAAATGGCTCACTAGTTAACTAGTGAGCAAATCTGCTCTTCACTAGTTAACTAGTTGGCGTTTTGGGGCCCACTAGTTAATTAGTGAGCATATCTGCACCAAACTAATTAACTAGTGAGCAAATCACGCCTCACTAGTTAACTAGTGAGCAAATCCGCAACTCACTAGTTAACTAGTTGGTGTTTTGGGGCCCACTAGTTAACTAGTGAGCATATCTGCACCTCACTCGTTAACTAGTGATGCATTTTTGCACCTCACTATTTAACTAGTGGGCGTTTTGGGGCACACTAGTTAACTAGTGAGCAATTCTGCACCTCATTAGTTAACTAGTGAGTATATCTGCATCTCACCAGTTAACTTGTGGGCATTTTGGGGCCCACTATTGAACTAGTGACACTTACTTTGCACCTCACTAGCTAACTAGTGGGCATTCATACCCTCACTCAGGGGCGCCGTAAAGCGATGAAAGATTAGGAAGATTCTAAGGTTCCACAGCTGTCAGGGTCCCAAAAAAGTTTCAAAGTTGAATAAAAAACATAAAGTTTAAAAATCACAAGTACTTTACTTTGCAGTATTTTTTCTCATTTTAGACAGTAAACAAACAATCTTTTAGTCTTTATGAAACATATATTTATTCAGAGGTCCCTACTTTATTTTGACTAATTAATTTGAACCCTCCCCCCAACGGCATAAAATGGTACAGTCCACAAGGCCGGGGGGCGCGTAGCAGGCGAGGCGAGGCCAGCAAACGCAGCAGTCACTCAGACAGCAGAGTGCGCCAAGGCTGCAGTAAAAATTTGTCTGCAAAAACAAAGTCTGGGTCACAGAAAAGGAAAGAAAGAAAGGAGAAAGGACAGGCAGAAGAGAGGGTGTCAGTATGTCACACAGTTTTTCTCAAAGAAAGGTGACTTTAGTTAGTGAGTGGTTAAATTCAACCTGTTTGCTAGCTTTGATATCCACAGTGAGAGGAACTATGTTTCATCTAATGATGGTAAATGGGTTGTTGTCCTTGTCCCTACCAGAATCAGCAGCTGGTGATATGTCAGCAGGTGTCCCCTCACAACCCAATGAACCTCAAGAAGGTGAGCAATGTAGCATGCTAGCTAGCAGCCTCATTTAAGGGGGTCTGTGGGAATCACTTAAGGCTCTCTTCTCTATCAGTACTATTACAAAGGAATATAAAAAGGCTATTTTGGGTGATAAACACATTGTTTTTCCACATAAAGATAATTATAAATATCAATCAGTAAAAATGTATAGATTGTTTTGGATGCTGGGTAGGTTGAAGCATTGTTATTTAGTCTGTTAATGTAACATAAATTACTGTGAGATTATTACTGTGAAGCACCTTTTTGAAGGCACCATACAAGAAAAAACAAACCTCTTCATCTACTAAATACATTGAAATGAAATGTTTTGAATCTGACTGAATTATGGGAGGTTTTACAAGATGTAATTTGTTTATGTAGCTTTTACAATACAAACCAAAAATCAGCAATTTCCAAATAATTCATCAGAGATCAAAACTGAAACAAAAGCTATTAATAATTGTAATAAATAAACTTAATATAACACTGAACACAATAAAATATGACATCTAGTATTGATGATGGAGAACTACAGCTAATATCCTGCAGTAGTCTGTGCTGCATTTTCCCTGTTATGCATTAATTTTAAAGACTGTTGTAACTTGGATAAAGATTTTGTCACAAATGATGGCCTATATTGTAACACATATATCAATGTCATTATGTACAGAGCCTGGACCCTCCCATTGTCAGGTTTGGTCAGGACAAAGAGTGGAAGTGAAGGAAGAAGGGAGAAAGTGTGACAGCTCAGAAAATGGAGAGACCCAAAGTCAGCTGAATAAATGTGATAGGGATTCCACCAAAGCAGGGTTTGAGTCCCATGACCCAGGTTTGTGGCCACCAAATTTAAAGGATGATGAAATAGAGAGTATTGTAAGAAATTTGGCCAAGAGACATGAAGATCAGAACATGCCAAATGATTCAGAGGCAAAGCCGTTTTCTGACGAGCCCCCAGGGGGCCCAACTTGATAAATTTTCATTGGGCCCAAAATCTCTGGCAGCCCCCCTGCCCTCACTAGTTAACTAGTGAGCAGTTCTGCCTTCACAAGTTTACATGTAAGTGTCACACTGAAGTCACTAGTTCACTAGCTGAGGTTCCTTTGGCCAGCATGTTAACTTGTGTGCCACATGCAAATGTTTGGGGTGGGATTTTGTGAAATTCTGCACTGTGATTGGTTGTCATATTTTATTTGGACATAGGGAGCCAATAGAAAGCCTCATTTTGAGAAATTCTCCGCCTGCTAATTAGAATTCTGTGGAACTAGCTAACTAGTGTGAATGTAGGCTTGAACTAGTTTACTAGTATACATTTATGTCCTCACTAGTTAACTAGTTTGGTCAAAGGATGCACCAACTACAGTAGCTGAGAGGATTTTAAAGATCTGAGTGATCAACGGCCTCACATCCAGACATGAGAAGGTGTATATCTCTTATGCTCAATGCTGAAACATCTGCAATAAATGACATAGGTCCTTTTCTGTTTTCCTGATCTTGAAGTGCAGTGACATCACTGCAACAGGGCGGCACAAGAACACACTTACATGGATTCAGCCTTTGTAGTTTAATAATCAACATGAAACGATTAGGTCACTGGTTTATAGCCGACAGGTGCAGGAATCCATAAATCACGAGTTCTAAATGACAGTGACCCTTTAAACAATTCTCCATTATCATAGAAGCAGTCCCTGTGTAGTTCAAGCTTATCTGTGTGTGCGGATGATAAGGCTTCCTCTACAGACGAGGTGAACTGGCCTCAGGAGAGGGGTGAAAGACACACAGTAACCTCGTCTTTGTTAATCCATGCTGTTTGATCACTCCTCGTGAGAAATGCCAATTTAGCCGATAATCTTCAAACAGAGCCTGTTTGATTTCTCCCGCTCGCTCAGATGCACTCAGTGTGTTGGAGAATAACATAAATAACATCCCTACGCGCGGTTGTCAATGTCTATGATGCATCACTTGTAAGTGGCTTTGGACAAAAGCATAAACATAAACATCTCATTTCATCTAAAAAAAAAGCTTTTTGTGTTGTTCTGTTGTCACATTTAGACATTTGAGCAGAACTTAAAAATAAAAACCTGTATATGAGATGATTCTTATTCTGGTGGTTAGGGTTTGACGCTGGACCAACCTTTGAACCCACCAACTACACGCCAGCATTTGAGTGTGGTTGCTAAGTGAGGGAGTCTTACAAACTGTGTGGGTGTGTTTGCTTCTTCGTTTTTTTTCTATCTGTGTTTCAATAGATGCTGAAAAAACTGTAAGATGTGCTTCTCTCGGTCTTTTTGATCAGACTAGTGATTGTAAAAATGGGCTAAACTGGTGATTTGTGACCACGTATAGGACAATATCTCCTTTATTATAAGACAAGAAACGTGCTAAAAATGATAAATAATTTTACTTAGATTGAATTATATTTTGTACAGTTGTTTTAAAACAATTAGAATAAGAATCAGATCAAACATCTATTTTTACTCTGACTTTTGTAGCTCTATCAAAAGAACAAAATGTTAATAAAGTACTATTCTGCTTTACTCATAAAACCAAGAATAATGCAGAAAATCATCTGAACAAAATCCTTTCTGTATGAGCTTCTAGCCTTATTTTCTGTGTCTGACTTGTTCACAATTGTAGAACATGGATGACAGTTTCAGATGTTATCTTTAAATGAGTGAACCACTTCTGTTGCATCTAAAACAACGGCTCTATGACAACTGCAGAGCATGAATGACTAAAGTGACAGATGTCACCCTGCAGTGTCTCAGGTTTGTACTCACAGTCTGCAGGTAGAAGTCCTCAAGATAGAAGTCTCGTTTTCGGCTGATGAGTGCCTCTGAGAGGGACCTGCCGGCGTTCCGAATCTGTTGTGATTCCTGTCCTCTCCCTTTTCTCTCTTCTGATACTTTGAACTTTGGCCCCTTGGATCCTGGCCCTCTGCAGGCCACATCCTCTGCTGCCCATCCCCACATCTCCTTTGTTGGATGTTTAACGTCATGCAGGTGAACATTTCAGCTCATCCTGAAGTTTTGGTTATTCTAGAGGATCTTTTTCTGAAAATAACATTCTCAAGCTTGAACATATTTTACTTTTATGTGACAGATTCTGAACTGAAGCATGAAGGATTAATTATATTAAGTAGAATAAACAAAAAGTGAATACATTTGCTCATGAATTCATAATAGTTCTTTGCACTAAATCCTGCTCAAATGAAACAGTTCAGCAGTTTTATTCTTGACATTTTCATTACCTTCCAGAATGAGCCGTTTCAGGGCTCTGTCACTTTAAGAAAACAAGCATGGAGCTGGCCCCGCCCACCCATCCCCTTAGGCTGCTATAAGCTCAGAAGCTCTGATATAGGGAGGGGCTCAGAGTGGAGCCACTGATCCTCCAGCAGCAAGCTCACTCTAGTTAAAAGCTGTTGTGAGAAAATTTCTCAATTTGTGACATCACAAATGGGGAGTTTTTGAAATAGCTTGTTTTAGGCACATAATTCCTAAACAAACACTGACAAAAACACTTTTATCTCACTCTGAGTGTTTGGAGAAGCAGTACAGAGCCACATGGCAGCACAAAACGTGAGTTTCGCATAGTATATTCCTTTTAATTATTATTCTGAAAGACAACTGAGTAATTTTAACAAACTGCAGATGGTTATCACAACAGATCTGCCTCTGCATTTTAACATTTTTAACCCACTTTAACACAAATGTAAACAAGAAGATGCCTCAGTGTAATTGATTATTATTTGCTTAATTTTATTTTGCTGATCTCATCACACTGATTACATAAAATCACCTGCTGATCAGAGCAGTTATTTTATAATTGTAAAATCACCTGTATTACATGTTAGTAACAATCAATAATCAATATTTCAGAGCATAAATAACTTTTTTTTCTGCGTTTAATCCTGAATTTCTGTTTGATGACCTACTTTTTCTGCTATTTGGGGTTCATGGGACCTCTCAAACATAAAAACATATATGTTTGATTAAAAAGTAAATACATTTCCCATGAATAAGTTTAATAAAATAAAATGCCGTATTGCAGCAAACCCAGTGACCATTCATGAGCACACAAGGTTTAGACTGGGTTTAAAAGACACTGTGACATTTCATTTAAAAAAACATGCTAAGCAACATGATCAAAATAGAAAGTTTTATACAATATGTTTGTTTTCTGTCCTAATTTTCAGCTATTTAAATATTTCACTTGCACCAAAACTAAACTAAACAAACTTCATCTCCAAAATTAAACCCCATAAAAGGAGTGTAACATTCATCCTTGAGATAAAAGTTAATCTGGGGTGAAAAAAACACCAAACTGATGCAAGTTTCATTAGAATTGATAAAAAGTTTGTGTTTTTCCTGCTGATTTTCTTTTCTAAAGCAGGAATCGACTGCATTTGTTGTTGTTTATGAAGCAGTTTTATTGTTTTCTATTATCAGCAGCGTGTTTGTTTAACAGTTCAAATCTAGCTGCAGTCATACGACGTCACAAAGCATTTTATACAACTCACTCACAACAGCAATGAATAAGACAGAGTTTATGGCCACAGGATCGCATTTATTGAAATGGGATAACAAAGCTGCTTTTCAGCAGCTACAGAAAAGAGTACTCCATGCACTAAACCACACGCTATAAACAAACAAACAAACAAACAAACAAACCAAGCAACACACAACTTCACAAATTGACATTCTGCCCCCATTCTTTTTTTAAAGCACTCCACATTTCCTGCCGTGCCACTTCTGTATATTTGGTATCACAAAGAATTTACCTGGCCAGGTTGTTTTAAAATTGGTTATAATTACTGCGGAAGAATCAGACCAGTCGGACATAAAACAAAATAAAAATGTACATTTATTCATCCCAACACTTACAGCTAAATAAGAAGCCATAGTGCACATCAGGTAACCGCTTTTCACTGACAGCAGACTGATGGTTAACATTCAGTACTTGTTTCTGTAGGTAAACGTGACTGACTTAAAGTTCAATGACCTTTTGAAAAAAGTGAAACCCAACAATTGCAATGTTAAATAATCAGGAATAAAATAAAACACAAAAATATCTTTTATTAATTTTTTTTTATTTCAGTAATCAGATGTGGAAAATATTCTAATGAAGGTATGTTTTGTAAAATTAATAATAAAAAAATATGGTCAAATGGACCAACTTACTAAAATGTTTTAACCCTCTGCAGGTGTTGCAGATTTGCACCGTTAAAACCTACCTACCTGGTTACTCCACGTACGTATTTCATGAGCATTTTTTAACTCAGAAGTTCCCCTGAAGGACTTAGTTGTTCGTCCTTTTATCAAAACTTATTTTGAGCCTGAGAGGGTGAAAACACAAAATTGCAGACAAAATAAACACAAAACCTGACCTGTGAGTCTCAGCAATCCTGCTGAGTCTGCAACTGTTTACACTGACTTCCACTTTGGGTTAGTAGGTAAAAGGTCTTGAGCTGTGGGACTGCGTGGAGCAGGTTGTAATTTGCCAAAATAAGCTCTAGACTTTCCAACAACTCCATGAAAAACAATGTTTTTTTCATAAGGTCCCCAAAATCCCCTGTCATGTTCTCCTGTTGGGTATTATTTTAATATTAGTAAGCAGCAGCAGCGGCACCTGTTATTCTTACTGGAGTTATGTTTGAAAAGATTTCCCATCTAAGTATTTAAATGAACAGTTGTAAAATGACTACAATTCCAAAACAATCATCCTTTTCTCTTCTCCATTACAGCAGTTTTACAGTATATTATCAAATGTACGCATACATTGGACTACTCAAACCTACCCTGTACATCTTTCTACCTATAAGATCAATTGCAGTCCATAATTTCAAATTTTGGCCTTATTCATGTTTTATTTTGAAATTGATTTGTTTTCCAGCTTGCGCCTCATCGAATCATCCGCTCAAAGTGTCATTCTCAGTTCCACCAGTAGGTGGTGCTGATGTAAAAAAATGAGTTAGATATCCTGTCTTGAACATTATAGTCACGTAAAATAAAAACAGATAAACACATTTTACTGCAACAGGTGCAGGTAGGGTATCAGTGAGAGAGGGGAAAGGAGATCCAGCACCTTCTAGCATGTTAGCTAGCTATTTCCTGTAGCAAGAGCGACATCTCCCAGTGCCCCAGAGACAATAAATTCAGTGATGCTGATTGGCCAAAATGACTCCCTAGCAAACAAATGTGATTGGCTGTTTAGCTGTCATTCAGGGGCAATTTTACCAACACCCCAAGAGTGAAACTAGAGAATCTGTTTGAGGAAATTCACTGATTAATGAGAGACAGCTGGTTACATGTTGTGTAGATAAATCAGATAGCATGTAGGGAAATACAATTAAGAAAAACCGACACATTTATAAGTATGACTGACACCTGAGTAATAACTCTTGTACATCTAAGACATGCTGCATGAGCATCTCCACCCAACTGGTTGACATTCAGCAAGTGAGTAATGGATGTGACCAGCCAGACTGGTGTGAAGTATGAAGAGTATGGACATTCTACATGCTACTGCGACCCCTGAGAGCATAAAGTAAAGTGTAAAAGGGCCCACATCTGTTCTCTTTTTGTGTCCTTTTTAAGAACAATGCAATCTTCCAGTCCACCAAAACGAGGACTTCCTGTCAAGGTCCCTACAATCTTCACAATTCTGTAGAAAAGCTGCCTTTAGCCAACTAGCTGGTTGCTATAACAAATCAACAGTCACTCATCTCAACTGGGTTTAATATGAAACCCAAGGGGACTAAAGGTCTGTGAGTAAGGGAGGCCAACAGACACCCTGGATCAGGGACCTTTGGGACCAACAACACCAACAGGAGACAATTGCAAGAGATTTTGAAACATTTTGGGATACTGCCCACATGGTTAGCTCTGTTGCTTCGTCCACAGATGCATAATTCTTGCAAAATGTACCTTAATCTAAAAGTGTCTGAGTTTTCCAAGTGTATAAAATAAAACAACGTTTGGTATTATTAGAGATCAACGAAAAATAATGTTTTCAAACATTTTTCAAGGAGTTGAAACTAGAGCTTAAGTAATACACTGCAGAGAAGAGTTAGCTCAGTTAAACTTTACTGTTTTATTTTGGTCCCTGACTAACAGAAATGCATTGAATGTTTCTATGTGCACCTTTCTGATTTCCACTGTCATTTTCCAGTGTGCAGCTAGTGGTCATTGTTGAATTTGAGATGAGGGATAACAGAAACTCAAAAATTATTTGTAAAAACTGCATTAGAGACCTCCTTGGTCTTCACACACTCGTCTCATCCTGACTATCTGATCAGGAGGTCGACTGAGAGAGTTGGAAGTGATGTTTGATACCAGAAGCACTTATCTGCTCAGAAATCTCCGACTGCACCCACTGGGGCCTTTAACTTATCTGCATTCTCAAAGGTCAAAAATAAAAACCGACTGGTTGATGAGATGGCGTATCTCAGAGAATGTGTGTGAGACAGAGCGTTATCAGCATATGATAACCTGCAGTAACCTCTGCGTCATATGTCCAAGGGAGCTTTTAGGTTAGGAGGTTATTGCAGAGCAAGATCCAAGCTTCAGTTTCACTCGCAAGCAAAAATAAAAAAAAATAAAAATTAACTATATATCCAGAATTAGTCATCATCTTTAAAAAAAACACACACATCAGCAGCCACACACGTTCACTCACAAAACAGTGGAAGTCAGAGCAGTTATTCAAAGGAATGCATGTTAAAAGTACATTTAAACTTAACACAATCATTCACATTCAGCAACAGGTAGAGACAAAAAATATATATCAATTGCAAATAAATAACATTTCATCTAGAGCAGCTGATAATATAGGTTTATCTTTCTAACTAAATATAGCAGTATAAAAATAGTTGCTACATATTATTTTTTCCACACTTTCATGCTTTTGGATGAAATGTTTAACGTTGCACTCATAGTCCTCGGCAGGCTGTTTTCTGGAGATAACATTCAGCATGAAAGTCTCTTCTCAGCTCAAACAATCCGTCTGCTTCGCTCCTCAAGCTTCCTTTTAGCAAATGATTCAAAGTCTGACTGCTGTGACAACTTGTGCCGACCACAGAATACTTGAGTTCAGTACTTTTATCAACGTTCTGATCGACTTTGTTGTTCGGGTACATGGTCTCGCCCAAAAGGGCTGTGTCAAGCTGTACTGTAGACACGGGCTGGATAAATGCATTGATTTGTTGTACTTTCATAATAATACACATAAACTGTGAGAAAGTATCTCATATAAAGGTGTCAAGACAGGTTTTAGCTCTATCAGGAGCATGGACGTAGTTTTGACTTTAGAAGTGGGGGACACACAACCGGCATGAGGACCGGGGGGTGGGGGGGATGTCTTCACAGTAAGTATACAAAATGATGTATAAAACTAAACTACAGCCTATAGAGGCTCTTTTATGTAATGTCAGGATTGCAGAACTGTGAAGTACACAGATGGCAGGAAAACAAAAAAACTAATACTATCGATTCAACTTTGTTTTTCACCTTGTTAGTCATTTTCATTCCTACTCATTGTCCCCATTTGACACTTGTTTTTTGAAAATCTGATCAATAGAGCTCATTTACATCAGATTCTAGCTGAACTTTTGGTCCGAGTGCTCAACTAGTGTATTTAATAAAGCATAATGGTAAAAAATTGCAGGGGACAAAAATCTACTTTGGAAACGGCATGCCCGGAAGTTATACTTATGTCCTAATCGATAAGTTTGTCTAAAATCTACTTTAAAGGGAGATTATTGTGTATTTTCTTAAGTTTCTGTCCTAGTTGTCACAGTGTCGACTGATGTGAAGGCTCTGGGTATGAGTTTCTAACAAAAAGAGCCTTGGACATTACTGTTGGACACGATTCATTTAGATGTAACCGATCTATTTAAATGCTGAAAAAACACTCTGTAACTTTTTCTTTTTATGTTTTAGTCGGCTTTAGCTGCATCCAGGTAAACAAAAGAAGCGCACACACAATAAACTGGTGACAAAAATGCTAAATATAATCACAAAAACACCTGCTTAGGTCAAAAATAGTTATTCAGTTCATGTTAAAAAACAATCAAACAACATTCTCAACTATAAACAACTTTTTCAGACTTTGAAAGGTAATGAAACCATTATTTTGCATAAAATAACTTTGTAACATCATTGTTGCATTTGAACATAAATTAAATAAAAATAAACTTTAAACTACGATTGAAATTTCTTTTTTTTTCCTAAAAATACATTTTAAAATAAAACCGTACATTCACAGCCTGCTCTGGTGAATGGGACTGAAAGACGGGACTTTAAATAGAACTTGGTCACGTTAATCTACACATTTCTTTCTGTTCTGTTTAGCCTTTAGACTCCTATACGAAGCTTATTTAGTTGCTGTGGAGATTTACACATTTCATGGTAACGTTACCTCACCAGGGCAGCTCTTATTTGTGTAATTAAAAAAAAATACTGAAGGAAAACATAAAAATGATCATGCAATAAAAATATAATTATCAATAAAGTGAGTGCTGTTCTTTTTCACTTTTTTTTTTTTGCACATTCTCACTCTTTGTTTTCAGATAAGTCACGTGTTTACTAAAGTTGATAAAGTTTTTGATGTGTCACTGCAGACTGCACTGGTTTCATGTCCCTCATGCTGAACAGCACTTCCAAGTGGGAGCCTGTCGTGCTCTATTTTTGGTCCCTTTTGTATTTCAAGTCATGGGGTACAGAGAGCAGCAGCAGGTGCTGGCTGCCAGGTATTTAAGATGCAGTGCTTGCCAAACTGTTACCCACAAACACCCAACAAACCGAGGAAAGAAGGGAAATCAAGGAATAGCAAGCAGAGGCTTGAAAATAGACACAGGAGGACTGTTTACAACAGGTGAGGATGGGAAAAAAGTTTTTTCTTCTTTTAGAGACGACAGAGATCATCTGCATGCAGATTTAAAGAGAAGGCTTCAGACAAAGTCGCCTGCCTGCAGAAACAGAGCAAAAGAGTGGCAGTCATTTTGAGAAAAACACATGAAGCAAAGCATGATAGAAAGGAAGAGACAGCTGCCTGTGACTCATGCTAGCAGCGCCAGAAGGAACATGTCATTCATGTCCTGTATTTTTACTGGAAGTTTGGGAACCGCACAAGCTCAACTCTGCAACCAGATTTAGCCTTTTGCTGCAAAAATCCTGTAGCAGATTTAAAATACAGTTTACAAATTAAACCTAAAATTAGCATCTGAGATCACATAAAAAAAACTGTGCTAAATATGAAAAGTTTCACTGCACAAAAAGTAATTTGATCCACATCCTTTAAAATGGCAGAAGGTTTTAACTGGACAGGGACTCTGAGGTCATTTAAAAAGTGTTGAGGTCAGGCGGATACTTTTTGTGAGATGATTTTGGTGAAAGCGTCTCAGTGTACACCAAGTTCATATAATTGCCCTTTTTTTTGTTGTTTCACTCAGGCAGCAGGCAGAGGTCCAGCTGGAGACTCTCCGATTATCTAAAACAGCGTCGGTTTTAAAACCGGCTCACATTCTGATGTTTCACCCAGCAGCACCATCAATGCTGCAATGGCAAATCCGGAAAACAAACTAGCTTCAAACGTTTTTCTCATGTCTCTTAACAACCTTCTAACATAGCTGTAAATATATTGCGAACTTTAAAAATATTTTTAAAATCGCTTTTTTCCAAAAGCCTCAGCCAATAGCATGGCTTGGACCAAACACAACCATTGGACCATCCGGTTGTCAGTCTCGCCGAACCGCTGCACTGCCGCATGTCCCTGGGTCCTCCATTCATTACACACTCACATATTTAGCAACAGGACACCACTGGTGTGAGAGGTTATCTGCTCAATAACATCAGAGAAGGAGAGACAGCTGGCTGCTACTACTTCAACTTTAGCACAAACTACCAGAGTCCATAAAAGAAAAACACCATTTGAAGTCACAAACAACAAAAGACGTTTGAGCCTAGAGAACGGTGACTGGTGTTTAGTAGGTTCTGGTGTCAAGTGGACATGGCCTGGGGATGATAGCCAACAGGAGGGGTGAATTTTCTGTCACTGTGTGTTTAAAGCTAGCTTGTTTTGTAGATTTTGCTACTGCAGCTTTAACCTCTGCTAAACTTAAATGCAGGAAATAAAGGTTGAGCCTACCTTCATTTTCTGCCTGCATCTAAATCTCAGTGACTGATCATAGGTTTTCTCAGTAAACTTGGCTTTAGGACAGAAACATTGTGCTTCCGTTGGTGACGTTAGATCCAGCCTGCATTTAGCAGATACCATTTCCTTTTCAGCACCAAATTGTAATGAATACCCAGGAACATCAGACTGTTTGGTAGAGTTTGGAAAAACATTTTCATTGAAAATGACTAAATTCTAAACAGATAGCCAACGATATGTAAAATTCATGAAATCCATTTGCATATTTGAGTAGACGTAACCTGTAAAGATTATGTGTTTCTAACCATTCATCTCCATCAAGGCTGTTCTCGATTTGTGATTCATCACATTGCAGAGAAAACAGACACCCATTAAAGATTACCGCTCTGTTTCCATTGTCTTACCTGCTCAGGCCCATTAGCTGGCTGAGCCTTCAGGCTTCAGCTTGTAGAGGTTGGCTGCTTCCTGATTGTCACAGACATCAGTTCTGGACACAGAATTCACATTCAGACACATGCTAACCATCAGGGTTGTTGCAGCAGGAGCAGCAGCAAGGCGGCAGCAGCAAGGGGGCAGCAGAGAGACACAGCAGTGAGGAAGGCTAATTGAGGCTTTTTCTGTATCCTAATGCCACCAGGGTGAACTTTTTAAAAATAATGACTGCCGACAAGTGATAAACAAAGATGCATTGATGTAGTGATTGTTACTGTTATTCCAAACTGTGAGATGCACGTCTTACCTGTTGTCATTGATATCTGTGGTGTTTCCTGTGAATGAAAAGAGTGTGTGAGGACACAGGAAGGTGCACAGTGGTTGGTGCAAAACAGTAGGGTGTGTGTGTGTGTGTGTGTTGGGGGGGGGGGGGGGGGGGAACAAAATACACCCATATATGGGTTTAATTATTGAGTGATTAATGGTCGATGAGTTATGAACCAGCACCTGCATGGAAAATTTTTGTCATTGGATCAACTTGACAATAAATCTATTATTTAGGTTCAAATAATTACAGGTTTTAACTTAGCAAGTAAGAAAAACTTCAATGTTGACTGACTGAGAAAATAATGGTCATCATCTGCCTCTCTTAAAAGATATACCGTATTTTGTTAAAGGGAAAGATAGTTTTCATTGAAACTATGAAATCTGAATTGTTTTAAACTCATTAAATTGTTAAACCTTTTTGTCACAATCCAGATGACTTAACACAATACTCTGACACTGCAGGTTATCACCACATTTTACATATTTAAACCATGTTAATTTCTATGTTAATTTGGCAAAAAATAAATAAAATAGACATCAAATGAATAAGTATTTTATTGAAAATTCCAATAAAGCACATCATTATTTGATCAGAATTAAATTATTTCTTTAATCGTTAGAAAATCACGGCTAAATATTTCAGTAAGAAGTGATTTTTAGATTTAGTCTGGAGTCTTGTCTCAAAGCTTAGAGCCAAACCTCTAACAGGATTAGTATGTTCATCCTAAAGCCCAGCCATGTCTTAGTAATGACGTTTCTATTGGTTTCTTAATTTTAACGTATTGTTAATATAAATTGTTGAATAATTGTTAAAATAAACATGTTATGACTTTTTTCTTAAGTTATAATAGTTCTATAATCTATAAAACATGCTCATGAAGTTATCTGCTCAAAATCTCTCTAGCATAGAACAATTTCAACAGTTTTATTCTTGACATTTTCAGTACCTTCCAGAAAGAGGCATTTCAGGGCTCTGTTACTTAAGAAAACAAGCTAGAGCTGGCCACACCCCCTCATGCCTCGCTCAGGCTTCTAAAGGCTGAGAAACTCTGAGCAGCTGCTCCTCCATTAGCAGCTGCTCGGTTCCATGTGAGAGGGGGTTATAAAGTAATTTACCCCTTAGTGACATTACAAATGGGAACTTTTTGAAACCGTTTGTTTTAGGCACATAATTCCAATACTGACTTTTTTGCTTTTTGAGTGTTTATAGAGGCAGTAGAGACTCAAAAAAAAAAAAAACGTGCCAAGCCAAGTGAATCTGTATAAGTACTGCCTCGCTGCTGCCTTTATTTATATTCACACATCAAATATAAAAACTAAATGGACCACAAGCTTTAAAAGCTCCCATCTATTGAATATTTCTTTTTAATATTCATTAAAAGCTGCCATTACAGGCATATTTTTGTAGCGGAACAGCACTTTAGCAGAAAATCTGAGCTTGGTTGTTTTTTATTTTTTATTTCCTGGATCATATTTACATTCTGTGCAGCGTGTGGAGCTGAATTCATTCCCCAGGTTCCTGCGAGTCCTGGCAGCCATGTGTCATGGCTACACTCGGAGGCAAAGATTTATTTCATGAACTATTGGAGGGGGCCTTTTGTCTGACAAACTTATTGACAGCAAGATATAACAAAAAGCTTCAGCTGTTGTTTGATTCCCTGAAAGTCTGTGAGAAATGTGTTTGTTGTCGTGCGCAAAGGCGAGTTAATGTGATTTGTGTGTGATTTGATGAGACCGCATGCTTGACAGGGACTGCTCAATTTCATGGAGGAAAAAAACAAAACACACACACAAAAACCATTGTGACAGTTAATAAAAATCTTGCACTGTCAGGGGAATGCCGCTTGTCAAGGCTCCATCGAACAGACCGAGAACAAAAAGTCAAAACAAAATTTGGGCCCGAGCCTGGCAGATCCATTTGGCTTTGAGAAGTATATTTTCCCACAAGCTCTTATTGAAATTCATGACACTCAGTACAAGAGTGGAAATTGCTCAAGAGGAACGAGGAATTGTGGCCTCAAGAGTTTTGACCTGGTAAATAAATTGAACTGAACACAAACTACTCCGGTAACAACAGGACAAACATTTAGGAATATAAACAGGATCCGCACAGCTGCTTGTGCTAAGAGCAACGTTATGAAAAATGTAGATCCAGCCTGATTAGACCCTAAAGGTGCTTTCAGGATAATGCAGTCATATCTGATGTTTAATAATGGCCACATACACTCGCAGCATATAATGATAAATTGGTTCCAACCCCTTTTGTGACTTTTATTGATATTCCTGGTGAATCAAAGAGGTGTGATGTTGTTGCACGATTCAACTATTGGGTCAGAGGCTGAGATGGGCCTCTAGCCTGTCTGAGTAATGATACCGCAGGTCTAATCTATCTCCTCCAGAGTTTGCTGCTGATAACACACACACACACACACACACACACACACACACACACACACACACACACACACACACACACACACACACACACACACACAATCTGGAGATGTTTGACAAAATCTCCCAGCAGCAGGAGAATACCACAGTCGGCTGCACACATCCTTAGTGAAACATCTTGAAGCATATAAGTATATGGAAACTTTATGCAAAGAGGGCTGACCTACATTGAAACTGTCCACATTCGATGCCAATCTTTAAATCCAGCAAAATTGAGCCAGTTTCTTGATAAAAGTTTAAATAAGAGAAGGAAACAGGATTGTAATAATAGTGACAGGGCAGCTGTAAACGGTTGCAGCAGCCTGCTCTCGGAATGCTACATAAAACAACATCTAAACATAATGGCAGGTATGAGGGCGTAATGGGTGTCATTAAATTACACTCATAAAAGTAAGTAAATTCACCCCAGATGGTCAGGGTTGTAACATCACTCGTTATTTCAAACAGGCTTTGTCTGCAAGAGGCTCACCGTTTTCTGAATCGAGCATCTCTGAGGACTTCACCGATTTGCTCGCTGGTTCAGCTGGAAGCCTGAGGACAAAAAATAAATAAATAAAACTTAAACTAGTGTTGCTAATGGAGTTGTGTTTCAAAATCAATGCATTTATTCTGGTGTTTGGATTTATCAGCACAGCAGATGATTTAGGTGACATCAGCACCATTGGTAATTTTGTTGCTGAACAAAAAAAAAAGGCAACAAACAGAAACAGCTCTTCTTAGGGTCTCTAATGACCTTCTGACTCACAGTGATGCAGGGGACTGTTCTGTTCTGGTCCTGCTGGACCTGACTGCAGCCTTTGACACTGTTGACCATCACCTGCTACTGGAGAGGCTCAGAGACTGGGTAGGCCTATCAGGATCTGCTCTGGAGTGGTTCTCCTCTTATCTCTCTGAGCACTTCTTTTCTGTGGCCATCTCCAAGTTTAGGTCCTCCACCACCTCTCTTACCCATGGTGTCCCACAAGGTTCTGTGCTGGGGCCTCTGCTCTTCCTCCTCTATCTGCTTCCTCTTCAGCACATCCTGAGCTCCTTCAAAGGAATATCCTACCATCTTTATGCAGATGACATCCAACTGTACATCTCCTTTAAGCCCCATGAGATGTCTAAGCTGCAGCTGTTACACACCTGCTTAGACTCTATCAAAACCTGGATGGCTGGGAGCTTTCTACAGCTGAATGAAGATAAGACTGAGATCCTCATCTGTGCCCCAGACAAGCTGGTTCCCAAAGTCAGAGACTCTCTTGGTCAGCTTGCTTCTCACACCAAACCTTCCGTCAGGAATCTTGGCGTGACCTTTGACCCAGCTCTCACCCTGGATTCTCATGTCAGTTCTGTTGTTCGCTCTTCCTGCTTCCATCTCAGGAACATTGCTAAGCTGAGTCCCATTCTGTCTCGCTCTGAACTTGAGACAGTTATCCACGCCTTCATCTCCTCACGCTTAGACTACTGTAACTCTCTTTTCACGTGTCTGAGCAGAACCTCCCTGAACCGTCTACAGGTGGTTCAGAATGCCTGGGCTCGGCTTCTGACCAAGTCCTCCAAACACACCCACATCATCCCGCCTCTCCTCCAGCTTCATTGGCTGCCAGTCAACTTCAGGGTTCATTTTAAGATCCTGGTTCTGGTCTATAGGGCCTTACATGGACAAGCACCATCTTACATGGGTGATCTTCTTAGTCCCTACACCCCCAGCAGGTCCCTGAGGTCCAGTGATCAAAGCCTACTGGTTGTGCAGCGCACCAGGCTAAAGACCAAAGGTGACAGATCATTTGCTGCTGTGGCCGCCAGACTCTGGAACTCTCTCCCCCTGAGCCTGAGATCAGTGGACTCAGTGGTCTCCTTTAAAAAGCAGCTGAAGTCTCACTTGTTCAAGCTGGCTTTTGTATGACCTTCTTCATCACTCTCTTTATTCTGCTCTCCCCACCAATTCCACCTTCCTCAGGATCCACTGATTTCCCTCTTTCCTGTTAACTCTCTCTTTCTTAACATTTTTTAAATCACAATTGCCTATTTTTGCTCATTTTAAATATATTTTTAAATATTTTCTAGGTGCTTTTTTGTATTTTTGCATTTTTTGTTTTTGTGAAGCGCCTCGTGATTTTTATCTTGAGAGGCGCTATAGAAATGATATTTTCTTCTTCTTCTTCTAATGCTGAATGCATATTTTAGGGACGACAGAGATCGACTGCATGCATATTTAAAGATTCATTGCATGGGGATTTATGGGACGGGGGCAAACTTAGGAAAACAACCCTATATCGCAGTACAAGGTAAGAAAATCACTTGCATGGATTTCTGAAAACAAAAACAGAAAAAATCAAACATAAGTCCCAATTGCTGCTTTAGTGGTGCTAGAAGCCCAACAAAGCTAAAGGATCATTTATGAGCTAATTTCTCACAACCAGGATGGGTGTTTCTCAATCCCAAGGAACCTTGCCTTGATGCCTTGGTCCTGCCCAGTTGGCTAGGAGATACAGGAACTGCCAAGGTGTGTTCCAATGTTCATGTTCTAGGCATCTGTTCTCCGTTTGTTGGCCGTTTAGCCAGCTGAGTAAGGATACACGGGAGGTGCCTTGTGGCCTGGCCTTGGTCAAAAATTTCCCAGAATGCACCACAGTATTTTCAAAATGATGGCGAATCAGAAGCCGGCAGCTACTTCGGGGTTAAATTTCAAATAAGTTAACTAATTGTAGCTATCGGGCTGATATCTAAAAAATTATTTTTAATTTATGGTTGGCTAGTTGCTTAGTAGTTGCAGCTTTGGTGGCTAGAAGGTAGTAACTTGTTTACATATTTAATTTAACCAATACAATACACAAGGACAGTGTCATCGTGAGCAAGGCGTCTGGCCCCACAAGACGTCTTGACATTGAGAAACACCCGATGACTTTGTTTCCTTAGGATGAAGGTAATTTAAAATCTACCCATTTCTTCTGTTGAAGTTTAAAGGGGAACTACGCAGTTTTGGCTTGCTGTTAGAACCCCCTTAGTGTCCATTTGTAGAACCAAAAGCAAAACCTATTTCCTTGCTGTGCGTTCGTCTTTTTAACACCTTAATCTAAAAAGCTGTAATGTCTCCCCAGCCTTCATTAGTGTCTACAGGAGTGATTCATCACTAAATTAAACAAATCAGCTGTGTTCATGATGCAGGAAATGTGCTGGAACCAAACTGCAGCGCCAGGTATGTCAGCTCAATATTTTCTAAGTCCCAAAAGAGCAGCTCACCAGTCTGAAGTTGCAAGTGGAATATTCTGGCCACAGAGGACGATAGAGGCTGGGTGGCCTTCCATTACCCTGTAAAGGGGAATTTTAGCCCATTTTAGCACACTCAAGAAAATTATTTAAAAATATGAAAAAGTTGAAAAGTGTGCCTTTAACAGGTGCTTCAGAAAGTTGGGTTTTACTTTTAAGCATGAACACATCAGAATGTCATCTGCAAAGAAGTGGAACTAAACCTTTTTTCTCAGAATGGACCCAGAAGGAAGCATGCATCATGAGAACAAGACGGGGCCCGGGGATCATCAAGAAAGCCTGTTTGCTGTGCTTTTATAAAATAAAAACCGATACCAAAATATTGGTTTACTTCCATTCACTCTTCTTTCTCCTCCAACCCCCATAAAACTCTGTTTGTCCTCCTTCAACTAGCAAGCTTCAAGGACAACAGACATCAGTAACGGTCTCTGGGACTTCCAGGTTTTCAGGCTCGAAGGTCGGACATGTTCCATATTTTTGATCCAGTGTGTTGCTACCACACACAGTGTGAGAACCTGACTTGGATTCTTTGCCCTGTATGGAAGTTGTACGGATTGAGATGGAGCTGAATACAATGACCGAAAAAGTTGCATGGTGTTCCCAATGTTAAAACTGATGCATTCATGTACAAACTCCCAGATTTCAATGTACGTTCAGATAAATGTAAGATTTTACTAATGAAAAAAAAATCTGATTAAAAACCTAAACTCAAAGCCAGTCTATTCACTTTTTTCTCTCTCCAGGGAATCAGAAACTTGTCTTCATCACTGAAGGGTTGCCATGACAACCTCACAACTGTATACTGAGGATGAAGACTCTAGAAAGTGTGAAATTGAACCCTGAGTTCTAATTATCCTGTCAAAGCACCAAGTCAGGAAAGTGGTTAAAGGTTCTGAGTTGAGTTAAACTCATGAACCACTTTTCAACAATTACAGCAGGCAGCAGTTTGTTAAAAAGATTCATGAACAAAGGAAGCAGATCTAATTCTTGTTGTCTAAACCAGCTCACATTTAGCTAGTATCACATTTAGCTAGTATCTGAACCCTGAGGAAAAAGCGTTTAGTCAACGTATCAGATTATAAAATCATAGCGTTCAGATGCATTTCAAATTACAAACGTGTGAATCTGTAAAGATGAAGAAGTTAAAACGTCATGAAGCGTACATGTTGTTCTGATCGTCGCTGTCACGTGAGTCGCTGTCTTGTGGGTCGAGCGGCTCTGCAGGGCCGTTCTGGTGTGAGCTGACTTCGGATAATCTGTCGTCTGTATCCGGAGGTGGTGGAGAAGCTGCTCGCTGGCCGTTTTTGTTCTGGAAAATGGCGTGGCAGAAAGGAATGGGGCTATCGTTGTATCCTCGGATGAGGAAGGGGCTGATAGGGGAGCAGAGGGGGTAGTGACCTGGACGAACGGGCTTGGCTGTGAGAGAAAACAGGAGAGAGATGCTCTGATCTGAGCATTTCATCTACAAATGACAGACACTCATTTTTTCCCAAAAGAATGGTGTTCCACATTGTAAAATTTATGACAAATGGTACTAATAAATGAACATATTCATTTACAACACAGTCCCCCTGTTATATTTAATTGCATTTGTATAATCCCCTAATGAAAACCATCATTTCCAAAACCCTCACATAAATCAATATCTCATTTTCTCTTTGCAGCAGCAAATGTGCCGCTCATTTCTTCACAGCAATTATCTCTAGTTGAACCAGTAATGGTAGGAGCTTTGATCAAAACAGATCCTTTTTCTGAGAATTTATATTCATCTACATCTGTGCTGGAGAGAAACTCCTTTCAAGCATTTATGTTGTCTTTTGTTTAGCTATCACTGCATCTTTCTGCACAGGTAACGACAAAAGCTGCATTTGCATGTAAGGTATTTCTACTCCTCGACTACAGGACAAGAACTGCTATCAGCGGCAATCGCTGCATCGTGCTCAGTCAACAAAAAAGAAGAGAGATGAGTGGAGGTGAATAGTACTGGGGATGCTGCTAGAGAGAAAGTCACAGCAGGACCATAAAACGAATGGCTGCATCATGGTGAGACATTCCTCACAGTGTGATGAAGAGGAGGGAGATGAAGTGTTACAACCATAAAGACACAAATGTTTACAAGTAAACAAAGACATATGAAAGAAGTTTAAATTTAGTTTCAAGTCTTCCGACAACAGCTGATCTGAATAGTATGCGGTAATTACTTGGTTCCTTAGCTTTGTTCATCCTTTTTTTTTTGTTTTGTTTTTAATGTCCCGGAAAAACTATTCTATCCTCAGAGGTGTGTTAAATCTGCTAAAAACTTATTTATTTTACATTTTCAAGTGTGTTTCTACGTAGAAATAAAGCGTTAGCCACCTCCTCAACAGCCTCTGTTTGAGGAAATAGAGATCACATCCTTAAAGACTGATTGGCTATTGCTGTCATCCTAAAAAAGGTCCAGACTCCAAAAGGTTGATAGCATTTCATATAAAACTGTTTATAATTATGTTTCTTCCCAGACAACCGACTAAGTATTTATAAATGAGCATTTGACAAAGAAACATGATTCAAAATGCTAAAACGTTGACCAAATGAATTCATGATGTTTATTTACAAATAACTGAGGGGAATTAGTATATGTGCTGCTGTTCAACAAACCTTATAGCTGTTTGAATGAAACAGAATTTTACTAAATATTTAAAGATCTGATAGCTGCAGATGATCATCAACTACTTAAGAATCAATAAATAATTTTCTAAGCTCAGTCTGTCACGTTGAGGGGAAGGTTAGGACCCAAAGTGCAGATTACCCAGACGACAAGAGGCTGGAGATGATGTAAAGTAAATATGCTTTATTTTGCAGGACGGACAAAAATAAATCCAAAGGCAGCGAGCCAAAAGTCCAAAAATCTAAAAACCCTGGTAACAAGAACAAAAGCTCACTGAGAGCACCAAAACCTGGAGACAAAAGCTCACATGGAGCACGAAACAATGCTGACAAACATACAATGGACCGACACAAAACAGAGACAAGACAGGGCTTAAATGCACAGGGAGGAGTAATTAGGGAAACAGGCAGCAGGTGTGTGGCGTGAGGGCTGGAGAAAGGCAGGTGACACAAATTATCTAAATGGGGAAACAGAAACAGTGAAGGGCAGATAAACCTAAACATAAAACTAAACCTAAGACTGAGGGAAGGACTCACACACACACATACACACACTGACACATACATGCACTCAATCACACATGTACTGAGCTGGGGAACAAGAGGCTGGAGCTACAATTGGAGGGGCTGGGGATGACTAAACACTGGACCTGAGGGAATGATATGAAGGCCTACAAACAGAAGACACATAAATGAGATGGAGACAAAGGACACATGAGGGCGCTTATGAGACCCAAAATGGGAACCTAGAGGAAGGAGAAGACATGAGGGAAGACACAGACGCAGACCATGACACAGTCGTGCAAGCCAGTCAGATAACTTTGAAAGAAACCGGTGATGTAATCCCGAGGCCGTATCTGGCAAGTATTATTATGTTACCTATCTGTGCAGCGTGAGGACGGCGGAACGGATTGCGAGTCCTCATCACGTCCTTGATTCGCTCTACTTCCTGCTCGTAGCGCTGGCGGTCCTTCATGGCTCCCTCCTTTGCTTCCTTCAGCGCGCCCTCCAGGGCCTTAACCCGCTCAGCTGTAGAGCGAAGACGTTTCTCCAGTTTTGGAAGCTCACAGCGAAGATCTGCATTGTCACGTACCAGCTGTAGCACAGGTGGAGAGTAAAAATAGACCCAATCAAATCTCACAAGAAAAGAAATCAGTGGAGCTGGCAGGAAATCCTTAGCAATCACGTGCTTTACATATAAAGAAGTCTGGGAAAACATTCTGATATTAATCTAAGTGTAAAGCAACACATCGGTGCACTATTTCCAGGAACTAGAAGTGAACCACATCACAGCCGAGCTTCAGACAACAGGTTTTTGAACTCTTATTTTCTGATATTTGCTCACCTCAGACTGGATAACAGTAGCACAGCTCTACCACTGACTTGCAACGTGGATGTTTTATCTCCATAAATAACACAAGCCTGAAGGAGTTCAGCCGTGTGGTGGAGTTGCTAATTGTAATGTCCAGAAATGGTCAATTTTCTCCTACAGATTGACCTACATGCCACTGGTCATCAGCAGACATACGTCCCATCCTCTAAGGTGGATTTTACACTCTATCTTCCTAAAAGCCCAGAAGGATACTGCAACCTTGTTGACATTTCAGGAGGAACACGTTGTCAGCCTGTGTTCCCAAACAAAGCCTTCTCTGATAACACCGCAGGAGTGCCCACTCTCTCAATAAAGTGAAAGTTTTCAAGAAATGAAAATTGACAATTGTTATATGGATAATAATAATGTTTCGTTAATCTGTGCTTAAACCAATAAGGTTGATTGATCTGTGCTTGAAATACTGAAACATTGAATGTTATACATACATATATATATATATATATATATATATATATATATATATATATATATATATATATATATATATATATATATATATATATATATATATATAGCAATCAGTATCCGGTATCTCAAGAAGGCGTGATGTCTGAGGTTTTCTTGGTAATATCCCTTAACATGGCATGCTCCGATTGGCCAAGCTTCATTCCAGCTTCCCATCATCCAGCATTCAGTCATGGAGAGCGCTTCGGAACGGCCGTCCGGAGCAACACCTCTTAAACCTTGAGCATTTTTGGCAAGCTGCCAAAACCCTGCTAAAAGCTGCCTACCACTGACACAGCAAACTGTTCCTGCAGAACAAAGCTGATATTGTTCATGCATCCTGGCTCGCGACGGGGATGGCTGTTGTTGATTCAGTGTCCAGGAGAGAGCAGAGAAAGTCTTGGCTAGTAGAAGCTAACCGTTAGCATTAACAACACAAAACAAACACCAACATTGCAGAGCAAATGGAGCCAGGGGTCAAGTTGCATCACTGTTAGCCAGTCAGAGTCATAACATCTGATTACCAGGAAATACAACATCAAAACCTGCTATCTGTAGCTCACGTCTCCTCTGGCTCTCCTCTACCTCCTGAAACAGGAGCGCCAGAGCTTTTTTCCCAGAGAGATTGGCTCATCTGTTACTCATTTAACTAGAGACCACCACAAGTGCAGGGCTGACAACTCTCACTCACTGTGTGTGAGATACATGCAACTGACGACTGCCTCTACATGCTCTGACCAACCCCCACCCTCCCTTTTGGAGGGACGCAGTATGAGCGACAGGAGCGTGCACCCCTCCACACACTCTCACAAACAACAGAGGGACACAACATGATTCTTTTAAAGCAAAAGAAATGTTGTGCAGAGAGTGGGTGTACTCATTTTTATGCCCCATCAAGTAAAATCTATGTGAACATTTTCTGAATTTTCTACGCATCGCTTGTAAGAGGAAATGGTAACGAGCAAGCACGTTCTGCTGCGACATGATCATGCAAACTAATCTATATCCTGCAGAGATCCTGAACAGTTGAACGGACAGTTTTACACACAGGCAAATTTATCTAACCAGCAAAACATTCATGAATTCAATAAATCAACCCGAAACCCAGCAGCACCAGTTTATTGTTTGATAGTGAATCATTCTGGAAGAAGGGGGAAAAAAAACAAGGATGGAGGAAAGACTCCCAAAAGAGATGAGTGAGATTATAGGAGTGTTGTGTGAGTGAGTACAGAAAGGTGGATGGACAGGTGATTAAATCTGTGCAACTTTTAGTTGTGCTGCTCTGTGCTGTCTCTTTGAAAGTCTCATCATGTTCCTTTGGGAGCTTGCTGATTTCCGACTGTAGCTTTTTTTCAAATTCTTACAGTATCAGTGAGTTGTGGATGAGACTGAGACCCCTTTAGGATTGGTCTTCAGCCTGACGAACTGCTGCAGTCTGCAAGCATTTGGCACATTTAAAGTTAAGGTAAGTAGTTTAAAAAATTGAAAGTAACTTTAAAAATACTTAAATGCAATTATCTGATCCTGTTCTATGATATAAAAGGCAATCTTTCATTATTTTTATTTCCCCAAAGTCCCTTCCTTGGCCTCTACAGCAAAAAGTTGTTTACACGAGCCTAGATCGTTTATCCAATAGCGTTGCGCTTCCACAAGAGGGAGCTGTCAATCAGCAAGAATGTTACCCAGTTCCCCGCATGCTCTTCTGGGTGTCAGGATGTCAATTTAGTGCACCAACCCAGCTTAAATGCTAACTCGACCAGCACTGAAATAATGTCAGTCTGTAAACTTCAAGCTAACTTTGGGGAGGAAAATAAAAAGGGATTTATCTTTAGTGTAATGGAGCTAAGTGATAAGCGTAGCGATCAACCTTACTCTACATTAGACTATTGTTTTAGCGTGTTGTAGCATTAGCAGTGATCACAAGTGCCTGTTTCTTGACAGTTGTAGATGTTTCCCTGCTCGAACCTTGCAGATTTGATTAAAATGAGTGTTTAGCAGCTCCTGCAGAACCCGATGAAGGCTAACGCAGCAGTTAGAAGCTGGTGTGTCTGAGCGGGGCCACATTGGATTTCAGCAGGCCCAACGCTGTTGGGAGCTATAGCCATTCTAAATCTCCTCCTCCTCTCATTGATGACGCCATTCAATGGGCCACAGTTTTAAATTTGTGGAAACAGTCCATACAGGAAAATAAATGGTCTGAGCACAATCGTGTTGCTCAGAGATTCTGTTGTCAATCTTTGTACAAAAGGGGGAAATCCAACTTTTTTAATCAATACATTTGCAGTGGACTCAGACAGGAATGGATGCCTTTCAAGCCAAACTCAGGGTAAAAAAAGCCCAGAATTGCTTGAATTAGCACGCACAAGTCTGCTGCAGAGAGTTCAACATGGCAGAATTTGGAGTCTTGTTTCCTGATATTTGGACATCTTGCCTCAGATGGATAACAGCAACACAATCTACCACTGACTTGCAAAGTTCATGTTCTTTCTTCACAAATAAAACAAGTCTGGAGGAGCTTTTTTGTGTGGTGGTGTTGCTAATGCTAACGGTTAGCTTCTACTAGTCGGGACGTTGTCTGCTGATTCCTGAACATTAACCCAACAACAGCCTTCCCTGTTGTGAGTCAAGATGGGTAAATCCATGAATGTTAAGTGACAGTGTGACGTAGATCTGTCAGGATTTTCAAATCCTAGAGTTTCACATCTATTTTCTATCAGAAGCTAATGCAGGAGGCAGGTGTTGGAGACTATTTTCATGTTTGTCCTGCATGAGAAGCTCAGTGACCGATTATAATCAGAAACAATCATTAAAAAAATTTTTTTCAGTCTTCCACACCTTTAGGCTGTTTATTGTGCCTGCTTAAGGAGGATTTCCTTTGTTTTCACCAGGAACAAGAATCTGCAACGTGGCTTCTTTTTCCTGATAGTATTATGGTTTACCACTTCCTGCTGTGCTGCTTTCAAGGAGACATTCATAAAGTTGAGGCCATAAGATTGATGCTGCTGGTGTGGCTTACACCCACTGGACAGCAGAGACAAATTATGCATCCTACAGCGCATTATAATTTGATTTTATCATCCTTGCACATCAAATTTTGCTCAGCCACTTCTCATTTACAGCCAAACATATAAATATGGTCCACTTATTAAGAGAAAAGAGGAAGACAGGTTCACATTTGGGTGCTTTCTCATATCTGCTGCTTGTGTTACCTGTTTGTGAACCTTTGTAAGCTGCTCCAAGTTGTTTTCAAGAAAAGAAATCTTTTGTTTTTGTGTGAGAAATCCTCCAGTATCATTAAGCTCCATGCATGCGCTCTGTCAACAGAAAACCAGATTGTCAGAAATGTGTTAGAAATGGTTTAGGAAAAGGATTAATGTAGCTCTTCCAAAAAAACACTTTCAGATGTTCTCTGGTTGAGTTTGACTTACTTTCCTAACTCGAGTTGTGAGGTCTTGAACAAAAAGTTTGCGTAGATTGTGAAGCGTGTGGAGCTCATGAGCCTGCAGAAGGTAGGAAATAGCAAAAGCAATTATTTAGCAGAGTATTTTGTGGATCGATAGCTAGGGACTGTGATGAACAGAGACAGTAAATGATGACTTACGACGGTCTCCTCTAGACCTTTGAGGTCCTGCTTTGACTGCTCGTGCCGCTCACAGAGAAATCTGCCGATAGATAACCAGACGGAAAGATTGAAATCTGAACCTCTCTGTGCCCAGATTATTAATTCATTCACAGCAGAATAATTCATGTCTAAAGAACAAAGGCAGAGTAGCCCGGCCGCCCCGCCTGTGGGGCTGTTACCCCGTGTGCCGTCTGATGCAATATGCTGCAAAGGTCAGTGCAGAAGAGGGACCTTAACAGCCAGCTGCTACCTTATTAAGAGAATGTCTAATGGTGACGCAAAACAAACCAGACAGGAAGAAGCGGACCATGAAGCAAAACTGACCAAAATACAGCCACAGTAAAAAAAATAAATAAAAAAGCACACAGTAAGAGACTGACAAAGCTGAAGCGTGAGTGGATGATAAATGGAGGAAAGGAAGACAAATGACTGAGAATAAAAGGGAGACGTGAATCTAAGGAGGCAGCTTGCCTCCAGTCCTCCATATGGCGAGGTGTTTGAACGACGGCCAGGACCGTAAAGACGAGACTCACGTCAGTTCCTCCAGCTGCCGGCTCTTGTGATGCTCCTGAGTTCTGAGGCGTTCAAAGTCACCGTGCAGTTGCTCCAACTCCAATCGCTGCTTCTGGTTACAACTGAAAAACGACGTAATAATGTTACGATTATGCATTTATGGCACTTTTCTCAACAAAGCTGCAAAAAAAGTGATTTGTCACGACGGACAAGACGAGTTTTGTTGTTCATTATAGTCACAATGAATGACTGAGTAACATCACACACTACTGAAAGCTCTCAGTTTAGTTTTGAAAGCAGATAAAGACGTCTGTGAATCACGATGGTCTGGTGGTCAACATGTCTGAGGTGTATTTAGGGGTCAAGGCCACTTAGGGCGTCGGAGGTGAGATGTAAGATTTTTAAATCAATACGGATTCTAAGCCAGAGCAGGAACGCCAGCATGGAGGAAGTGTTTTCACGCCTTTTAGTCACAGTAATGAGTCGCTTTGCTCTGAACCAGCTGGAGGTGATGGAGGGAGCTGTTTATTTATATTTCAAAATAGAAAACAACCAAATATTTTGTCCCTCGAGAGTTTTGGCTGAGTAGAAATTTGAGAGACAAAGAAAATCCTTGAAATCAGTATCGCTTTAAAACAAATGGTCATTTTTCATTATCATGTTATTTATTCTGTTTGACTTGATGTGATGGCGGCAAACTAAAATGTTTGTTAAACTCCTCTGCTGGAAAGTACAAAAAAATCAGCCAGACAAATAAATGCTCTGTCCCTGAGTCTGAGGCAAATGGCTCCAGCTCAGTGCAGCAGAAATGATGAACAAGCACAATTTCTAAATGCAGGGTAGGAAATTTCCCCCCTGTATTTTCACATCAGCTGTGTGTGAGCCAGACGAGCCTCCTGGCATAGAACAGGGCTACTTGACTGGCCTAAAGGTATAATTAAGCCCCAACTAAAGCACTGACATTCCCTATAAGTCCACATTTTTGCAGCGCTTCACTAAATAGAGTATTCTCCACACCAGCTCATATTACTGTGTACATCCTAATCTTTCATATAAAAAACATTCAATCTGCTTCAAGTTGTCATATTTCTGTAAAATGATCTGATCTCTGCTTCTGTTTCACATCCGTTCTACCTCACTGACATCCATCCATCCGTTTTCAAGCAGCTTATTCAATTCAAATTGTGCACACAGGATTAGCAGAGCTGCTCCAAATGTGTATTCTCACAAGAAATTCCTCACATCTGTTCCTCTACTGCTAACAAGCTTTCCCAGGCCAGATGGGGGATGTATTTCTATCCCCTGAGGGGGTCTGCAGTCTACCAAGTGGTCTTCCAGACCATCATGCTTGGTGCATTACGCCGTCACATGAAAAGACGGGCTTTTTCACTTAGTCTGAATCAGGCCAAAGCCTCCTTGTGCTGAGGTTCAGCAGCAGCTCTAAAGTCCTCCTACGCAGAAGCTTCCTCACCATAAAAGCCCCCCACAGGTATTCATCCCAACCACTCTAGAAGCTCTTCTTACAGCTCAGACGGTTTTTAAAATTCAGCTGTGAGGACCACTTTAATGATTCTTTCCATCTATTACAGCATTTTATTAACTAGTTCACCACAGACAGACGTAGCAATGTTTATTTGGTGCATTAAAGCTACAGTAGCAAATTTCTTAAATGACATGCTTTTTTCATAATTCTTACAACTGTACAGTGATAATAGGTTTAATAAATCTTCATCTCATATTTTTGGTAAATAACTGAACATAAATTATTTTCTTTCACAGCATGAAGGGTTTTCTGTATCAGAGAAACTGAAGTAGGACACTGACTCGGTTAAGTCGTCAATGATCTTCTGCTTCTCATTGATCTCGTCTCGAAGATGGTTGAGCTGCTTGCTGTGCATCTCTCGGTGCGACTGCATCTGCTCCTCCAGAGCTGTCTGAAACAAGAAGAAAAGTAAAGTGATTGCAAACCAGAGGAAGCAACATAAAGTAGGAAGGAAAGGTCAAACAAAACGGCTACTTAATCCAGAACTTTACGCACTAGATGCAGATCTGAAACTAGAGAACGATGCTCAGACACACACACTCATGAATGTTGTTGATATAAACTATTTCTGCCAGACGTTTGCAGCTGGATCTGTTTGCTTTAGTCAACCAGTTTATGAAATGGACATTTTAGTAACTGTAATCCAGTAAACCTGAATCGCAAAGCAGAGGCACGACCACAGAAGGGGACAAAAACATGTACACCTGCAGTTAGCTAAAGGTTGAGGCGGTGTACTGAAAAGCTAAGCTGTCACTGTCGTCATGGTTACCTTAATATCGCAGGAATTCTGGTGAGATGTGTGAGTCTCCTCACTGGTCATCTGAGACATGCTTTCTGAAACAAACATTTCCACGAGACGAGAACGAGAGTTAATGAGACGGCCAGGTGTAGCGCGACAGGAAGGTGACTTTGACCCCATGTGGCAAAAACAAAAGCTCTTCTTGTTGAAGTAGGTCAGACTGATCCAAGTCACGCTTTGGACAAGATAATCGTTAGTTGCAAATTACATCTTTTGTGTCACGCTAACCTGTTAGCAACTCACCGTTTGATGATGAAACACCTCTGAGCTCTGCAGAGCGTCAGGCAGCGTGATCAACATTGAAGCTGCAGACTTGTTCAAAGACAGCCTGGAGTAAAGTTAATTTATTGAAAACGTTTTTTAATCCACCAGCTAATCAATCTATTTCTCTGTGGCACCACAGAAGGAATAAGTTACTTTGCCTCTGGCCTGGTTTGTGAACTGTGTCAGTGCACTGGGAGCATCCGCAGTCGGCTGCACAAACGTTAAATGTGCCATCAATCTTTTTGTGCTGGTTCTGTGAAATGTTTATTTGTCTTTTTTGTTTCTTTTTTTCTGTCCTTGACAGGATATTGAGATCTGTGGTGCAGATCAAAGCAAAGCAAAACTAAATAGTTTTAATTAGGAAGTCCCTTTGTCTTTAGGGTCACCTTGGTGGTGTTACAACGCTGGAAAATTATCATCTGCTCATAAATTATTTTGATGAACCATTCTTTTTTCAGGGTGCTGACCTTTGTTTTAACTTCTGCAGCTGAAGTCAAATTTATAATCATTTGCATCTGAGTGGCGACCACTGTTTTTTACCATGTCACACAGTGTGATTGATCATTGCTCTAAAAGCTAAGGCTCAAAGCCTTAAAAAAGTAATAACTGGGATAAAGGCATACTTTTAAAATGACCTTATTTTAATTAATACATTAAAGAGCCTTAATTGGGTTGATTTGACAACCCACGACTGGTTAAACCTCATGTTTAGACCCATTTTGTTAAATAAGTAACTTTTAGTTACTTTTCCCAACAAATAAAAAAAGGCAAAATTTCCCCATAAATTTGGAATTTGAGGACTGGCCCATAGTTTTGATTTTAATATCTCAAAATAATTATCCAAAACTCCTGAACCTGCCACAAAAACAACTCAGGCTAAACTAAAAAGATAAAAGTGCATGCTAATGTGCTAAAATTTTTAGCGCACCAACTTTTGCATTCACTGGGTCCAGACTCACAGATCTGCAGGATTGTATTCATGCTTTATTTTCTGAAATACATGTGGGACTCCGGGTTTCCTCTGCCGTACCTTGAGCCTGGAGTTTAGCCAGCTCCTCGGTCAGAGAATCGTAGCCGTCCTCCAGCTGCCTCTTCTTCATCTCCACGTTCTGCGTGTACTCTGTCAGAGAGCGAATCTTTGCCTCGTGCTGAAAGTCACAACATCAAGGATGCAGAAAGTGTAGGGATGAGCAAAAACCTCCACCCAGTAGAGAGCTGCACCAGGGACGAAGAACTGAATGAATCGGCTTTTTGTATTAAACATTCATGATAAGCAGTCATTAGGGGATTTAGTTTAAACGCCGATTGTAAAATTTACATTATTATTGCTTCGGGCAACCTGGTTCACAGACAGAATATTAATCACTTCATACTTTGAGAATCTGAACAGTGGGCAAAGAAAAAAGGGTTTATTATGTGAAAAATCTCAACAAAAACAAAGCAAGAGATTAATGAAGCTATGCTAGATAATAAATAAACCAACAGAGAAACAGCAGTGTTTCCATGTGGACTTTACTTCTCCATGTCTGTTTGTTTTATCCAGAACCTACAACAGCTGACTCATCAGGATGAATCTTCACCTGTGCGATGACGAGTTGACACGATGACAGCTCTCTACTCGTCTCCTCCATCTTGCGTTGACAATCCATCTGGAGGTTCTCCAGGTAGCGGCACCGCTTCACCATCGATTTCACCTCCGATTTTATCTTACTGATGTAGAGACGAGCAACCGTAAACTCCTCCTCGATCGCGCCGGTGATCTCCGCTGGCTGAAGATGAGCAGAGGAGGAAAGAGTCAATGTCTGATCTAGACTGAGCAGACTGAGTTGGAAGATTTTTAGAGTTTTAAAGACGGCTGGAAAATTAAAGAAGGGGGGAAATCTGAAGATGTTGTGTGCATAAACATGAGATTAACAGCATCGTTTAACAGATGCTCTGAACTGAGAGGTGGAGGATGACAGAGATTTACACATCAATCTAAATTTAACACATAAAGTGCAACTAACTGAGGGAATAATTGAATTTTAGATGTTCTCTCATCTGTAGTTAAAGCTTTTTCCTTCAGAATCTCATTTTTTTAAGTGTTTTTCTTCAGCAGCTTCACTCACCAGCTTGATTTCCCTGTTTCCCACTATGGTGCTGAACTCACGCAGGTCCCTCGTCAGCCCGTTGAGAACTTCAGCAATCCGTTTCCTTTGGTGGCCGCTCACTTCCTGGATACGTGACAGCTCTGCTTCCAAGGCCAGGAGGTGAGTCTGTGAGAGGGAGAGGGAGGCAAAAAATGGGGAAAGGGGACAGGAGGGGAGAAGAAATGTATGTGAAATAAAATGTACAATAAAACAATAACAGAGGAAGAGTGTAGCCCCCCCACCCAGTCACATAAATAAAACCACAGCTTTAAAAAAATCCTTAAATTTGAGATTTTCTACTTAGACTAAAATCCTGTTCTGATTTCCTAAGACCTCCGGTCTTTCATTGTTCAAATTCAGTTCAAGCCTGCCTTTTACTTCTTTGTTTCTAGTTTCCAGTGGTTTAGTTGTAAATAAACATTCAAGTGTTATAAAATATTGCATTTCATTTTAAGTCCCATTTCCCCTTTAAAGGGGATATTTTTTTTCATCTTCTGCTGTTTTCGTTTCACCTTCATCTTTAATTATCTTAAAACTTTGTTGTCATTTTTATGGCTTCTCCAGTTAAAAAATTAACTCAAGTGCTGCTGTAAAGCATCAGCTACAACGAATTTCTTTATTAACAAGTAAAAGGAGACAAGGTCAATAAAAATGTTCTGTTTAGATGATCTGAGATTTATGGAGACGTACTCAAGAGAAGACCTGATGAATGAAACAAATATAGTAAATCAAAAGATGGGTGAAGCGTGAGAGGGAGCAGATGAATGGCAGGGACAGTGACTGACGGCGTTGTCTCCTGCAGAACAGCAGAGCACCCTTTAAAAAGAAAAAAAAGAAGAAAACTGAAAAGAAAAACAAAGAGCTGAAAGGGCAGTTCAATGATAAATCTGCTCTGTGGCACCATATTTCTAAGCCAGAGCTGCAAATTGAAGATGATCAGAACTGTTGGGATGCAGAACTGGTTCTGATGATAAAGGATGAAGCTGATAAAAAGAGCGGAGAGGCTGGAGTAATATGATTACTGCTGCATCACTTTTCTTGTATCGACTTTTAGTGGATCCGTGTCTGTATTTGGTTTCCCGGCCTGTCAGGCTGCCAGGTGGCATCACTGAAAACGACCCTGTCAGGTACGAGATGCATCGGAAAGGCCTGAAAAGCACGAGTGTTAAGTGGAGTGATCGAGGAAAAATCTGGGTGCTCTGGCTGAGTTTAGCAAATCAAATGGTGTGGTAAGTTGTTTTATTGTCAGCTCCTTTAATCAGTTTTGGGTCCATTTCTGAGTAAGATGGAGGTGGTGGGGGCCTGGCTTACTGTAAAACACGGAGTGAATTACAGACCAGGATTTCTCTCCAGAACCAAACCACTTATTTCTCAGCAGGGTTTTAGGGAGCTGGTCTAACTCCAAAGGTCACTGGGTGAGAGGCGGGGGACACCCTGCACAGTTCACCAGTCCATCACAGGAGGTGATACACTCACTCACACCTAGGAACAATTTTGAGTCTCCAGTTAACCTAACATGCATGTTTCTGGTCTGTTGGAGGAAGACGGCGTATCGAGACAAAACCCATGTATGAATGGGAAAAATGTGCAAACTATAAAGGCTAAAGTTGGAATTCAAACCAGCTGATTTGTTTTAAAAAAGCCATTGTAGACTTGCCTGTCCAAAAAGTCCTGAAAAGAAAGACTAGTTTAAAAGACATATTGTTCCGTCTTACACTGATGAACACGAATGACTTGTATAATAGTTTTTGTGTGTAACGCCACTGTTCGTCTGCAGCAGATTTTTAAGTGTAAAGTAGCAAAGGCATGATTACTAATTTATCCCAAACAGTTTTATTAGCTGACAGTTAAACTTTGGACAGTGTTGACATCTTCTATTACACAACAGAGCTGTCAAGTCCTCTGTGGTCACCTGCAGATGCCTCCTCTGAGGTTTGGAACTGGTGCCCCACAGATCTGATCACAGTTGCTTTTGGTGCAGTTTAGAGCTTGTTTTGCATTCTACAAATCTCTACTTGCATCACAGACCTGTAGGTCTACACAATATTTTCAAAATGCAACTAAATCTCTCTCAAATTCTGAGAATTTCTGCCACAGCAGAGAGTTACACGCTCACAACAAGCTTCTTGAAACTCTGACTCACCATCTTTTTAGCAAGTTCTTCTGCCAGGAGCTTGTTCTGCATGCTTTTCTCCTCAACCTCCAAGCTCTTCTGGTCGTAGTTCACCGCCAGTTCCTCCAGCGCCTGAAGCACCTCCTTCACCTCGGCTTTAGAGGACTCGTTCTCGGTCTGCAGCCTGCAGAGCTCAGACTGCACCCTCTCGCTGTCTCCCCTGGATGAGGCTAAAAGCTGAGAGACGCAGAGATTCAGCTGAATAGAAACTGTATGAGAGATTTGTTGTCGGAGCAACAAGTCAGCTGCAATGGACCACAGATTTTCAGGAGCTATGAGGGAGCTGGTTTTATTTTAGCACCACAGTGTTTGCTCTTCTGCTGCAGCCCACTGAGGGTCATTTCCCTGAATGAGTGCCATTAAACGCAGATGCAGCTCCTCCTGGGGTTCCTTCATATTCACCCTGTCACACAGTTTGCATGTGAACAAATGAATGGTGCTACACAACGATCTGTGCTCTGGTTATTATCATGTCGGCTCAACCCACAGCAGGAGCATTATGGGATATGAAAAGACATAGACATTAGTCTGAAGTTATAAACATTCACACTCAAATGATTCAAGAGTTGATTTTCTTCCTAAAAGGCATCTAATAAGTTTGTTTGCATAATCTCAAATCACAGGAGACAAGAGCCATGACGTGGCTTTGAATGAATGTTAACTGGAGGTTGTGCAGTTGTGTTTATTTTATTATTCTGTGAGAAATCAACAACTGAGGAGCTGGTCTAATCTATTCTATTTGATACCGATGTTAATACAAACACATCTACAAATAAGAGAAAACAAATCCTTTACTCAAGTATTTTTTGACACCTAAGAGTTTTTTTCTCGTCTCATTTGTCTCAAGGGCAGGAAAGCAAACCTCTCTGGTTGACTTCTATTTAAACTGTTGGCACACTCGCAGGAACTGCAGCCCACTGCGAGCCATTTAACCAAACCAATGAAAGCATGTAAAATCAAGATATTTTACCTCCTCCTGGTCGAGCATCTGCTCCTTCAGCTTCTCCACCATCTGGCTCTGGTGGTTGATCTCGTCATCCTTTAGTGGGACAGAGGAGCATGGAAAAGACAGTTAGCTTGCATTTAGTTGTGTGCACTTATACTGGTTCAGCTCCTCAGATTAGCATCTCATGAGTTTCGTGTCTGATCAAAACTTCCCGGGTTACCGCAGAAATGGGAAAACTCAGAAATAATTTAATGATTTAAATATGTGAGCATCAAAAAGAGAAGCAATGTTTATCAAATATGTTAAATGCACCAGTTTGCTGATCAAGGTTAAACATGCTAAGTCAATCACGGATAAATCAATGAAAAAGCTACTACTTCTACCCCAGTGCTAACACTTACTATCATTTCTACTGCAGCAGGCATTTGAAGAAGAAAAATTGTACATTTATGCACCATGGTGGATAGGAGGTCTCTCACTTGGGTTTTATTTATTTTAGTTTTTTTTATAAATATTACTGTCATATTATAGTCTTCTTCTTTACCTAAAATATCAATATATGTATCCTGATTTTGCTTCTGCATGTTCAATCAGCAATCAGTGATTAAATAAATATATTTGGAGTGTCATAAAATGATAAAGCATAAAGAAAATGTGTGGAAATTAATTCAAGGTTTGCTGCATTCTAGTTTCTGAAGCGAGGACAGGGTCACGGTGGGGGGTGTTACCAATCGCCTTACCATGTTTGATTTTTGTTTGGCAAGAGGAAACTACAGAAAACCCATCATGCACAACAGAGATGATGCAAACGTCACATAGAAGAGCCCAAGCTGGGAGTCAAGCCTGCAGCTGTTTTGCAGTATAGGAAGATGCTAACCAACTGTGCCACAGTGCAGCCCAGTTTTCAAAATAAAACACTTGTTTTCCCCAATGGCGTTCTTTCCTGAAGAGTGCTGGTGTGCATTCATCACTTACTAAATGATGCTATGAATAATACATGTGTAATAAACTCTTTGTATTCATGTGTGCAATCTGAATTCCCAGCCACGGTGTGTAATCAGCTCTGCATCCATTCACAGACGATCCTCAGCTGCATCCATCACCTTATCGTCCATCTGCTTGTAAAGCTTGCGGATCTCCTCCTCGTACTTTTGTCGCTCTTCATGTGAGATGTGGACCACGATGGAGGATGCGATGGAGCAGGGGCTGCAGGGAGTGCATGGGGTGGAGGGGCTGCATAATTCGAGGGACGACTCCACCGGTTCTGGTGGCACAAAGAGGGAATCCTCTTCTCCTTCCCTCAGCTGCCCCAGCATGAGAGCATTCTCCCCTAGAAAGAGGTGACAAATTATATTTATATATTTTGTCAACGTGTTGCCCTTGACTTAATGCACCCCTAAGGATTGTTCCATAAAAGGGGTGCATCTGCAGCATGTCCTCTGCCTACTCCTGAACACATTGCATTATCAGGTTGGAGACATTTCTGTGCCATGAAGGAACACTACATAATATTATTACTGAAAGTCAGCTATGCTCTTTTTACATTCCAGTGTGCACGGTCAGGATGTGCTTGTTTATGGAAGAATCCCCCTAAGAAGATGTAACGGAATGAAATGACTGTTTTCCACCTAAAAGTCATGTCCCCCTCTCCTCAGCAAGAACTAATCTGCATGAGATATTGTTCAAGGTCTCATGCTCTGCTTCTAAACCGTTTCTCCTTTCCAGCCCAAGAGAAGAATGAAGACAAAGGACTCTTTCTTTTTAATAAATCAAAGAACTCTATTTTTGATAAAGCTAATCAAACAAAGTGTTAGTCAATAATAAAATGTGAACCAATTTGTGAAATGAAAATATTAATTACTTGATATTATAATCCTACAGAATATAATAAGTAATATAACTTTAAATGTTTCCACTAGACGCTGATTACACGTAAGGTTACGCCACATCACACATTGCTTTTACTGATCCAATCAGAATCTGCCAGATCTGACGGAGGCGTGGCATTTGTGGTGCTTGGTAAATCTGTCATCTTTTCATTCAACCATAAATCAAAACATCCAAATTATAAAACTATGCCCACGTCATCACTAACTCCAGTTCAAAGCGTTCTAGAGAAGTTGTCGGAGAGGCCAATCCGTAACTTTCCTCTTCAGCCGAAAGAACCAACGACAAGCTGGATAAAATCTGTGCTGTTCCACCTGCTGCAACGGTTCCTTTCAGAATAAAAGCTGGACCATCACGACCCCGTTTTGGGTCTTGTTAGATGCCAATAAAACTGTCGTGACCTGGAAGTATCTCAAGACTGGTTTGAGTCAGCAACCGCTGCTTTTCCTACCGGCTTCGGTTCCAGAGAGGGTCAGGCTGGACCTCGACATTCCTGATCTAACGGGGACTTCCGAAAGGATACGTAGGCCGACAGAATGGCGTCTTAATGTGTGTTATGAATCTCCAAATCAAAGCTTAGAGCGAAGACATCACCTTCACTCCCAACAGAACTAATCGTTTCTCCGGATTTGCTGGTTCTGAACAACATTCCACACTACACCATTCTCCATCTCACTTCACCTTAGTTACACCATACATTTAGTGTTTAAAGTTAGTCTAGTTTTAATTTGTTTAGTAATAAATCTTTAAACTTTTAAAACTTGACTCTCTTTTGTCTCTGAGTTAATACGAAGTGTTACATAATCCCTGCAATAAAAAGTTCCAATCTTCTGGTTTAAGTTATCCACAGATCCATACGATTGATTTCATATTTTCTATGGAATCTCATGTCTTATGGTTCATTAAATAATATGTAAATTTAATCATTACAGAAGACTTAGATGTGGTTTGGTATTATCCTAAATGAGAAAGCTCCATGGATTAGAAAAGAAACATCTAAAAAATTCAAAGTCCAAATTTCAGTTCAAACTTATTAGGATTACCACGCTGTAGAAAAAAACACAGATAAAAGGGTAGAATTGACATCAACGTTATTAGGAAATCCCTCATGTTTAGCATTTAAGTGTTAATCTTTCCAGAAGAATGCTGTTAAAGACTCTTACAGATACGTAAATGTAGATATATGCAGCTTTTGGGAAGTTAACAAGTTGTGAGTCTCATTACATCTGAAATAAAACTAACTCTAACTAGGGGTGATGATTAAGCACCCATCCTGTAATCAGAGGGTTACAGGTTCATGCCCATCTCAGTTTGTTGCTGCTGTTGTGTCCTTGAGCATGTCTTGACCCTCCTTGCCTGCTGGTGGTGGTCGGAGGGACCGGTGGAGCCAGCATTCTGCAGCCTCGCCACCGTCAGTGTGCCCCAGGGAAGCTGGGGCTACGGTGCTCTTCACCACCAGCGTGTTAATGTGAGCATGCAGGGGTGGAACACTGATTGTGTTATAAAGTGCCTTGGGGGGGGGGGGGGGGGGGGGGGGGGGGGGGCTATGTAAACACAGATTATTTACACTTACCACTGCATTTCAGAAAAAACACCAACGGTCAAACACGGTGGTGGTAGTGTGATAGTCTGGGGGGTCTCTATAACTGATAAAACCATTAATCCACTAATTCACTAAATCCTGAGGAACCGTTTTTGACATTTTGACTTCAGATTGGCCGTTCATGCTGGACTTGTTTTATCTTAAACCAGATTCTTTAAGGCAGCTTTTAACATCTGTCAGATGGGGGTGGGGATTCCCTCACTAAATGGCATTATAACATCTATTGACATTATATTGATTGTACATATCAAAACAGACTTTGCTTGCCTATAGTAATTGGTGTTTAATTGCATATTTCAAAGTAGCAGATAAAAACACAAATGGAGCAGAATTGCCTGCATGAAACAGTTGCTACTGTCCCCAGGCCACGTAGACGAGAGCTTTTGGTAATTAAGTGCAAAGTGGAGGTCAACAGCATCAACCTGAGGGACTTTCTGACCACAGATGAACAGCAATGAAGAAATGACAGAGAGGAGAAATTGGGGCAAAGCTGCCATGAAAAGTGAGAAGCACTCAATTCTGAGAGGGGGACGTTCCACAGTAAAGGCATATGATGATGCAATAAAGGAAATGATTTCCACCGATGGATGTTCAATAAAGATGCGTTAAAGGGTGTTTAAATGCAGGTCAACTGTTGAGGGAGTTGTCTCGAAGAGAGCAAATTTGATTCATGCCTTGAATGTCAGCTTGTCTCGACCTCTGAGAGCACCGACATTTGAAAAGTCCAACTGATTAAATTAGATGTCGACCCATGTGGGCGTACATGTGATGAACAACAAAAACACTCATCAGAGGCACGCTGACACAAAACCACTTTGACTTATGACGTTTCTGGAGATCTGATGAGTCCATGTTGGTCTAAAGTGTATTAAAACATAAAGATGAAACATAAATTCAGCTTATTTTTGTACAAAGTGGTGGGAAATCCAATTATACAAAGTGTTAAATGTGTGCTAAAAAGGGTGAAGCCAGAAAGCTGCGTTTATGTGTTTTAGGCACGACTCCAACAAATCCGTCTGGCTGCCTTTTCCCCCGTATCGCCACTGACTGTCATGATCATGCCCTGATGTCTGTGTTTTCCTGTCTCCCTACAGCAGCAGTAATCTAAGCTGATTAATTCCACCTGTGCTGCTCCCTATTTAAGCACCTGGCTCCTGCCTATTGCCCGACCACGGAACCCGCCTATTGCCTTAGTCCCTGTCTGGACCGGAGCAATCATCTTTATCGGCAGCCTTCACCACCGAATGCTGCTGCTGTTTTCAGGAGGTCAGTCACTCTTCTAATAAGTCATCTGAATCATCTCCCTCGCTGACTGTGTTCTGTCTCCCAGTCCCAGGACACGCTGTAGCAGACTCCAGTGGGTCCAGATCGCTGTATCAAGTCCTTAAATAAACATTTTAAAACTTTCTCTGTAGTATGGGTGTTGGATCCAGCTGATTGAAACTAGGTCTGACCATGACACTGACAGGTATTCAGATTACATCAAACAAGGGTAAGTCTGCACTGGCGTGGAATCTAAAGTAATGTCTGCAGGCTGAATTCATTCATGTTATTGAAAACTCCTCCATGCATAAAGAAGGCTGTGCAGACAACGCTTTCTCCAAACTGCCCTCTGCACCTAGATCTTCGACAAGAGCTGAGCTGTTCTATCATTATTTAACTTTTGATTTGTTTCTCTAAGCCATCTTAAATCCTCCTCTTGCGATGAGAGTTGAGGACAATCACTGTTTAACATTTATTAAGTGTTGGGGGGTTAAAGCCTCAGAGAGAAACAAGCTGTAACTGTTCAGCCCCTGAGCCGAGGCATCCATCTGCTGCAGGGGCATCACGCTGCAGCTAGAACTCAACTTTGACCTGATAGTTCCCAACATATTCAGAAATAAATTGTGGCTTACGTGACTGTTTCAGTTTCACTGTGACTGATATTTAGCACACATGCCTGCTAGAACATAATTACATTCCACGTGCGGCAGCCAAGCATTACCATTCCTCCAGCAGTTCAGCTCAGCTTCAAGTCGCTGGATAGTCTCCTTCATTGACCTGTTCTTCGCCTTCTCCTTTTCGTACTTCTTCTTCCACTGCTCTGCTGTGAGCTCCAGATTCACCGTTACCGTGTTCCTAATGGTCTTGGCTCTAATTGGAGGGATGCAGTGGAGAGAAGAAAATGTGATGGATGGGGACAGAAAGGTGGTGACGAGGGAAAGATGCAGGGGTAAAAAGGAGAGTAGGAAAAAAATGTTAGGCGCTGGAACGGTGGCGGCTCATTGAAAATGGTCCAGCATCGCGTTAGTTGGTATGCAAATTAGATTTCTGCATCCATGGTGCAGAGGAGGAGGACAGTCCATCAAACAGCTCCAAATATTCACATTCAGGTTAAACTTTTAGACAAACGTGAAGGAGGGGGGTGTTTTTCAGCTGGTAGCACAAATAAGTGGCAACACGGAGAGGAAGCGCGGTAATGAATTCACATTGTTTAGGACCTGTTACTTAATTTCACACTCCAGTGAGGGAACACTCTTGTCTCTCCATGAGTAAATCCTGATTTTTTGCAAGATCAACAATCTTATCTGAAAACTTCTTGTCAAACACAAAATAATGTTTGTTCAACGAAACTATGGTAATCTAAAAAAAAATGTTTTCATGCAATTGTTTTAAGCTCGCAATTACTCATTTGAACAAATCTGCTCTGGTCTCCAGCATGAATGAAGGTCTCGTTCTCTGTGGAAAAAAAGCTCTAGTGCTCCTGTTTGAGGAAGTAGAAGTTAGCCAGAGGAGCGGGGTCAGAAAACAGCAATATTTACAATATTCAAACATCTTACCCCTGACTGGCTAACAGCAACATGACTCTCCACAAATAACACAAGCCTGAAGGTGTGATGCTGTGTGGTGGATTTGAAAATGCTAACAGTTAGCTTCTACTAGCCAAGACAGTCCTCTGTTGTGAGTCAAGACGAGTCCATGAGTGATCATTTAGAGTGACGTAGATCTCTGCGGCTTTTCCTCGTCTAGTTTCTACCTGAAGCTAATGCAGGAAATACGGGTAAAAGACTATTTTCACGTTCAGCCTGCATGTGACACTCAGAGTGGCCGATCATATTTCTAAAATAACAAGTAAAAACGATTTCTCAGTAGCCTTGCTCTTTAAATCAGGAACAAGTCCGCTTCAATCAATAAGAAAGGGTCAAAGCAGGAAATGAGTAAGCAAGCAATTTTTATCGACTTTCTGTGAGTCCCTTTCAGCAAAAAGACGGAAAGAAATTGTAATTAGATTTAAAGAAAAAACACCAAATTTAGGTTTTAGATCCATTTGATTTTGCTTTTGCTTTTATGGGCTCATGCTGGCACTTTCTTCTGCAAAGAAAGTTCCCAACGGACACATGAAGTGATTTTTGATCTGACCAATGACGCATTACCTTTGGCCAAACATCAACGTGGATTTGGTCTCCACATCGTTGTAGCTGGAGGGAGAGCAACAGATAAACATGGTGGTGCGACAGTTCCCACCCAGAGAGTCCTGGAGAATGCGAGTCATCTTGCTGTCACGATACGGCACGTGGGATTTCTGTAAAAACGACAACGAGAATTCAAAAGGGGAAAGAAAAGGCAGAGGCGAGTATTGCAAAGACTGTCTGAGCTGCTGCACCACGCTGTCTTTTTTGGCGTCAGCAGAGAGGAATAAAAAGAAAATATCGCTCAGTTTATGCCGCATTATTCTCAGTATTACACGTTTCACCTCTTAACGTGTGCGTCCTTGCTCAGTGAATGAAGAATAAATGCCGGCATATTTCTAACAGGTTGGTGAAGAATTTAAAGCTTTTCTATTCGAGTTTTCTGAGCGTTATCAAACAGGAGAAAGGGAATGCTCTAATTACACAAAGTTCCAAAAACGTGTAGGTCGGAGGGATTATATTACACACAAATATTAATGAAGGGGACAGAAATACAGCTGGCATGTCACCACATCAGAGTGCTAGGGACAAAAATGACAAACGTTGAAGACTAATATGTTAAAGTTTATTTAGAATTTCACCATTTAAATAAAAATAAAACAAGGCTGTGTTTAATGAAACATCTCTTGTTAAGCCTGAGCTGTTGAGTTTGTAATCTCGGTAACAAATAAACCAAGACTTGACATAAGTTATGTTTAACGTCATTCTAAGCTTCCATCTTAAACCAATACACCTATGGAGTTTGGAGGTGATGTAAGTAGACACAAGGAACAAAAACTCTTGTGAGGAGATAATAGCTGCAACCACACCGTTTTTATTCACGCCAGTTTTTGTGTTTACCACACCTGACTAGTGCACAACACTACCTGGTGCACACATTCTCCTGAGCGCGTGAAACCAGTTTTTATTTGTCCTCCAGTGTCTCCCTTATGTGTGATGGTATATTAGGGTCGCCAAAAGGAAAAACAACAAGGAAGTTTTCAAACTAAAGTCAAAATGCTGAGAAAATAGTCCAAATGTTTACGTAAAAATTAGTATTTCAAGAATTAAGTTGTTACTTTGAGACAATATCCATAATGCCTTGTGTAAATAAACTATTGTGACTTTACTTGAGTGGGTTTTAATAAAATTAAAATTGTTTTTATCTCATATTAAAGGCTGATGCAAACATCTTCAACCCTAAACACCCTTCTCAACCACCAAGTGCTCCTTCACTACCCTCTTTGTCCTTCAAAACCTGTGTTACAAGCCTGGGGGTTAAACTACACTCTGGCTTGACTTTGTCGCCTCTGGGTGACGCTACCATGAGATTCTGCTGAAAGTGATTCTAAAGAAACCCCATCTAGAGTCGGTCATCCATGCTGATTGACACAGACACATTAGCCAGTCTGCACTGGATTCCAGTACACCACAGGTTCCATTAAAGATCCTAACCTTGACCTACAATGCTCTGAATGGCTCTTCCCCTCTTTATCTTCATGAGTTGCTTAAGCCATCCCAGCATGCTCACTCCGGTCCTCCAGCTGGTGGTGCCAAGTAGCCCTTTTAAATCCCAAGGGAAGAAAGCGTTTTCTCACGCAACTATGGAACGCTCTACCTCTTCACATCAGAATGGCGCAGTCACTAAATGAGTTTAATTCATGCCTAAAAACCCACAATTTTAGCACTGCATTCGGCCCTTGACACTACCACATTCCCCCTTTTCTCTAAGGCTTTTATAATCATAGGCTTTTCTATTTTTAGTTCTGCTTTTATGGATGGATGGATGGATGGATGGATGGATGGATGGATGGACTGACGGATGGATGGATGGATGGATGGATGGATGGATGGATGGATGGATGGATGGACAGACTGACGGATGAATGGATAGATGGATAGATGGATGAACAGATAGATAAACAGATGGAGGGACAGATGGACAGACAGACAGATGGATGGATGGACGGACGGACGGACGGATGGAGGGAGGGAGGGACGGATGGACAGACAGACTGATGGATAGATGGACAGATGGATGGAGGGAGGGACGGACGGACAGATGGATGGATGGACGGACTGACGGAAGAACAGATGAATGGATAGATGGATGGATGGATGAACAGATAGATAAATAGATGGATGGATGGACGGACGAACGGGCGGATGGATGGAGGGATGGACGGACGGATGGAGGGAGGGAGGGAGGGAGGGAGGGACGGATGGATGGATGGATGGAGGGAGGGATGGATGGATGGATGGAGGGAGGGACGGAGGGAGGGAGGGAGGGAGGGAGGGAGGGAGGGACGGACGGACGGAGGGAGGGACGGACGGACGGACGGAGGGAGGGATGGACAGATGGAGGGACAGACAGATGGAGGGATGGAGGGAGGGATGGAGGGAGGGACGGACAGACAGATAGATGGATGGACGGACTGACGGAAGAACAGATGAATGGATAGATGGATGGATGGCTGAACAGATAGATAAATAGATGGATGGATGGACGGACGAACGGGCGGATGGATGGAGGGATGGACGGACGGATGGAGGGAGGGAGGGAGGGAGGGAGGGATGGATGGATGGATGGATTGATGGATGGAGGGAGGGATGGAGGGAGGGATGGAGGGAGGGACGGAGGGAGGGAGGGAGGGACGGACGGACGGAGGGAGGGACGGACGGACGGACGGAGGGAGGGATGGACAGATGGAGGGACGGACAGATGGAGGGATGGATGGATGGATGGAGGGAGGGACGGAGGGAGGGAGGGAGGGAGGGAGGGACGGACGGACGGAGGGAGGGACGGACGGACGGATGGATGGATGGACAGATGGAGGGACGGACAGATGGAGGGATGGAGGGAGGGACAGACAGACAGATAGATGGATGGATATTTAATATTGAGCAAAACAAGGTTTGTGAAAGATTAAAGGACATTCTTAACATCTGGCACACACACCAAGTCTTCTTCTGTATCTTCTTCACTAAGGTCCTATCTTTTGTGCACAAGAAGCCAATCTGTATTTATTCCTCCATCCATGTCCTTTAAGGGCCGGTGGTGTCAAAGTCAAGTCCTCCCGGGCCACTACCTTAAATGTTTTAGTTGTTTTCCTGCACAAACACACTTCCTCAACACATCCTCAAGTGTTGTAGGAAACTGTCCACCTTCTCTTGACATATGGGGTGGTGGACTCCAACCAATGGAGTTTTCATGATCTGTGGGGGCTTAGTAACGATGTAACATTTGCAGAAATGAGACCAGAACTTTCCTCTAACTCCTTCCAATAAGGTCATCGTTAGACCTAAATGGTACATTTTTCTCAAACATCAATGAGTTGACATTTGAGGGCTTTGGTTTTTCCTTTAGTCATAGATAAATGTACGGTGCTGCTCGCAGCATTTGGATTGTTTTAGTCTGATACTTTCGACTCACTTATTGCAGCCAGAACAAGTACGATCTGTCTGCTGAACACCAACGACTGAAAGGCAAAAGCCTGAGGCAGCTACTGACAGATTTAAAGGACTACAGAAGATTTTTCCACCGCACCGTTCCTTCTGCCAACGCTGAGATGACGTTCCCCAGAGCCGACAGGGACTTGTTGATGTTCTTGGCCTCATCCAGCACCGCTCCCTCTGCACCCGTCTTACTGACCTGACACAAATACACAGAAATGAGACAAATGACTTCATTATTAATCAGAATTGTCTTTTATTCTGACGTTAAGGCTCAGGTGTGAAGAGGAAAACACAAACATTTCTTCTTCCAGATAAGTTGATGCAGGTTTATAAAATAAGAAGGAATGAATGACTATAGTTACATATTTCAGCTTTAGTAAGGGCTAAATTAGTAGTTTCCACTTGGACTACTGATGTAACAAAGCTTAGTTAAAGAAGGTCATTCAGGTTCCTCAAATGAGAATTGATGCTGTAATTACTTGGTGAATAAGGCCATGAAACAGAGAATGAAGCCACTAAAATGTTCACTAAAATCCATCTCCAATTTACTGATAATATTTATTCAGTCTATTTAGCTTTCTGTTTAATATACATTTTAGCTATTAAAACTTTTTTAATTGATTGAAGAAGTGAAATTCTGTTTAGTTTCCTGGTAATACTTCCATGTGCTGACTTAAACAAATGTATACGTAAGTCATAAAGTTAAGTGTAAAAGACATGTTAAATAAATGGCTGCAGTATGAATATTTAAAAGCAGAAGATGAGCAACGCAGTTAGATTACTCCCAGAGAGTCGTTTTGATAGAAAAAGACGAACCATTCGTGCAGTGTCAAAATTGTCATGGGATCCAATTACAGCAAGATTAAAAGGAAATTAATTATAGAAGAAAGAGAGCCGTCTCATCAAAGTATTTTCTGAAGCATGCAGCATTTTCCTGTTTACTCTGAGATATTTTGTACCAAATCATGATAAGAAAAAGAACCACATCTTCATCGTCCCCCTGGATTGACCAAGGGTCCTTACAGATGCACCCTCAGCACTCAGTAGCAACAAAGCACAGCCGTCAGCATGTGTGCAGACAACACAGGCCATTGCTGCTTCTAGTGAGCACTGTTCTATATTTTCTATTAGGGCTGTCAACTCAGGAGTGTACCCAGGAGCAAAAGTCCAGGTTCAGCAGCGTCTCTAATGTGTTTTCAGATTTCACTCTGGAATACTTTGATTTTTTTTAAACTGTCTTGTCTGCAGCATTCCTTAAATTCTAAAGTTAAAGTCCCATTAGTCATCACACACTGGTGAAATCACAACTCTGCATTTGACCCATCCCTGTGGGGAGCGGTGAGCTGCAGCAGTGACTGCGCTGGGGAACTATTTGGTGGTTTAACACCCTAATCCAACCCCTTTTAGCTGAATGTCAAGCAGGGAGGCATTGGGTCCCATTTTTTAAGTCTTTGATGTGACTCGACTGGGATTTGAACCCTGATCTCCCAGTCCAGCGGAACTCCTTTCCAAGATGACGCATCTGGTTCTAGAACGTTATTAGCCTCAAATATGGTGTCCTAGTAGTGTTTGTTGTAGTTGTTTCTTACCTTCTCACTGCCAGCTAAATCAACCAGATACAGCTTCCCGCTCAGCTTCTGCTCCGTCTCCACATTTTCCTGTTTGATGTTAATCAGGAAAATGCTGTGACTGCGGGAACTGTGCTCATTCATGTCTGTTGAGGAATATAAAAAAGTTCATCAACTCTTACTCTAAATAATATTCTCCTAGAACAATTCTGACATGAAGTATCTGACAGTTTGAGTGTCGGACCATCAGGAAGATCAATGATGCGACTCACTGGTGACAGCAACGTGACGGTTGGCCTTCCCCTCATCTATCACATCCATCACTTCCTCTGGACTGGTCACAAAGCGCTCACTGCAGCCCTTAGCACATTGCAATAATACAGTTTATTAACATGGAGGGTGGTTAAAAGACAGCTTATATGCAAATGAATGGTGCCTCAGTTATCACTGATGTGAAACTACAACTTTTCTGAGCTCTCAACAGGCCATCATGTGTGGTGTGGAATTATATTTAAAGTAGCATGGTAGGGATGAGTTGATATGGTAGGGGACTGCAGTAGCTCAGGAGGTAGAGCGGGTTGTACCTTTACATGTTGCAACAGTGTGTTAAACTAAATAAAAACCTTGATCTGTTGTTATTAAAGTGAAAAAATGTAAATTACTGAACAGGTGATTCAACCACCGAATCGTGTTGGTGCAGAGAAGCATTATTACTCTTTAGATCCTGTTTAATGGTAAATGGCCTGTTTTAGTATAGCACCTTAGGGTTCTAAACACCCCCCACCCCCACCCCCCAAGGCACTTCACAGTCATTCACACACACACACACACACGCGTGCACACACACACACATTCACGTGCTGGTGGTAATGAGCTGCCGCATAGCCACAGCTTCCCTGGGGCACACTGATGAAACAACGTTGGCAAACACTGACACTATCAGCCCCTCTGACCACCTCGATAGGCATTGTGGATTAAGAGCCTCATGATTTTTTTCTTGAGAGGCGCTAACAAAAAGATCGTTTTCTTTTCTTTTCTTTTTTCTTTCTGTAGTGTCTTGCCCAAGGACACAATGTCTGCTACAGACTAAGCAGGAATTGATCTTGCAACCCTCCAGTTACGAGACGGGTCCTTACCTCCTCTCTCGCACCTGAAGCGGCTAAAACTGATGATGGGTGTTTGTTTGTTTTTTGTTTGGAGCTCCCAACGCGTCAGAAACAAACACTTGGTCACCTATCGTCAGTTTTAGCTGCTTCGGGTGTGAGAATGTGTTGCAATGATGTAAATCAACAACGAGTGGTAATTAGCTGAAATATTAAACAAATTTAATGACACACAGACGATTGAACTGATCTTATAAATACAGTATGATGATGTGGTGTGTGCTATTCCCATCCATCCATCCATCCATCCATCCATCCATCCGTCCGTCCGTCCATCCGTCCATCCATCCGTCCGTCCATCCATCCATCCATTTTCATCCGCTTATCCGGAGTGGGGTCGTGGGGGCAGTAGCCTAAAGCGAGAGGCCCAGACTTCCCTCTCCCCAGCCACTTGGGCCAGCTCCTCCGGGGGAATCCCAAGGCGTTCCCTGGCCAGGTGAGAGACATTGTCCCTCCAACGTGTCCTGGGTCTACCTTTAGGTCTCCTCCTGGTTGGACGTGCCCAGAAAACCTCATCAGGGAGGCGTCCAGGAGGCATCCTGACCAGATGCCTGAGCCACATCAACTGGCTCCTCTCGATGTGGAGGAGCAGCGGTTCTACTCCAAGCCCCTCTCGAATGACCAAGCTTCACACCTTATCTCTAAGGGAGAGCCCAGCCACTCTTAGGAGAAAACTCATTTCGGCCGCTTGTATCCGTGATCTCGTTCTTTCGGTCACTACCCAAAGCTCATGACCATAGGTGAGGGTAGGAAGGTAGATCAACCAGTAAATCGAGAGCTTCGCCTTCTGACTCAGCTCTCTCTTCACCACGACAGACCGGTACAACGCCCGCATCACTGCAGATGCAGCACCAATCCACCTATCGATCTCACGCTACAGTTTTCTCTCACTTGTGAACAAGACCTCGAGATACTTAAACTCCACTTGGGGCAGGACCTCATCCCATTTCAGTAAACATATTAATGGTTGGATTATGGCAAAATTTATGCTATTCTTAAACAAAAATAAATCTTCGTCTTCGTCTTCCTCCGCTTATCCGGGTCCGGGTCGCGGGGTCAGCATCCCAATTAGGGAGCTCCAGGCCGTCCTCTCCCCGGCCTTGTCCACCAGCTCCTCCGGCAGGACCCCAAGGCGTTCCCGGACCAGATTGGAGATGTAACCTCTCCAGCGTGTCCTGGGTCGACCCGGGGGCCTTCTGCCGGCAGGACATGCCCGAAACACCTCCCCGGGGAGGCGTCCAGGAGGCATCCTGACCAGATGCCCAAACCACCTCAACTGGCTCCTTTCGATCCGGAGGAGCAGCGGTTCTACTCCGAGTCCCTCCCGAATGTCCGAGCTCCTCACCCTATCTCTAAGGCTGAGCCCGGCCACCCTACGGAGGAAACTCATTTCGGCCGCTTGTATCCGCGATCTCGTTCTTTCGGTCATTACCCAAAGCTCATGACCATAGGTGAGGATTGGGATGTAGATCGACCGGTAAATCGAGAGCCTGGCTTTCTGGCTCAGCTCCCTCTTCCCCACGACAGATCGGCTCAGCGTCCGCATCACTGCATACGCCGAACCAATCCGCCTGTCGATCTCCCGATCCCTCCTACCCTCACTCGTGAACAAGACCCCGAGATACTTAAACTCCTCCACTTGAGGTAGGACCTCTCCCCCGACCCGGAGGTGGCAAGCCACCCTTTTCCGGTCGAGAACCATGGTCTCAGATTTGGAGGTGCTGATCCTCATCCCAGCCGCTTCACATTCGGCCGCGAACCTACCCAGCAAGAGCTGAAGGTCAGAGCTGGATGAAGCTAGGAGGACCACATCATCCGCAAAAAGCAGAGACGAGATTCTCCTGCCACCAAACTCGACACACTCCACACCACGGCTGCGTCTAGAAATTCTGTCCATAAAAGTCACCCACCCCATACTCCTGGAGCGTCCCCCACAGGGTGCCCCTGGGGACACGGTCATAAGCCTTCTCCAAATCCACAAAGCACATGTGGATTGGTTGGGCAAACTCCCATGCCCCCTCCATCACCCTTGCAAGGGTATAGAGCTGGTCCACAGTTCCACGGCCAGGACGAAAACCACATTGCTCCTCCTCTATCTGAGATTCAACTATCGATCGGACCCTCCTCTGATTCCATTAATGTCAGTCTCGGGCCTGCCTTATCTGACCTTTTACCTTTGGGAGGACAGGACTGAATAAAACAAAGACAGATCATTTTTATGATCATAAAGCTTTATGGGATGTTAAGTGTCAGTTCCCTTTGTTGATTTATTTTCTTTTAACATGCACATGTCCCAGAAACCACATTACAACATGTGCTGCCAGCCTGAATCACATCTACAGTTGACTCACCTTCACATAGGGAACTCTGTATTTGTCTTCATGCACTGACAGGTTGTTTTTTGTCACTGTGATGGCATGAGGGAAACAACAAGAGAGGACACGGCTTTACTCGAAGCATTACACATTCATGAGTGCGTATGTGTGTGTGTCTGCATGTCTCAGCACAATTCTGTGACCTCCTGATCTTCCCTTCACATTTGCGAATCAATTTTGTTCATGCACTGTGAAATAGCAGAGAACCAGTGGACATCTTCTGATGTTAATTAAGCTATATTTTTGCCACTGTGAGGTTAAGCTAAGACATATAGATTTTTAGCAAAGGCATTTATTTGTCTTCTTTAGAAGTCTGATTATGTTGTTAATAATTAAATTTCAAAGAGTTGCAGAGGAGATGTTTCCTCTGAGAGTTTGGGGGTGTTTTATAAACCCTATGATATTATTTTCCACACACAACTTCCTCCCTGGGGTGTTGTTCACATTGTTGCTTTAAATCATTCTACTCATTGTTGACTTTTTTGTGGCTCATAGTTTAAATGTTCCTCAGGCTCGATGAACGTTCATGCAGAGGTTTTGACCATTGTCTTTGCAGCCATAAAACATGTGACCCTAGGAATGTTACACATCCAGAGCCGTTCATTTACACTGGAGGTCATATTTTTAGGTGATGCAACTTGATGACCTCCAGAGAAAATCTGACTGGAAGATTGAGCAAAAATATTAGACATGACCCAAGGCTGATCACTCTAAAAACTAAAGGAATGTAATGAGGAGTTTTGTGCATCAATAGCCTATTTCATGCATGAAAAATGAAATCAGAAGCCTAGTTTTAGCATTATTTTTGTCTGAATCTAAATAAAAACAAAATGAGGACAGACTCAAGCATCCACTGGTGTTTGTTTGCAGTCTGACTCGTCACACGTTGCCCCTGACGCTTTTGGGTAAAACTGTGACGTTTTTTCAGTTTTTTTTTTCCTTTGGTAATCCCATCGGTCTACTGTAGGATGTTATGGGTTATGTTTTCATATCTTAGGTGCATGAACATACCATCCAGTAGGTCCCTGATTTTTTCCATGTAGATCTCAAAATAGGAGACCTGCAAAAGAAAGCCCAAAAGCATCAAGGAACTTTTGTTTTTTAGCAAAGAGACAAATAGAAATCCAATTTGATAAATGAGAGGAAATAAATAGATGCCTAGTGTATCACACAAGATGCTACAGCGCTGTTCTGCAGTGAATTATTATCATTATTCTCTAATGTGTGCAAGGGGACAACACATTAAGATTCTGGTGTATTTATGATAGATTTTTCTTCTTTTCTTTTAGGGTTCTCAAAGGAAATCCCCACAAAATACGCCATAACATCACAATGTGTGTGCATGTGTACCTTTGTTGGCTGCATACAAGAACACACACAAGATCATTCACAAACCTTTATGTGAAACTCTAAGTTTTCATCCATGGCAAATATATGTTCAAAAATGTCCTGGGCGATCCGAGGCATGATTCCCATCGCCTGGGGATCGTGGAGGTTACCCTGAATGAAAAGCATGATAAGTCCTGACACATTAGGTAACAATCAATACTCTTAAGAAGTTAGTTTGCACACACAGTGTGGCTGAATTTCAAAAACTAATAACGAACGCATCGTGGTGGAGAGGCTAGGGAAGAGATGACAACGCTAAAGGAGAAATGCATGTGTGTGCCACAACAAAAGCTCTTCCTTTTTGAATTATTTAGCAGCGCAGTACCTCCATGGTGTGTGTCTTTCCCGAAGAGGTCTGCCCATAGGCAAAGATGGTCCCATTGTATCCCCCAAGAACATCTGACATGATGAGAAAAGAACAAAATGCATGCGTTAGGGAGTGAAAAGAAAGAGGTTATAGTGAAAGACTGGCGTCTGGAGCATCTGAGTACAACAAGACGAGTCATACTCAGAGAAAGACGAATACATTTGACCTTTGATCCAAACTGAGACTCATAAAAATTTGCACTGAAAAGGGAACAGTATTTAAGCCCGAATGGCAGCTGAACAGCCTTAGTGAGTGCACACAGTTAACAACAACTACCTGAAGCTTTTAGCATCACTGGGAGCCGCTCAGTGGAGCTCCAAGCAGATATAGACACATTATTCTCTCCATCCATTTGGAGCCAACATAAAAGGAAAAATACAACAAATGTACCAGCTGAAGTAATAAAAAAACACATTGTTAAATGTCATACTGCCGACACAGCCCGATAAACCTGAGCAGTAAGAGTCAAACAGGGCAAGAAAAACACATCATGTTGAAGGGCCGGTTGCCACGGGTGATTTGACCACAAACAAATCAGGAAATCTCTGAGCTGAAACCAGGCAGAACCCGGCTCCTCCTCTCTTCGCTGCCTGTCGGCCATCACAGCTCTCAGATCGGCAGCTTGTCTTGTTCTGCTGCCATGCTGCTTGAGATAAGACCAACGAGAGAGAGGTGGAAAATGAAACAAACAAAAAAGAATCTAACAAACATGAGTCTTCAAAGTGATGAAAAAAAGGGAGACTGGGACATCAGATTTTGGGAAGAGAGGAAAGCACCACAGATGGAGGAGACAAGAAAACATAAGAGATGAAGCGGAAAAGAAGTGAGAAACGGCATAAAGCAGAGACCAGTTCTCCCTCCGAGCTTCTTCTGCTGACAACTCTCAGATCTCATCCTTCCACTTTACTAAATGCTCATCTTGAACTTTCTCAACCTGGAGCTGCAGCCCATCTTGCCTTTTTTATTTCATCTCCCCTCAGCCTCCTTAGTAATCTCTCCCTCTGTGAATAATCTCGCATACCAGATCAATCATTTTCATGCTCCATCTAAAACTCCTGCAATGGAGTTTTGTGCTTTTAGGGCGGAAATAAAACGAAACGCTAACAAGAAACAAAAGAATAAATAAATAAAAAAGAGAGAAGAGAGAGAGAGAAAAAAAAGATGAAAGTTGAGAATAAGTCTTGAGCTTTAGGTTGTTTGCTGGTTTAATTGGACTTGAAGCCTTCAGGGTGTGCATTGTGTTAAAATAATTATTATGCATGAAGGATTTCTAGGGATTAATTTCATTGATGGACAAATAAAATTATTTCAAAACCCACAGCCAAAGTTTTATTTCTCTGCAGGAAATGTTATTATTCTCTTGCACAATAGTTCAAAATGAAGAATTTCTTTTCATTTGTTGATTCAGAATTTTCACAACAGTGATGAAAAAAAACAAACATTATTAGTTTCCATAGAAATAACCTATTTAATGCTCCGTAGCAGCCTGCTAATATCACATGCCTCTGCATGTTTGTTGACATTTCTGCTAGACCTTATAAGGAAAGCATGGATGAAAAAAACCTGAGATTTATGTTCAAATCAAAAAAATATTTTGACTGTATAAGAAGAAGAACGGTCAAAGCTAAACCATACAAATCTCTGCATCTTTAAGGTCATTCATAAACAAAAAATCATCATAAAACTGTAAATTCAGGAACTATTCCCTGCTTTTTACTCAAATCTGTCACCACAATCTGCAATAAAAAACATTTTTTTTTTATTATTTGCTAATTCCAATCAATCATTCTTGTTTTTGATTTTATTTTTTTTCCTTTTAGTTTGCTATTGTTTGCATCCTGTTATTGAAGGTTTCTCCATTAACTCTTCCAGACTTAGTATTTCCAGTCAGTTGGGAGATTGTTTTACTGTCGACTTTCCCATGCAGCTGCAGTTGCCACAGCCTCCCAAATAGAGCTGAATTATTTTTCCTTATTGAGAAAATCCCATTTGAGAAGTTCCAGATGTTTTCTACAGGATTTGAGTCATGATGGGGAAAGTACTACATCATTATCAGGTCATTTAAGGCCCCAACTAGCTCATTATGAATAATTGCAGGCTATAATATTCTTACTCAGCCATTATTGTGGCTATTATATTCTGTTCATTATCCAGCACAGGTCTATCCACCTGCATGCTTAAAGTTTTATTTTATTTCTAACAAATATTATGCTTTAGAAATATGTTCCTATGGTATTTATTAGCCAGATTTGTGTGTTTTATCTTGAAAAAATAATTATGTACTATTTTTGTTTCACCTTTCTGTACATTTATGATGTTTCCAATTGCTTTCACTTTGAAACAAATCAAATTAATTTGTTTCAAAATAATATTAAGACTGCGCCGTGGCGCAGTGGTTGGAGCTGTTGTCTTGCAGCAAGAAGGTCCTGGGTTCGCTTCCCGGCCTGGGATCTTTCTGCATGGAGTTTGCATGTTCTCCCTGTGCATGCATGGGTTCTCTCAGGCTTCCTCCCACAGTGTAAAAACTTGACTGTTAGGTTGTTGGTCTGTCTAAATTGTCCTTAGGTGAGTGTGTGTGTGCATGATTGTTTGTCATGTGTGTCTCTGTGTTGCCCTGCGATGGACTGGCTCTCTGTCCAGGCTGTACCCCGCCTGATTGCCCGTTGACCGCTGGAGATAGGCACCAGCCCACCGCGACCCTACATGGACAAGCGGGTTCAGAAAATGGAAAAAAATAATATTAGGGGGACTTTTTATAATAGTCCTACGGTTGATACAAAACATGTTCATGAAGTTTGTTGCACTAAACCCTTCTCACACAAAGCAATTTCAGCAGTTTTATTCTTGACAGCTTCAGTACCTTCCAGGATGAGCCATTTCAGAGCTCTGTCACTTTAGAAAAAACAAGCTGGAGCTGGCCACGCCCACCCATCCCCGCCTCGGGCTGCTATAAGCTAAGATGCTCCGATATTCGGGAGGAGCTCTGAATAGAGACGCTTCCCCTCCAGCAACTTTCTTTTGCACATAAGAGGTAGTTCTGTTCTTATTTCCCTACTTGTGACATCACAAATGGGGACTTTCTGAAACTGTTTGTATTAGACACATATTTCCTAAAACCAAACACTGACAGAAAACAGATGGATGGGTTAAGGCAGTAGAGACCCACGTAGCAGCACAAAAAGATGCAAAAGGTGAGTGTTATATGTCTCCTTTGAAAAAAAATTTCCCAAAAAATGTGGAATAGAGCAATGAAAAAACCTTGCTGTTTTTGACCATTAAATTCTGACACATGAGTAATCAATCCATTAGCAGCTTGTTCTCAGCTATTAATCACTTTAAGACACACCCACCCTCATCATAAAAAATGTCATCCAACTGGAAAATCTATTAAATTCAATAACTGTTCAAGGTTAAACCATTCACAGTAGGACATGTGAGAAGGTCAGAAAACTCATAATATCATGCAAGCAGTGTACCGCTAAAGCATGTATCCACTTAATGTATTCTTCTCCATCCATTTCACACCCAGACTTGTAGAAGGTGACAACATCATGTTATGGAAACAGGTTTTCTGCAGCCTGCAAGGAGCAGCTACTGCATGCAGCAGTGAATGCGTTGTGAACTGACAAAGTCAACACAAAGATTGTACAGAAAATGATAACGCAAGGTCCGTCTCTTTATCTGTCACGGTGTTTGTGTCATTTGTGCATCTTGGCAAAAAGAGGCTCGTCGCTCACCTTTGACAATCTGTTTGGCACAGGTGTTGTAGACTTGTTCCTGTGTGGTGTTAGTCGGGAAGACCTGGTCAAACACGTATGCCTTCCCCTGTGGAAACCAAAACAAACATGGTCAGCCACAGCAGAGACCGCTTGCAGAGTGTTTTAGATTACTGTCTGCACCCCGGCGTCTCCTGTGACTCGCTGTAAAATCTATCGTAGAAGGTTTGCACAGGAGAGGGTAGCTTTTCACATCATTTTTTTATTACCAACAGTAAAATGTAAACCTACGGCTGCACAATAGAGAGGAGGCACATCCTTATTTCCTTCACATGTTTGTTTTATAGATGCTGTGTTCATGTGAGCATTAGCTGTACAGTTCAAACAGCACAATAAGAGTCCTGATTTAAAAGCTACAGCGTGTGTCTAAGTGTGTTTTATGCTGCTGAGAAGCAGCATGTTTTGCTGAGAGTGCTGCAGCATTAAACTTTACATAGAAGATGGTTTGATCCCAAGAGAGACAGACAGCGCATTCCCTCTGAGCTGAAGCCATTAGAGGCCTCGGTCAGGGGCTTCGGTGCATCGGAGAGAAGAAATGGATTGCAGGAGGAGAGCAGAGGATAGAAAATGCAGAGAGGGCAGAAGAAAACAGATGACCTACTAAAACCAGCACCTGCATGGGTGAAAGGCAGCCCGAAAAACAAAACCCATGAAAGACTTTTTCAATTATTTAAGTTTCTCAAGCAGAAACTCAGCCAGCTTGTTGGTGAGGTGCTCTATTTTTTTACTTAAGCGCTGGATTATCACTCAGTTTTATTTACAGCTGAATGTAATCATTCAACATGTTGACCAATGTTAACATGAACAGCAGCCAACTGATTTGTTAACAATCTGAGTTCAGCAGTCTGTTGAGGTCTGAGCAGCCTCGTCTGGTTAGGAGGGACAAGTGGAACCGGTTTGGATGATGTGAAAAATAGAAAGTGGCTTTAGGCGATCTCTTATCAGGTTTTACTGCTCATGTTAGAAGTCAGTATTTGTGCTGACAGAAACAAACAGGGAGAGAAATTACAAAAGGAATAGACGTTGCATCCTTCAACCATGAAACATCTGAATATTCTGTCACAAATGTCAGTTCTGTTTGCTTTTCTAGAGTGTTCTGCTGTCTTCATGCAGACAGTTTTTGCCCAAGAATGCCAACTATATTGTAACTTGTTATTCTCAGAAAAATTAAAAGAAGGGAAAGCTCTTTAATAAAGTTGCAGAAAGATAAAGGTTTCTGGTTCAATAAGCAGTGTTTTAACTGCTTTAGAGTTGTTCAAGCTAATCTTGTCCAAAGTAGAAGTGGTAGCAGCCGGCTGTTTCTCCTTCTCTGATATATTTGAGCGGAGAACCTCTTACATCAGTAGTGTTCTGTTGAGGACACAAGTGTGTAACGAGTGGAGGACTCAGGGAAGTGCGGCGGTTCAGCGAGACCGACGGATGGTCCAGTAGTCGCGTTTGGTCTCCAACGTGTTATTAGCACAGGTTTTTGGACAAATGCGAGAGAACCACTTTATTTTTTTTAAATATTTGCAAAATATATGATATAAACTATATGATAAAAAGCATAAAAAATGTTGTGAGCTAATTTCCTTTCCAAATTTGCTATTGCAGCTTTAAATTAAACTCATTAGACCCTCCTGAAAACAAATGGTTGCCAAATGTTGATTAAAACAAGCTTCAGGAAAATTATAAAATTACTGGCTTTTCTACAAAATTATAAACCAACTGGCCCTTTTTCACTGCAGACATTTAGACTTACAAGAGTAGAGAAAGCCCACGCGTATTACCTGCTGCTGTGCATGCTGGGTGTTCTGTAAAGCTGTTAACGATCAAAACCAACCTAAACTTGTTAATGCAGCCATGTTTATTCCTCATTCTTGTGATTCAAAATGTCAGCCATGAAGTAGACCTGAGATGTGCTGCACCTAGACATTAGCTGTGAGCTCCTCTGCTTCACGGGTGTATCTAAATAACAAGCTAAACATGAAATAACCAAGTAAACGCTGTTTCGAGTTTGGATAAGGCACCAAGAGTCTCAGTGCAGACGTGTCTGCTTTCAGGGTTTGTTTAGAAGCAAAGATTTTATAAACTTGCCATTGAGATGAATCATGAATCTTTTCTCCCATTGTGCATTCAATGGTGGACTGTTTCACCTTCATTGTGCATTGTTATCCTCTCAGTAACATACTGAGGCAGAACAGAAAATTAAAGTTAATGCACCTGTGCAGGCATCGATGGTGCTGCAGAGCAGAAACCACTTGAGAGGGAGCGAGAGGACTCTGCTTTGAGAAATAATAACACTGTTGTCTGAAGACACACTGATACGGCTCTAAACCAGCTCAGTTTAGTCAGCGTGAGCTGACAGAGCATCAACAGCCCTGTCTTTTTGTGCCAACACAACATGACCACAGTGTGAAAGTGGCAACTGAGAATAAAATACCTGCTTCCTAAACAAAAAAACCTACAGTTACACTCAGATGTGCAAGAATGTACTGTTTCTGCTCGTCAGCAACCTGATGCGTTTGCTGAAACTATTGCAGTTATAGGTTGTTTGGGCTAAAACAATTCCACATGTTGATTTTTTTTACTGAAACTTACTTTTTCAGAATGCATGAAAAGTTTACAAATCTGCACCAAGTTTCACACCAAGTTTTACTTTGCATGAAATAATTTGTTCTAATTCAACTGTAAAACTCAAGCTTAATTTTCCTGCATTTCTACTTTCTTATTAATGAGCAGAGTTGTTCAACGGCTGCATTCACGTGGTGTAATCACAGATGCAGGTAGAAACAAGCTCCCCATCAGATGCAATTAGGATGACTCTTTCCTTTGTGAGTTAATTGTACTACAACGCAGAGCACACACACACACACACACACACACACACACACACACTCACAGACACACACACACAAACCAGGTCAGATAACAGAGATGGGGGGGGGGGGGGGACATGAGACGATTTGGTCTGCAGTGGATGGAGGAAAAGGAGTGAGTTATATAAGCTGTGTAAAAATCAACCCCCTCGACAATAATTTGTTTTCCTGGCTCCACCATTAAACCACTAATCTGATCTGAATAAATACGATAATAGCTTCCACGTATCAGACACAGTGTAAGCTCACCATTTGCATGTCCATCCCCTGCATAGCTGGTCAGGTAGGAGCACATTTGATTGTTTGTTTTGTATAATTACACAGATGTCCCTTCCTCTATTTGGCCGGATGCTGACGGCCAGGGAGCGCGGAACAGGAAGCAAAGAGTCCTCAAACGTGAGTGTGTAAATGTGTTTGTGTGCTCATCCAAGTGAGTAAATATTACATTGATTTATGCCGATACATGCAGACATTGTTCATGGCCCTCAGCATTGCGCTGTGTGTCCAACACCCACATGGCCCATCCAGCCAGCAGTCTGCTGCTGTCTGCCAGAAAACAAAGAGCCAGGGGGGGAAGGAGCGAGACCACAGCTCCAGCAAGCTGCAATAACAAACACCAACTCTAAAGGACAAAAAAAAACAGCCAATTAAAGACAAAACTCAGCCAGTAAGGAGGAAAAAAAATCTGAAACAAGTGAGAGAATTAGAAGAAAAATGAATAATTAGGAAGAATAGGAACCATAATCAATATAGATGGGAACCAGGTGAGATAAACTGGAGTATAAGGTGTTAAATAGGAGCTCAATGGAAGATCCCCCCTCCCCCAGCAGAGAAACCTCTACAATAATCAAATAGTATCATCTTGGGGGGGATTACCTACATTCTCAGATGAGAATCAGCTCACAGCACACACACATCTGTAAGGAGTCATTTGGGAGACCAAAGAAGCTGACTCCTAGTCATAAAACAGTAAGGGTCATGATTTCTTTGTGCAGGTAGAGCCCAAAGTGTGGGTAAGGAAGGCAGAAGTAACAAAATACCTAAGGAAAACAAAAGGCTGACAATGCAACAACAAAAACGTACAGCTGATAACGGCATGCAGGGAACAGAGAACAGAGAGGAGATACTGGATCTGCGGGGAGGAAACTGAAGACTATGTGTAATGGGAGGGGGGATAACTGCATGGCAAACAGCCCGAGTGATTGACAGGTGCATGGGAGACAATGAGCAACACACACAAATAGACTAACTCCTGCTCCACACTGGAAGCATCAGCAGAGCGGAACATCAGTGGAACGGTTTACTAACGACTTTCGCTGCGTGCTTCTCTGCCATACTCCTCGCTGGACTCGCGAGATCACTAAATCCCTCGAGTTTATGCCATCCGCCATTAAATCTAGAATAAGGAAATCACATTTGTTATCACTGTTTGATGTCATATCTTGATGTTCCTCTCCACTGCTAGGAAAACACATCGCTGCACTTCTGGAAGGATGCTGGGAGTAAATAAGCCATTAGGTCATTTATGTAATCTAAACAGATATGAAATCACATTGCTGCAATAGTCTTTTATTTTAAAAATTACCAGGGATTTTACACTGAAACCTTGTGTGATTTCCTGTCTGGCCCAATGTTAACTGCAGAAATTCTCGTGTCCCAGAAGCGGCTCGCAGCAAAAACAGAACCCAATCCTACCATTAGGTGACGCTTCTGAGACACGCCTAAAAACCTCACGGCTGGTTTGAATCACCCCAATGGATTCTAATTTAAAGCAATGGCGTTCGGCTGCCATTCCAGGCCGCTGATGCTTCAGTTGTGAAACAGGGGTAACACTAACTTAACATTAGAACTAATATAAAAATACAAACTCCAGAAAACGTTAACCCACACCCTAACACCGTGGCAGAGAGATCTGGATTTTGAGATCAAAATGAGTAAAAAAATAAAATAACAAAGATTTGCAAAAGCATCACTGTAAGACCCGAATTGTAACACAATGTCAAATATTAAAATAGTTGATGGAGCATTTTTGTTGTCATTATGTCTCATTTTAACCACTAACCAAAATATTGGTTTTCAGAGCTTAGACAGATGGAAAAGAAAGATGGAGGTTATTCAAAATTCACTTGTAAAGGAGGAATAGTTTCAGGATGTTGATTAGAGCTTTAAGATTAAGTGGCCATTTTTTTTC